AAACAGCCTATGAATACTCATACCACCCACATTGCAATGCCTCCTAGTCTCTAAATCGGCTTGTTTAAACACCATCGTTTCCTTACCAAAGGCATCGGTTTTCCTGCTAATAATTCATCCATACCTCCTTAAGATTACACAGAGGCCTAGCCGTTTCAGCAACATATGTAGAAACATCGTGAACGTGAAGGAAAGTTTGAAATTCAATTGATGAGTTTAATGAATGAAATTTTGAAAGGTGAACCGAGTGGTTGTTGGGCAATTTCCAATTGAATTTCCCATGGAAATAGACCACTTTTCCATGCCGTCTAAACCCTGCAGACATGAAAATATGAATTATTATGAAAAACATGTCGAGCATAAATATTTAAAACATTTTAATATTAACCGTGGTAGTTGGAGTTGAGAATACGCGTCGTGCCAAGAAGAGATGTTCTTTTGATCAGAAAGATGTCGATAAAACGCGTCGTAAAAGAATTTATTTTTGGCCATGTTCGTTCTTGAATTTTTCCATCCTCAGATGTAATCGTAACAGAGGATATCGATTATAGTAGACACGTCGACCGAAAGCTTGCTTTCTGTTGCTGACAGGTATTACCTAATCATTTGGATTCGATTTGGACGGGAATTGACCGTGGAATTGTTTTCTGTGAAACTTCACACCAATTGTCAAGTCAGATGGAAATGAATGATATACATATATCTATTGAAAGAATATTTAATTACATCGGCATTGTCAGCAGCTTGTTTCTATTTTGAAAACTAATTTGATCCATGAGATTAAGTTTCGCGTGACTGGCTCCGTTCACGAAAATTAAATTCATTCGCTGTGTCGTGTTACCGGTGGCGTAACACGTTCAGGGAAATCATCGAGCGACGATGAAACACCTTAGACAGTCGTTCGAGTCGCGTTAAAAGCAGAGAACAATAATGCCTGCTGGCTGAAAACGTTTAAAAGGGGTTCCATGAGATTGACAGACCGTGAAAGGACCGTGAAAGGATCGTGAAACTGAAGACAAGGAATTACGGAAAATCAACGCTTTAGCCTTTGACTTTCTACTGTTGTCGAAATAACGAGTTTATCTAGTACCATCGAAATGGTGTACTATCAATCGGGTTATTCGGTAGTAGATACTTAATTCTCTTTTCAACGTTAGAGAAAAGGATGGTGTTACAGCCTCCTTAGTAATCAACCACCGATAGTTTACAGTGCAGTGGTCTGATTTGAAATTCTGCCGCTGAATCAAACAAATTCCTTTGAATGGCTGCTGATTCGTAAGACCGAGTTGTGATTCAATAAGAAATTAAGTTACACCTTTGAAACGTGGCGTGAGCTCTAATAATCTTGATTAGAGGACCCAGATTTCTACCATAGACAGATAACTCGTTTGTAATTTAAACGACGAAATTGCAAACACTTGTTTCGTAACGTTACACTAAAAGTGGATATATATACAGAGTTAATATCAATCTATTCGCAATCCATATTTCGTGTATTCGATGGTAATTGCACACCTGTCGAGCTGTACCGCAAACATGATTATTCAAACCACATGGCAAAGTACATTCTAAACATGGCAAATCGAAAACGTGCTTACCTTAAATATTCATAAATTGTTTGTGAAAGAGCTTACAAATGAATGTTGAAAAGGTAAAATAAAAGAAATTCTCATCATCTTGAAGCTGTTTGACAAAAAGGCCGACCGTGTCTCGAAGGAAAGTGTTTTGTTGGGTGAAAAGGGATCGAACATGAAAATTTCTTAGGCCCGTGTCGTCAAACAAAGATGAAACCCTGCTGTGTCGGCGATCCTGCTAGATATAATGAAGCACTCATGCTTGACAAAGGTATTCGATGGGATCGTATCGATCGACCGTCATGAAATACGAGACTAAGATGATGGTTCACAACACGACCCATAAATCTTGGTCACGTCGCATCATCTTCAAACGTCAGAAATCGGAACATCGTCGAACAGAGTTTTCCAACGAAAAGAAATTGAAAAAGAAAAGAAGAAGAAGAAGAAGAAGAAGAAGAAGAGAAAAAGAAGATAAATAGTACGAGTACAATAGAAAACTCTGAAACGGTATTGTTGGTAATTTTGTCTAAAAGCTGCCCATCCAGAAGTTTTAGGGGTGAACGCTAAAAGATTAAAGAAAACAATATTCAAGATCAAAGTTTGCCCACAAAGGATGGTAAATGATGTATTGTTTATGGAAAAATATCATGTTGCATTTGTTCGATAAACGTTAGATTGGTTAAAATAATAATTTTTATTTGAATTACCATTTTAATTGATAAATTAAGATTATAAATGTAATATTCTAAAAATATCCACTCGCAGAAAAATAATATAATTATTATGTCTGAATGAAGAGTTGAAACGAGATCTTTCTCTATTATACGAGGCGAATTTTAATTACAAAAGTAGAAACTCATTTACTCGGTGAAGCTTCTCCATCCATTCAATCAAGTTCGTTTTCGGTCGCAGATATTTAAAACTCACCCCTTTCGTTTGAAAAGGGGTGAAAAGCTTGGACCCTGGTTTCTTTAATGAAATTGTTCAAGAATCGTATTCAGTGCGTTACCTACCTTATTCATCGTCACATTTGAAACAAGTATCACCGATTCGAACAGTCAGTTTCTCAATTTATAAAATTTATAAAATTTATAAAATTTATAAAATTAACTAAATTCCTTTACTTGTCAGCCTCGAGACAATGTTGTTGCACCCTGTAGTTAGAAAAAGAAATGTTATTGATCGAAGACACGCGTCAAAGATCGATCAATCACAATGGTGTCAAAGTATACATTTCGAGGCTGATTTTACTTGCTCACCTTTACTTCGTGTCGATTCGAAACTTCAAAGTCACCGCAGAATTCCAAGCCCGGTTAAACGACCTATCCTCCCACCCCCAACCCCTGGGTATGAACGGGGTGGAAGGAGGAATGTGTTTGCTCTTTGTACCGTGTCATCCACAGGTGCTATCGAAATAATACCGTTTCGTACTCGAATTCCAGGAATTTCCCGATACCTTTCATGGAGCAATAATTTAAATTTTGAAAATCACGAAAATATATGTCGGCGTGCCACCGACATTAGATTACCTTTGTGAAATGACAAGAAACCGTGAGCCTTTAATTATTTCCAGCTACGTAAACGAATGCCGACAGGTTTTATTAACTTAGCGCCACCATGCCACCCCGATCGATTGAATACCAGTGTATCATCGAATACGTTCTGAAGCCTTTGTTCTCTTAATTACATAACAATGCTTATAGACAGGCGAAACCACAGGATGAAGTACAACAGTCTCATTAGCCTTTATCAGCGTTCGATAACCGCAAGAAAGCTGCGACGACAAAGTGATGTCCTCGTTGTTGTTTCATCTTACGGCTAACATTATTATGTGTTTTATTTGCAGTTGCCTTCGCATATTCAATTTTCTTTCGAAATTTAGATAAAATTTTAGAAGAGGGCTAGTTCTTATTTCGGTAAGACCTTGATCCCCCGTCATCAAATACTCGTGTCTCTTCCAATTCATCGAGCTAAATGTTCCTGTTATTTCACCCCTGCCGTTTGATCAATTGTTCATTGTACTCACCGTTTGCAATAAAGGAGGAATTATCGATAAACTAGCACGCAGGAAATTGCAGGTTTACGAAATTAATGCTACGACGATAAAACATGCTGGCTCGTTTTAACACGTTCAATTGCTGGGCGATAAGATCACTTCCATAAAATTAATGTAATCGAAAATTGAAAGAAGAACAATTATATAGTCTGGTATTAATAAATTTGAAAAATTTATGGTATTTCCTTTGGGGTAAAATTGATTTGATGGAAGTGGAACGTGTGCAAGAACGACTTGCACCTCAGACAGAAGCGAAGTAAATCTAATGAGAATTTAATGATGCGATTCGGTTGCTCGTGAACTCGGAAAATCGATGGATATCTGTTCTAGGTAAGTGGCAAACGCGAACTGACAATTACTTCACAGAAATAACTTTAATGATTCATAGAAATGTATGAAATCATTTTTCTTTCTGTTACTTATCATTAATGTTCGATATGATAGGATGTGACAAATTTATTGCTCCTCGTGAATCTTTCATAAATTTAAAACATATTTTTTGTTCGTTCATAATGGCCTCGTAAGAAGTTGAAAATTGACGTACCGATGTTTGCTTCTTCGTGCTCCAATTTCGACTGTTACTTATTGGAACGTGACAACGTTCCAGGAAACTCATGAGATTTTATACTCCGCAAAGGATGTTTATGTGCACTCGCGGGCCAGAGTGACCCAGTTTCCAACAGTCTTCTAACACAATCGGATAACACATCTAGGCTGATGATCTCGTTGGATAATAAAAATGATTTCAAACTGACCATAGATTTACCGGATAAATTAAATGTTAGACGAAATTTCTTTTTTATTTAGTGGAATTTTTTGGACGTGCCTTTAATTACATCGAACAATTAAATTTCGCGATGAGACACAAGCAGAGTTCATTTTCCGTTGTCAAGAGATCAAGCTGAAGGAAAGAAACGAAGCGGAAAGAAAATTTCCTCTATTTTCTTCCCGTTCATTTCGTACGAATGTAAATTTATGCTAATGTTTGTTATTTCCATTCTTATCTCGTATTTCGTATTTCGTATTTCGTATTTCGTGGCCGTCGTTGACCGATCGATATCCGACTCTCCTATTTTCCCCTATATCTTGTAATATGTACCAGTATTCGTTTTCAGAAATCATATTATTCTCTGGTATTTTCGTTTGGAATATCTAGGAAATCGCGAACAAGCACGTAATGAAATTTCGTCTAACTTTCTAGCTTTCAAACTGTGACATTATCGAAAACCACATAGAACTGGAAACGGGCTTCTGACGGTTCAAATAATTTTCCAACGAGAGAAACGGAATGGAACAAAACAGAATGTAGGTACAATGTTAGAACAACTGCAACATTAATTTGTTGCCTTCTTTTTTTCTGTTTACAGCCACGGAAGAACTGGGTAGCAGTATGAGCACCACCCTACCCTCGGCACCGACAGAACTCTCGCAATTCCCAAAGCTTTGCGAGCTACGTCGAAAGTTTCCTGTTCTATATCGTGTCGAGTTTCAGGTAAGGACAATAAATCCCTCTTCGACCGTTCTCTAAGCTTATTTCTCGCTTTCGATAAGTTTGCCAACTTTTCTTCCAAGTTAACTAAATATTCGAGTGATTAGGAATGATTGTCGCGAAAGAGATAAAGGTAACTGATATTTAAGATCTAACTTCGGCATCGTGTAGCAAGACGATTCACAGATTGCCAAACGATTATTCGAAATGACGTATCTAATATTGCCAAGTCCATTAAATTGCACGAGGACAATCGTTTCTATCTCACGTGGTAGCAAACGCATGGCGTATTCGACTTTAGAGACTAGGAAATGCCTTGAAGGTAGGCAGACAGCCAAGACGTTGGGAAGAGAGAAGACGACATCCAAGAGACAAAGCGATCCCACGAGAATAGGTGGAGAATATCGGTTTCTCATTAGACTGCCATTTTCGTGTACGAATTCTAGACCACTCATTTCGAGACATAGAGTAGCTTCTAACATAGAGCAGAACAGACAGACGTATTACGTATACTCAAAGTCCCTTTAATCTAAATAAATTCATTCCCATGTCTCTGTAACGAAGCTGTTGCATGGTTAATATTTTAATTACAGACAGCAACGAAAGTGGAAACACATTCGTGCAGACACGCCACGAAACCAGCAAATAAAGAAAAGAATCAGAACCAAAAATGTATTCCTTGTAAGTAATTTATAGAATTGTATAGTAGTGTATAGTACAAAAAAAAAAAAAAAAAATGCAAATTTTAATTTCCCTTTCTGTACGCAGACGATTATAACAGGGTGGTCTTAGATACGATCGAAGGCGAACCGGATTCCGATTACGTTAACGCATCTTACGTAGATGTGAGTAAAACATGTTTCTGCAAAAATATACCAGATCGAACTTCTCTATTTTTATCTCTACCCTTTCGATCTCAAGGAAATTCAGTTATTAATTTACGAGATGTTAACGATCCTTTCTACAAAACTTTTATACGCTTCTTAAACGAAAGCTGCACGAACATTCCTTGCGAGGATCGTTGCTATCGCGACGAGTTATATTAAAAATGTCAAGATCAAGGTTCACCGTAATGACAACGATATTTTGGTATCGATTAGCCGTTACACAATATCGAAACAATTTGAGTAGAGTGTACCGAAATACTCTTGCATTGGATACGCGAGAATACTGCAGGTTGTCGAAAAGTTCACTTTATCGTCGTCTGGATATTGTTTCAGAGTATATTGAAACCAAATGCTTACATCGTGACTCAGGGACCCATAGAGAACACGGTAACAGAATTCTGGCGAATGGTTTGGCAAGAGAAGGCATGCTGCATCGTGATGCTAACAAAAACATTCGACTTCATCAAGGTGAGAAATAATATGTTAATAATATGCATCATAAAGAATAGGAAGAATGCTTTTAACACCGAAAGGAGCATGAACGCAATTCTATTATTTTCATTGTTCATTTCTAAATAACGAAAACTGATTTTCGAACAGTGCTATGTCATTTTCAGTGTGATATGCATTCGTATCTGTCAAACGATAACCGATCAAACGAATCGATTTCAGGTGATGTGCGTCCAATATTGGCCCGCAAGCAAAGACAAGGACGAAGAGTATGGTGGTATCGGGGTTTCCGTGTTGAAGGAGGAGGAACTGGCCAATTTTCACATACGAACGATAAAGCTGTACAAGAAAAATGAGAACGACGTGAGTGCACTTTTCACAGATTCATTTGGTACACGTGAAACGGTACGCGTTCGATATAAACGTGTCAAGCATGTTTATCTATAGGGTGTGAAAATCTTTGAAAATTCTTCTCTTAACGCACTACCTCTCGATGCGTCGATCCTTGGTAAATTTACTGGCAAATGCCGCTCTATTTCATTCGTAAAGAACGATCCTTCATCTCCATATAGATTTGCTCGAAATTTCGTTGTATAATTCATCAGACAAAATCTCCGATACGGTGTAAGAAAGTCCGGTCTGGCAGGAACTCGCGCAAACGCGAAACTTGTCTCACCAACTGAAAATTAGTCTGCTACGCAACACTGGAATTGAAGACAGAAGTTGGTAAAAAGTTGGTGGAATTAACTAGAAAGGAACTACTAGTCTTGCACCGTTGAAACTAGGTGAATGCAAAACTATAGAGGATGATGGGATGATAAGTTTACTCGGACCACCGTTACGTAAGGGTTAATTTTGTTAACTCGCTGGAAATGAAATGGAATGAAAACAGACAGGGTGGTTCTCCATGTTACGATCAGCCATTAGATTATTTGCCATTAATTATTATTATTGGTAGCTGTTAAAATTTGGATCGGTGGCCTAATCCGTGACACTAGTTGAACCTTAGTTATAAGTTATCAAGCAAACAGGGTTAATAACGAACGCGTTATTAAGTCAGAGTATCGGATAAAACTCGTGGTCACCGGCCAGTTGGTAATTACAGGAAAGCAACGTGTTTGACGAAGCGTTAATACATACTCGCTCGTAAAGTACTCGCACGAAACGCGAGAACAGAAAATAGCACGTGGCAGCTCGTTAACGTCGCGTGTTTGATCTTTGTCGGTCAGTTCGTCGTGAACCATCAAACATTAACGCGTCCGGTTGAATCAATCTTTACCAGAGTGTCTAGTGAACGCAACACGATAATTGCTGGCAAGATTTACCGACGATAGAAAATTCAATGCAACTGCGACTCCTCTGTTCCGTGAATAGCAACTTGTGCATAATGCGAGGAAGACGCTGACAGTTAAACAGAGCTAAATTGTTAATCTCGAGTCGAGCAATATTGTAACAGACAATTCGTTCGCTGTAACTCAAAGTACTTACTATATTTGAATATACATATACATGAGAGAACAAGTTTAGGTAATTTAACTTGGAGAACTTTACCTTTGAACCTCTTACAGATGATTTAGAGCTATAAATCTATAAGTTTTGCTGTTGATGTAAATACGTAACGTGTAGAAATTGTCTTGCAATTTCAGGAAATCACTGAAGAAAGAACACTGTTGCAATTCCATTACACGGAATGGCATTCGCATACGTGTCCTTTCGGAAATGCAGTTTTAGAATTTCGTCGACGAGTCAGAGCCGTGGTCGGATCCACTATAAAGAATGAGTCAGGTCCTATGGTGGTGCATTGCAAGTAAGTGTTCATTTCCTAATGGAAACATAATAAATTTTAAATATCCAATCGAGACCTTCTGCTCTGTTGAATAAAGTGACGGTGGTGGAAGATCAGGAGTGTACTTGGCGATAGATGCAAATATGGAGTTGGCCGAAGAGGAGGACGCTTTCGACGTCTTTGGATACTTGAAGAAGTTGCGGCAAAGCAGAAGAGGTCTCATCGAGAACTTGGTGAGTCATTTGATCGGGATTGAAACTTGATTTTCATCGAATTTCTTTAAAATTCGTTTGCAGAACATTTTTTGTCTATTTAGGAACAGTACAAATTCGTGTACGACACGCTAGAAGAGTTCGTAGTGTGCGGTACCTCGTGGTTTCCGGTTTCCGAATTATCGCAACGTCTCAAGCAAAAGAGTATAAAAAATCCCATAACCAAGATGAATGAATATCAACGAGAATACCAGCAAATTTGTAAGCAAACGCCACGTTTCACGATCGGTGATTGCGCTGGCGGACATAGAGCTGATAATAGAGAAAAAAATAGGGACGTTCTAGTAGTGCCACGTAAGTTTTCACCAATGGGAATATTTATGTTTTATACAGTTTAATGATGATTTAATGTTTCACTTTAGCCGACAACTTTCGACCATACCTCACCAGCTTCCAGGGTAACAGCTACACTGACTACATAAACGCTGTTTTTGTGGACGTAAGTTTGTTTGTTAATTCATTTTTTATGTAATATTGTATACTAAAAAATATAACACTCCTGTGTCTACTATTCTTCTAACGTCTCGCGAGTTGTCACGGGTAAATATCAATATCTTTGCTAAAAGTACATTCTCGACAGGGCTATACGAAACCCAGGGAGTACATTGTAACGGAATGGCCACTTCGACACACGTGCGGTGAGTTCTGGTCCCTGGTTTACGATTACGAGTGTGCAGCCGTGGTGGTACTCTGCGTACCACCCCCAGGCTCCACGAATTTCCCCAGCTTTTGGCCCGAGGGAAAGCATTCAAAGAAATACGGTCCTGTATTTACGATCGATCACATCAGTCACAATCACTATACGAACATCAAAACCTGGGTGAGAATTGTTATTTTTCTACTCTTGCCTCTACCTCTGCCTTACAAGTAACAATTTCTTTCGTTTACTTTTTTACCTAATTCTAAGTATTTCACTATGGTACCGATTGTATACTATTGTAAGTATAATATGGTTATATAAAAAGTGTTTTGCGACACCTGTGAAAAGAATTATTCTGAATGATATTCTAAATAGAAATTAACGTACCTGTTGTAGCCTTGGCTTTGGTAACAACGGTCCTATAAAAATCCAATTTTTTTTGACAGATTTTCAGGATAAACAAGAAAATAGTGTCACTGACCGAGCTAATGGCTGGAGTGAAAGCTCCTCCGAAGACGGTTCAACTGTTCCAATTGACTTGCTGGCCTATGGGCCACAAGGTTCCAACGTCGACGAACAGTTTGGTCGAGCTGATGAACATGGTCGAAAGGTGGAGACAACGAACGGATTATGGACCTGTAGCTGTGGTTTCACCGGATGGCAGAAGTCGTTGCGGCGTGTATTGTGCCGCAAATGCGTGCATAGAACAGGTCATTCAGCACGGGGAAGTGGACATTTTCCAGGCGGTTAAAACCGTACGCAGGCATAGGCCTCAGCTCGTAGAGAATATGGTAAGTGGTCGTAAAGAGGTAAAAGTTATTAGCTGCTCAAGATTGAAGCTAATAACGAAGTAGATACATATTAACCTTAAGCCTGAAACAATGTTAAATGCACCTTGCAGACCGAATACAAATACTGCTACGATCTGGTGCTGCACTACGTGCTACACTACCTGAACAAGGACATGAACGAGAAAAAGTGAGAAAGCGAGTTGAGGGACGAGCTGTGGTTTATCGAGTTCGGTCGTGGGGCGGCTCTGCCGTTAACGCCGGAAGAAGCCCCGGCGGATGGTGAACCTATGGTGCCCTGCGCTCAGGGTCGTGTCGTGGTGGAGACAGCAAGACCAGCGCCACCATACTTTGCCATGTGCTCTAGCTACCGTAGACAAGTGACCGGTATAACCGGTACGCCGATCGATATAGTAGCGAGTGTATCTGGGACTACGTCAACGAGTGCCACGCAAACGGATCAGCAGTCGACGTCGTCAGGCAGCAGGGGTGCTATCAGTAAAAATACGATGATTGCAGGCCACGGTAGCGCAGCGAGGCCGGAAGAGCTTGGCGTAACACCGTGGTACCTAGAGGATTATCCGACCATAGACTCCTCGCCGGGACCTACGGGCGATCGGAGCTCGTATCCCTCGTATTCTCACGTCGACACAGATGCCGTGGTAAAGCCAGACGTGATCTCGACGAGGAACAGTAGCTTCGAAACCGAGTTCCCACGTCCTCCCGTCAGCACCGTGCCTAGAAAAGCTTATATGGACTTGAGAGACGCCATCGCTTTGTTGGACGAAACCTGTCCGAACCAGGAACCCAGTCCGTCCCTCACGCCGAGAACACCGAGAACTCCACTGACGTCGCATCCGCGAAACAAAAGGGCCAGATCCAAGAGTAGCGACAACTCGTCGAATTACAGTAACGACAGAATGAGCGATCGTTCGTTCGAAAACCCGCGAGCACAGGAGAAGGAGAAGGAGAAGAAGCGACCGTTCTTGAAGAAGATCGGTATATCAAAGACGGAGGACAAACCCTTCCTGGCGAAGCTGGCGCCTAAGATAATAGGTAAGCCGTACTTGGAGAAGATCGGACCGAGCAAAGCCGTCGAGAAGCCTTTCCTGGACAAGATTGGCTCATCGAAGACGTTGGACAAATTCTTTTTCGAGGCCCCGCGGTACGAACGAAAAGGCGAAACGCCAAAGGCAGACGAAGTTGTGAAGATTGCGGAAGCAAAGAAACCAGAAGAAAAGAAGCTTATCAAGATGGATCACCAGTCGTTTGACGTCGAAAGAAGACGATCCGGCAAGGGTCATCTGTTGAAGATGTACTCGTTCGAAACGGAGGATCTAGAGTCGACGGTTCAGGCGAAGGATCATATTCGAGATCCTCTTCGAGGCGCCTCTCTAGACGATGTCCTCGACTCGGGTCCGAGCTCTCTACCACTGGAAACCATAACGGACGAACCATCGCCACCACCAAAGGTAAAAACGAAAGAACGAACCGCGAACGGTGTCGAGCTTTTGAAGTGCCGCGTTACAACCAGCGAGGAGATTATTTTTTCCGGCGCCAGCTATGGCTCGGATAAGGAATCTAGCAGCTGGGGCAATTCGCCTAGAACGAAATGGCAATCAATAAAAGACACTGGTACGCCAATAACGCCTACTCGTCGCAAAGTTATTCAAAGTTGTCAACATAGCGAAGACAGCGTTCCTAATTCACCGACTAAACGACCCATCTCCTCCGTTCTGCCAGACCGTCAGGATGATTCGCAACAAGCCGACACCTCGGAGAAAAGTATTTGTTCCCCGATGAAAAGCAGGAGACAGACGTACGAGGATTTACTGAACGCATATGGAAAGAAGAAGGAACCTCTTCAGAAGCCGAATGACAAACAGGCACAATTTGAAAGACGAGGTATATCCTCGGACAATCTTTTGTCGAAGGATCGTTCGTTGGCCGCGTCTGTCTTCCTGGCTGGTGACCACCAAGTCGAAAAGACGAGGGAGGCGTCGTCGGAGGACTCGTTGGCTCATCGCACCGCTCAAGAATACACGAGGGAAACGTTCAAACAGCTACAGGATAAATTCAAGTACCATGAAGTACCGACTGAAACGTACGCGGACTTTAAGCGACGAACGCGAGGAGGGAACGTTCAGGGTATAATTGCGAGACAAGAAAAATTGAAAGCGGTGACGGACACTCGTGAGGAACGTTTAAAGATTAAGACAGAGGAAACGGACGCGGACTCGAGCACCGATGGAAGAACCGGATACTTACGAGTCCAAGGAAGCACGAGATCTCTACTAAAGAAACAAGAGGAAATAGATCATCCTAGCGATCAGGAATCGGACAGCAACGCGTCTATAAGACGTCCCAAGCGACGAATCTTCCACGAGCCTTCCCAGGAAACAATGGACCTGCTGACGGAACTGAGAAAGGTGAAGAGTTTACTGAAGACTCCGTCGTGGGAGAAGGATCTCGAGTTGGATAAGAAACCAACTCGTCAACCAAAGCGTATTCTGTTAACCGACAAAGAATTTTGTCTGTCGGTTGAACGGGAGAATAGTATTCGACGTCCGTCAAAGGTGCTGAATTCTCTTGAGAGAAGAGAGGAAAGTCAATTGGATGGAAAGCAGGAGGAAGATGAGAAGAAGCTTCCTGGACCAGCTTTGTTCGAGAAGAAGTGTCTTTCGTTAGATTATGCCGACGATGAGAAGCCACAAAAAGCGGAAAGAACGATTTCGCTGGCCTCTAGAAATTTTCTCTCACAATCAGAGGCTGAAGAAGCGGTCAATTATTGCGACTCGAAGAACTACTCGTCGAATGTGTTTAATAATACTTGCTCGAGAGAAACGACGAATGGAAAGGAAAATGGCAACGAATCGGACAAGGATGCGAAGAGAAGTGGTCAGAATCATTGCGCGGAGGTGGACATCGCCATTCCGATTGATCAGAAAGCTAGCAGTCCAAAGGTTAGGGGTCAGATTCAGGGTAGAACGAGCGATCTTTACGAGATCATATCCCCGAGATCAACGCCTTTCCGAGCGAAAAGAAGGCTCGGAAAGATCTCCGTGGAGGAGAGCGTGAAACCGGAGAGTTTCACCCTGGGTTCGAAGGTCGACTGCCGATCCACCGTTACACAGAAACGGACCAAGTGCTTCCCTTTATAACGCACGTCGACCTGCCCGTGGGCGAAACCCTCTCTGTGACCAGACCAGAGGGTCTACGCGTTCACCCTGAAGGAAATTCCAGGCAAAGGTAAAGCCTGATTCGTTTCGTTGCTCCTTTAACTCTTCTGCTTCTCCTTAAGCTCTTTATCGGGTGAATTGCTACCAATAGATTCTTTCAAATTAATCCCAGAAATATTTCTTTCAATAAATCTTTTAAGAAAAAGAAATATTGCTGGGAATTACGGAATTAAAATTAAAAGAATATACACCTAATTAGAAAAAACTATGAATATGACGAAAAATAGAAATCGGAAGAGTTAACGCGATCTGGTTTACTTTCATGCCCTTATCTTCGTTTTCAATTTCAGTCAGGGTGACAATGACAAGAAAAATTTGTCAGTTGTTCTTGGGGATAACACCGTAAGTATTTTCTTAATCAGCACCTTTTTCTTTCAATCAAAGGATCAAAGACAATGCAAAATATTGATCAATTTTAAATGTTTGCTCTAGTTTTATTGAAATTGCTCGTCCAAGATGATCGTTGCCACGTTTCAAAGAGAAAGAACAGCAAGCTTTTCACGCTCGTCAAGTACCGCGTCTTTACACTCGCAGGTATATTCTAAAGGAAAAAAATAAAACACCGACCACTTTTTACCCGACGTTTCGCGATAGGAAACGGCTCGAAAAAGCTCGACAGCCATCGATCGAGGCGAACCTTGCGTAAAATCATCGGCTGATGAACAGAAAAGTAAAAGAAAAATCTCTCCACAAACCATCGAACAACAACAACGCGTGTTTGCCCCTGTCGAGCAGTGCCTTGTTCGTGGATATATTTATTTAAACAAAAAATAAGATATAAAAGAAAAAAGAAAACGCAAGAAAAAAAAGAAAAAATTGAAAGAAACAAAAAATCGTGTACCGACGATCTATATATTAGTAAAATATGTATTCCGACTACGGGCCGGATTTTTCATGAATGGGTCCACGGAGTTGCGCTTTCGTAATGAACAATTTTCAAGAAATTAAAAGAAAAACGCATTCGAATTAAAGAGAAGAACATTGACAATTCTCATTGACCACGATTTTTAATAATCTTCTTGAAAAGGTCCTCGAAGTTGGTTGAGAGATGGTGAACGATCCTTAAGATTTCACGAGAGTGCAACTCCCACGCTCGCCAAGCCTATTCTCTTTGTTCGGCGAAGCGCGTGACGTTTTAACGACACGAACATACATAGAAATATATTATACATATTGAAGAATAACAGATTGTTACGTTCCTCCGATAATTTTTTAGAAGTAGATAGGGCCTAACTGGGCACCAGATGGAATAATACGGAAAGTACAGATTAATGTAGATATATGTATACATATACATATGTATGTACGTAAGAGAAAAGAGGTACATACTCACGTTACCCAGATATGGGATATTTGTACGTATTCTATAGGTTTTCTTAAAAAGGATGCACACCATAAAAACTATATAAATTCTTCGTAACAAAAGAAATAGAAAAAAATGACAAAGACCTTTTCGATTCCCTTTGCATGGAGAATTTCTAGTTTTTCATAGTTTGTATCTTCTTTGAGTATAACCGTGTATATTATACATATATTCAGGATATGGTTGCGATGATATTACAGTTTGGGTGTACTGAAAAAATTCATTGTAATCACGTCCTGTGTATGTATATGATTATTAGAGATTAAAGCAAGTTGATATTACAATGATACAATACAATGATGCATACTTGTATACAGCAGGTGACAAGTATGCAAAGGCGTATGCGTACCTAAATAGGTGTACTTGTACGGAAATCCTATAATTGACGAAATGTGCCAAAGAAAGATACGATTTATTGTACGTTACGGAGTTACTTTTCTATATACACATAATATATCTATACATACATATATATTTATACAGAGGGTTTCTATCGGTGTACAGCACCTCGGATCAAAGAATGGTAACGTATTTACGCATACTCTGTCAATGTGCTATGCCGTTTCGTCTAATCGATCAACATTTGAAGTATCTCGTTAGAGTTTTAATAATCGAAATAAGTATCAATGAAAGAAGGAATTTATTTTGAAGGAAAGACACAACCTTTCTCCGTTGTCAAAAAACATCTGAGATATTTCAAATGACTATAATACAGAAACGACGTTATGTAAAACTTAGAATCGATATACATATGTATGTGAGTAGACTATTAAGAGAAGAGTAATAATAAAAATTCGCTCATCGTTGGTAGAACAATTAATATCGAGCTGAACACGGTATCTTCGATCCGAGGTGTAATAGATTTTTAAAAACACTCTGTATGTACGTGGGGTGTTTCCACGTGTTGGTGTTTTATTTATTTTTTTATTTATTTATTTTTTTCTTTTTTTTTTTTCGTGGTGCGACACGCACGACGCGTGATTTGTCCACTGCACAGATATGACGATTAAATGTGTGGTCTGTGAAGTGGAATGAAAATAAAATTATGGCGAGGCAGGGTTCGCATTCTAATACGGAGGCATAAATCGTCCAGGCTCGTTCTTAACTTTACAAAGAAAGAAAGATCTCGTATCCGCAGCAGCCATCCGTCCACCTTTTCGGCTGTCCATGCTGGTCAGGCATGGTTTCTCGCAGGCGAGATTTTAGTGGCCGAGAACGAACCCCTCTAATAATAATTAACGTCCATTCGTACGGTTCTGAATATTTTAAAGTTTTATTCGAAAGAGTTTATTGTCCGTATTAGTACAATTTAGCCTAATTGTACAATTTTCTTATTCACAGAGGATATTTATTGTTGAACGGATTTTAAAGATTTTATTGTTCGTATTCTATCGAACGTGCCCGACTTAACGTTTATTTAAAAAATTTCATCAAGCGAAATCAACTCGGGCAAAAGTAGACGTTGATTCTTTGATCGACAATATATATAATAAACGACCTAATGTTGAATACATTTGTCTTTCTCGCTTTTTATTTAACAGTTATTCTAAAACTTTTCACCGCAACTGTATACATATACATGTACAATACACAACATCATAAGTTTTCGAAGCTTTATACACACAAGTAATAACAATTTTCTGCAGCAACAGTTTGCTCGTAGAAATTTATAAGATTGTTGCCCGATAGAAACGAATTTAATAAATAACGTTATATTTTTTATTTGTCGTTTTAAAAAATAAGTGAAATAGCAATTGTATTCTAAAATTGTATTGAACAATTTATTTCATTTGATCGATATGTTATTGTTAAAGAAAAGAAATGATTTATGGTATAAATGTTGAAATTTTCTACAAAATATCGCGCTGAAAAATATACGTAAAAAAGATGATTCAAAGTTAAGGCGAACGGCTTGATGAAATCAATTTTTAAAAGTACACGCTTTCGAGAGCTCATTTTTAAAGTTTTCCGCGTTTCACGATTTCTCTATCCGCGCGTTTCTTATCGCCCAAAATTCCGGAATCGTTGAGAACGAGTTTTAAATGCAGTCCATTTACCAAGCTGAACTTAATGGCGAGCGAGTGAGCGATGTTTTGTAAATTGTGTAATAAGTGTTTTAAATAAAACACGATGTGGTACATTTTGTGTAACATTGATACGTTGTTGTAAATAATAAATAGATCGTATGTTGAATCGTGAGTATTTATTGATCCTCATTGTCACTCCTATCATTTCATATCTCTCTCGTCCGTAAAGGATATAGCACGATAAGATGGTCAAAAGTACCCTTGAGCCGATTCTACTTCGCAATGCACCATTCGATACCTTATCCCACGAAACCATGGTACACCAAGTTTCAACCCTGTACCTCAACCAGGAGAGTAGTTATAGGGTAAGGATAGAAATTACGGTTTTTGCCCTATTTCTCCTATTTAACATTGTGCAAAAATTCTGAAAAAATTCCAGACTATTCTAGACATGCTTATTTATCACTGTGAATTTTTTCAGATTTTTTGATTGTAAATCCTAGCCGTGAAAAATCAAAAACACAAAAAAATGTCGAGAAATGTAGATTTCGGGTAGAAGTTTTCGAGCAATTACATTTTTACTTCCACAGTAGTTAGATATTACTATGACTATTATCTCCAATTTTTTCAGATTTTTAGGTATAGTGCATCGTACTTAAAAGAATCAAAAACCTACATTTTCGGCGTATTTTGTGCGATAACTTGAGAAATACCTTCAATTTTTACATTTCTTTTATATGATTAGTCGATTGTGTGGTTTTTAATATTTTTATGTTGGATGGAGCAATATCTGATTGGAAAAAGTGAAGTTATTGTAAATAATTAAAAATTTCCCGCTTATCCACTAAAATATTATATAACTTTTCAATATCGTCGATGGGTGAGTCGGTAAGGTCCTACGACTACGAACCCGATGGAAACTATCTTGTTGCAGGTTCGCCTCCCATGAACGTCCAACTTTTTTTTTCATAAAATCATTTTTTTTTTAAATTACTAATTACATCAGAATACACAATAATCATTTAATAACGTATGAAAAATGTTTCTAAAATATTTTATCATTAAGTATATATAAAAATAAGTTGTGCACTACTTCTAACAGCACTACAATTAAGATAAAACATACACTGCGTTCCATATCCATCATAAACCTATTTGTTGCCCAGGATTCGCGGCTCTCCCACGGGACCCTTGACCGGCTGCGCAGTAGTTAATTGTTGCATTTATTTGACAAACTTGTATTCATTTCATACCCTTTAATAAATAAATCATTTGAAAAATGTAACTGAGTTATTATTTAATATACCCAATTTCATTTCTGAGTCATTTAATACTCGTAATTTATTTTCTCAGCTATATATTTAATTAATTGAAATTGTTTTATCATTTTAGTTATTCTATGTAAGTACTATAAATATGTTTCGGGGTCCCTGATACCCCGTATGCCATAAAGTCGGTATGCAGCGGGATGCTTCGGGGTCCTCGGCACCCCAGAGATAGCAAGTCTATAAGTAAGCAGCGCCATTCGAGCATCGGGGTCCTCGACACCCCAAAGATAGCAGGTTGAATAGTACGGATCGGAATTTGCCAATTGGGGTCCTCGGCACCCCAAAGATAGCAGATCTATAAGTAGGAAGCGCCATCCGAGCATCGGGGTCCTCGACACCCCAAAGATAGCCGATTGAATAGTAGGGATCGCAATTTGCCATTCGGGGTCCTCGGCACCCCAAAGATAGCAGGTTGAAAAGTACGGATTAGAATTTGATCCTTGACCGGCTGCGCAGTAGTTAACGGAGGGAGTTAGCGCTGCGCAGTAGATTTTTTATAAAGAGGCTTTACCCAGAGAGGCTGGATTTGACCCCTCTTAATGAATATCTAATTAATTTTTAAATTGGAGCACTTTTAAGAATGCCCAAAAATCGTGTTCCTCCTGGATTTCAGCGCTCCCGCGGGGACCTTGACCGGCTGCGCAGTAGTTAACGGAGAGAGTTAGGGCTGCGCAGTAGATTTTTTATAAAGAGGCTTTACCGAGAAAGGCTGGATTTGACCCCTCTTAATGAATATCTAATTAATTTTTAAATTGGAGCACTTTTAAGAATGCCCAAAAATCGTGTTCCTCCTGGATTTCAGCGCTCCCGCGGGGACCTTGACCGGCTGCGCAGTAGTTAACGGAGAGAGTTAGGGCTGCGCAGTAGATTTTTTATAAAGAGGCTTTATCGAGAAAGGCTGGATTTGACCCCTCTTAATGAATATCTAATTAATTTTTAAATTGGAGCACTTTTAAGAATGCCCAAAAATCGTGTTCCTCCTGGATTTCAGCGCTCCCGCGGGGACCTTGACCGGCTGCGCAGTAGTTAACGGAGAGAGTTAGGGCTGCGCAGTAGATTTTTTATAAAGAGGCTTTATCGAGAAAGGCTGGATTTGACCCCTCTTAATGAATATCTAATTAATTTTTAAATTGGAGCACTTTTAAGAATGCCCAAAAATCGTGTTCCTCCTGGATTTCAGCGCTCCCGCGGGGACCTTGACCGGCTGCGCAGTAGTTAACGGAGAGAGTTAGGGCTGCGCAGTAGATTTTTTATAAAGAGGCTTTATCGAGAAAGGCTGGATTTGACCCCTCTTAATGAATATCTAATTAATTTTTAAATTGGAGCACTTTTAAGAATGCCCAAAAATCGTGTTCCTCCTGGATTTCAGCGCTCCCGCGGGGACCTTGACCGGCTGCGCAGTAGTTAACGGAGAGAGTTAGGGCTGCGCAGTAGATTTTTTATAAAGAGGCTTTACCGAGAAAGGCTGGATTTGACCCCTCTTAATGAATATCTAATTAATTTTTAAATTGGAGCACTTTTAAGAATGCCCAAAAATCGTGTTCCTCCTGGATTTCAGCGCTCCCGCGGGGACCTTGACCGGCTGCGCAGTAGTTAACGGAGAGAGTTAGGGCTGCGCAGTAGATTTTTTATAAAGAGGCTTTATCGAGAAAGGCTGGATTTGACCCCTCTTAATGAATATCTAATTAATTTTTAAATTGGAGCACTTTTAAGAATGCCCAAAAATCGTGTTCCTCCTGGATTTCAGCGCTCCCGCGGGGACCTTGACCGGCTGCGCAGTAGTTAACGGAGAGAGTTAGGGCTGCGCAGTAGATTTTTTATAAAGAGGCTTTATCGAGAAAGGCTGGATTTGACCCCTCTTAATGAATATCTAATTAATTTTTAAATTGGAGCACTTTTAAGAATGCCCAAAAATCGTGTTCCTCCTGGATTTCAGCGCTCCCGCGGGGACCTTGACCGGCTGCGCAGTAGTTAACGGAGAGAGTTAGGGCTGCGCAGTAGATTTTTTATAAAGAGGCTTTATCGAGAAAGGCTGGATTTGACCCCTCTTAATGAATATCTAATTAATTTTTAAATTGGAGCACTTTTAAGAATGCCCAAAAATCGTGTTCCTCCTGGATTTCAGCGCTCCCGCGGGGACCTTGACCGGCTGCGCAGTAGTTAACGGAGAGAGTTAGGGCTGCGCAGTAGATTTTTTATAAAGAGGCTTTACCGAGAAAGGCTGGATTTGACCCCTCTTAATGAATATCTAATTAATTTTTAAATTGGAGCACTTTTAAGAATGCCCAAAAATCGTGTTCCTCCTGGATTTCAGCGCTCCCGCGGGGACCTTGACCGGCTGCGCAGTAGTTAACGGAGAGAGTTAGGGCTGCGCAGTAGATTTTTTATAAAGAGGCTTTATCGAGAAAGGCTGGATTTGACCCCTCTTAATGAATATCTAATTAATTTTTAAATTGGAGCACTTTTAAGAATGCCCAAAAATCGTGTTCCTCCTGGATTTCAGCGCTCCCGCGGGGACCTTGACCGGCTGCGCAGTAGTTAACGGAGAGAGTTAGGGCTGCGCAGTAGATTTTTTATAAAGAGGCTTTACCGAGAAAGGCTGGATTTGACCCCTCTTAATGAATATCTAATTAATTTTTAAATTGGAGCACTTTTAAGAATGCCCAAAAATCGTGTTCCTCCTGGATTTCAGCGCTCCCGCGGGGACCTTGACCGGCTGCGCAGTAGTTAACGGAGAGAGTTAGGGCTGCGCAGTAGATTTTTTATAAAGAGGCTTTATCGAGAAAGGCTGGATTTGACCCCTCTTAATGAATATCTAATTAATTTTTAAATTGGAGCACTTTTAAGAATGCCCAAAAATCGTGTTCCTCCTGGATTTCAGCGCTCCCGCGGGGACCTTGACCGGCTGCGCAGTAGTTAACGGAGAGAGTTAGGGCTGCGCAGTAGATTTTTTATAAAGAGGCTTTATCGAGAAAGGCTGGATTTGACCCCTCTTAATGAATATCTAATTAATTTTTAAATTGGAGCACTTTTAAGAATGCCCAAAAATCGTGTTCCTCCTGGATTTCAGCGCTCCCGCGGGGACCTTGACCGGCTGCGCAGTAGTTAACGGAGAGAGTTAGGGCTGCGCAGTAGATTTTTTATAAAGAGGCTTTATCGAGAAAGGCTGGATTTGACCCCTCTTAATGAATATCTAATTAATTTTTAAATTGGAGCACTTTTAAGAATGCCCAAAAATCGTGTTCCTCCTGGATTTCAGCGCTCCCGCGGGGACCTTGACCGGCTGCGCAGTAGTTAACGGAGAGAGTTAGGGCTGCGCAGTAGATTTTTTATAAAGAGGCTTTATCGAGAAAGGCTGGATTTGACCCCTCTTAATGAATATCTAATTAATTTTTAAATTGGAGCACTTTTAAGAATGCCCAAAAATCGTGTTCCTCCTGGATTTCAGCGCTCCCGCGGGGACCTTGACCGGCTGCGCAGTAGTTAACGGAGAGAGTTAGGGCTGCGCAGTAGATTTTTTATAAAGAGGCTTTATCGAGAAAGGCTGGATTTGACCCCTCTTAATGAATATCTAATTAATTTTTAAATTGGAGCACTTTTAAGAATGCCCAAAAATCGTGTTCCTCCTGGATTTCAGCGCTCCCGCGGGGACCTTGACCGGCTGCGCAGTAGTTAACGGAGAGAGTTAGGGCTGCGCAGTAGATTTTTTATAAAGAGGCTTTACCGAGAAAGGCTGGATTTGACCCCTCTTAATGAATATCTAATTAATTTTTAAATTGGAGCACTTTTAAGAATGCCCAAAAATCGTGTTCCTCCTGGATTTTGGATCCCTTAAAAAGTGTCCCTTAATAAGGGTTTTAGGACGTCTCAGCATCACTCAGATAAAAGAAGGATACGGCCATGTTCACTCTATTTCTGGCAACAATGATATACGGGATGTATTAAAACAACGGGTATAAAAAATACATACAATTTTATATACATTTAAATAACCTTTATTACTTTGCTTTTGTACAAACATGTCAGTCCTTAAATTATCTTAAACCTACATTTCAAGTATACAAAATAAATAGAAATTTAATGATCTATTATAATTAATGCATGGATACACTAATCTTTATAACTGCTGTCAGATAAATTGTTGCATTTATTTCATAAACTTGTATTCATTTCATGCCAATTAATAAATAAATCATTTGAAAAATGTACCTGAGTTATTATTTAATTTACCGAATTTCATTTCTGAGTTATTTAATACCCGTAATTTATTTTCTCAGCTATTTACTTAATTGATTTAAATTCTTTTATCATTTTAGTTATTCAGTGTAAGTACTATAACTTCGTTGCGGGGTCCTTGACACCCCAAAGATATCAGGTCGATAAGTAGTGAGCATCATTGATGCATTGGGGTCCTTGATACCCCAAAGATAGCAAGTCGATAAGTAGGGAACGCCGTTTGTACCTTGGGGTCCTCGACACCCCAAAGATAGTAGGTTGAATAGTAGGGAGCACAATCGGTGATTCGGGGTCTTCAGCACCCCAAAGACAACAAGTCGATAGGTAGAGAGCGCCGTTGGTGATTGGGGGTCCTCAGCACCCCGAAGACAACAAGTCGATGGGCAGAGAGCGCCGTTGGTGATTCGGGGTCCTTAGTACCCCAAAGACAACAAGTCGATAGGCAGAGAGCGCCGTTGGTGATTCGGGGTCCTTAGCACCCCAAAGACAACAAGTCGATAAGCAGAGAGCGCCATTGGTGATTCGGGGTCCTCAGCACCCCAAAGACAACAAGTCGATAGGCAGAGAGCGCCGTTGGTGATTCGGGGTCCTCAGCACCCCAAAGACAACAAGTCGATAGGCAGAGAGCGCCATTGGTGATTCGGGGTCCTCAGCACCCCAAAGACAACAGGTTGATAAGCAGAGAGCGCCGTTGGTGATTCGGGGTCCTCAGCACCCCAAAGACAAGAAATCGATAAGCAGACAGCGCCATTGGTGATTCGGGGTCCTCAGCACCCCAAAGACAACAGGTTGATAAGCAGACAGCGCCATTGGTGATTCGGGGTCCTCAGCACCCCAAAGACAACAAGTCGATAAGCAGAGAGCGCCATTGGTGATTCGGGGTCCTCAGCACCCCAAAGACAACAAGTCGATAAGCAGAGAGCGCCATTGGTGATTCGGGGTCCTCAGCACCCCGAAGACAACAAGTCGATTAGTAGAGCGCTATTGGTGATTCGGGGTCCTCGACACCCCAAAGATAGCAAATCGACAAATAGGAAACGCCGTGGGTGCATCGGGGTCCTTGGCACCCCAAAGATAGCTGGTCGAATGGTAGGGAGCGCCATTGGTACATCGGGGTCCTTGATACCCCTGTACGATGTCATCCCAGTATACCTGCTGCTTTGGGGTCCCTGATACCCCATCATGATATTAGATCGATGACTATCTCCGCCCTGTTACTGGCACCGGTGTTTGCAATTACAGAATAATATATGTTTATAAATTTTATGAAGATACATATTTGTTTTAAACAAAATGTTTCGTAATGGTATAGTAAGGAAAGCACAATTTTTAATATTATTTTATAGAAATGGTTTATGTTATCGGAAAGTAAGTTTAAATGTCTACTAAAAGATTGTACATATATTAAAGAATATTTAAATTATTTTCCATGTCATTCTTATGTAGAATATTATTTTATTTTAGATGATAACAAAATGTCGATTAATATTAGTCGCCTGTACACATGATTTAGCTGTAAATACACAGACGTTTATGAAGCAAAATGTTCAACCAGTCAATAAATTTGTGTGGAGAAGTCATACATGCGGAGAACTAAGAAGTGAAAATGTGGGAGAAAAAGTTCAATTATATGGCTGGTTAGAATTTTCCAGAACTAATAAATTTCTGTTATTGAGAGATTCTTATGGTTCCGTACAACTTATCATACCTAATCATGTAAGTTAATATTTACACATTCAATTGATATACATATGTACACATCAGAATAAAAAAGTATCTTCTATCTTAGAGAGAAGATCTAGGAGTGATAGCAAAAAATTTAGCTTTCGAAAGTGTGCTATTTGTAGAAGGTATAGTATTGAAAAGACCAGAGGGTCAAGAAAATGAAAGAATGAAAACTGGAGATATAGAAGTACAAGTTCAATCCTTGGAAGTTTTAAATTCAGCAAAACCAAATTTACCATTTATTATCAGAGAATATAATAAAGCAAAGGAAAGTACTCAGTTGAAGTTTAGATACATATCCTTGAGGTATCCTGAATTGCAGAGGAATTTAAGATTGCGTTCAAAAGTTATAATGAAAATGAGGGAATATCTAATTAATGAATGTGATTTTGTGGATATAGAAACTCCAACACTGTTTAAAGTTACTCCTGAAGTATGTATGTTAATATCATCTATAATGTACTACAGTTAGATTTTTAAGATTTTATCTTCTTTATACAGGGTGCTCAAGAATTTATAGTTCCAACACAACATCCAGGACAATTTTATTCTTTAGTACAGAGTCCACAACAGTTTAAACAATTATTAATGATAGGTGGTTGTGATAGATATTTTCAAATTGCCAGATGTTATAGAGATGAAAAACCTACACACAATAGACAACCTGAATTTACACAGGTATGTACATATTTTATATTGTAAATATATAAAATATATTGATATTCTTTACTTTATTACTTCATAGCTGGATATAGAAATGTCATTTGTTGATTGTAAAGGAGTAATGAAATTAATTGAAAATTTAATAGTATATTGTTGCCCCAAAGAAGCAGGAGAAGTAACAATTCCTTTCAAGCATCTCACATACACTGAGGCAATGGAATCTTATGGTTCAGATAAACCAGATTTAAGGATACCACACAAAGTAAGAATTAATTATCCTTTAACTTCAAATTTCTAAAATAACGTTATTAAGCATAATATTATTAATATTTCAGCTTCATAAACTTACAGAAATGATTGATCATTCAGCATTGGAACAGACTTTTAAAATGAAATGGCATGAAAACCATGAGGTTTATGGTTTGGTATTTTCCAATAAGCACGTATGTTCGTCTGCTATTTATATTTTTATTATTTTCTCATTTTTATAAATTTATAATATATCCTTTTATACTTTAGGAGTTTCTTACAAAGACTGTTAAGGAAAATATTTCTAGTCTACAACAGAATTATTTCCCTTCTGTAAAATTAATTCAATTAAAAACAAGTAACAAATCGCCCATATTAACAAATGTTATTAAAGAAAATATACAGCAGAGGTTAAATTTAAAAGAAGGAGATGTCTTCTTCTTGGCTTACGGTGAAGAATTTCAAACAGTAAATATATCAGTTGCATTATATTTTTTAAATTCATTAATTACATTAGTATAATATAAATGTTATTCTTAAAATTACAGCAATCGTTATTAGGAAAAGTGCGTCTTCAATTCACAGATATATTAGAAAGTAAAGGTGAACAAATCCGTATCTCTGCAAATGAATTCTTATGGGTTACCGATTTTCCATTATTTTCATTCAGTACTAAAACAAATAAATTAGAAACTATGCATCATCCATTTACGCGTCCTCACCCAGATGATATTCAATACCTTCTGGAAAATCCACTGAAGGTATTATTGTCGCTTAATTAGTAAGTTCATAAGTAATCGTATAGATGTAACAGAATACTTATATTTATAGGTTAGAGGATTACATTACGATTTAGTTATGAATGGTTCAGAAATTGCAGGAGGTTCAATAAGAATTCATGAAGCAGAGCTTCAAAAGAAAATACTTAAGATGTTAAATGTGGATGAATCACATTTAACGCATATGCTTGATGCTCTAGAATGTGGTGCTCCACCACATGGGGGAATTGCTATAGGTATTTCATTTCTATTTTAAATTTAAATGATGTTTGATAATAAGATACTAAAATCAGAAATTTGCTTTTAAGGATTAGATCGTTTCATAAGTTTATTGTGCAACACAGAAAATATAAAAAATGTGATAGCATTCCCAAAAACTACAGCAGGACGAGATTTAATGTCAGGAGCTCCAGTTTCAATTTCTGATGAAGAAAAAACGTTGTATCATATAAAAACGATAGAAGAATAAAACGATCTGATATATTTTCTATTTGATTTTAAGATTATTTAATTACATTCCTATTAACACTAGAATTACAAAAGTAGTAAAAGCGACTGGTACATAATTTCTCAAATTCACAACAATATTTCTTTCTATACTTTTCGCAATTATTACTGGAGTATGTAAATAAGTGGATCAATTTATTTTCCCTTTTTTCCCCATTCTTTTTTAAAGTTATATACATAGTGTACTTATATGCAGAAATCAATCAACGCGTATCATCAACCGTAGGTAGTTCTAGTGTTAAAAAATCTGCATCTAATCCATGGAAAAAATGCGTGTAATTAAAATGACACAAAGTAAATTAATGGAAAATATGATAAATTTATAAAATTAATTTCACATTAATTTAATACTGGAACTAAAGTGAGAAATTCTATACTGATTAAATGTACATTTTACAAAGTCTTAAAGTAAAATCAAACTTATTCAAACAGGAAAATTATAATACTGTTTGTTCAGCAGTATCTGTCCTAATGGAATAGAAAATAAAATGATAAGACGAAATTTTAACGTACAAAAAAAGTGTTTTATTAGAATCTTTTTCTTTTAGTAAAATCTCATGCGCCCTATTAGTACTTTTAGAGGAAAATAAAAATTTAATCTGCGCAACAAGTAATTCAATTGATTACATTACCGTTAGGGATCATTTAAACGCATCTTTTTTTTTTCTTAAGGAATATACATAAATAAAATTTCATTCAACAAATGTTTCCTAATGAATATGTTGATATGTTGTTACATTTAATCGTTAATAGAAGAAGACATTATTTTTTCCACTGCGTTATGATCATTTCGACTTAGCGAACTAGAACACAGATGTGTTTGCAAAATCATAAACATAATTGTATAACTTACAAAGAAAAATGAGGAAAACCTAACGATTTTAATTATGTTTATAAATTAGAACGTTTATTGATAAAATATAACGTTAAAAGTATGTGTACTCTAAATCATTCTAAATTGAACGATAACTTTTGGTTTTTCGTATGGTCCTAGTTCTCTAAGCAACTACACATGTTATATTGTTACGAATTGATTTTTATCTTGCGCAGAAAGATTTGAAATTTACTTAAAAAGTAGTACTGAACGTGAATACGTTTCGCCTACAAATACTCGACGATAATTCGGTACGAAAACTTAACGTAGGAACTTAGTAACGTCACGGGGAAACATAAATGTGAATTATATCAGTAATAAATAATTAATTATCTAAACATATTTTCATAATCATCTATGAAATATAATCAATTATTTAAGACATCTAATCATAAATCAATTCTAAATCCCCATGTTAAGTAGCCGTACGTATCAACGATCGAGACAGGGGCGTAAATGAAGATGTTGCATAGTTTAGAAAGAGGAACTATTTATCTTTCGTTTTAAACGATTGTATTCATTACAAGATAAACGAACGTTGAGAAACGTTTAACATTTTTTCTTTATTTTCTATAACACCTTCACTATAGACGACGGAATATAAAATATACAAGTAGTCAATAAAGACTGATGATTTGAAAAAAAAAAAAAAAGTCGGAAATTTTTCTTTTACTTCTTCGCAGAGAAAACGGCAGGTGTTTTAATCAACTCGATAACAAGCAAATTATCAGTAATTTACGCCCCTGATTGATATTTGAAATGTGCAAACAAATTTTGAGTAGAATCCTTACCACTCGACGGATATGATCGATCGATGACCGACTTCCGTTATCGATCGGATAAAAATTCCATCTCACTAACTTGTCAGCGTATATGTACAAGTTTTTATCCTTATGGGAACACAAAGTTTTGCATGTTTACAGAAGTTTGTATTACTCTGAATTGTAGTTGGCAGTATAATGTATAGAGTGTTTAATCTATATACATGGATCTTGGTACTTATAGATGAATTTTCAATTTTCAATGTCCCATGATACCACCTTCTTACTTCAATCTAGTTGATCAAATTCGCCGTTTTCTTCGAGTTTAATTTATCCTCATTTTTTTAGGTCGCAAAACATTCTTAACAACAATTGCATTCCTTTTGTTTGTCTAACATAGATCGCGATATTTGCACACGCTGTTTCGCCATTTAGAAAAATACTATTTTACAAGACGAGGCGAACTCTCGCGTATCCGTCGCGCATGTATAATGCATACGAGCCCGCTGAACTCGAAAATGTACATACAAGCGACACATCCATATACAAAAGAAAAAGCACTCATACTCTCATTCATTCATCGTCGTCGAATTAATAGACAATAAACAAATATGTGACACAATCGTACATGTTATGCATATACACGCTTTTTCATATAGAATATTATAACCATCTACTCTTGTATATGGTATGTTAAGGAAAATGCCTAGAAATTCTAAAGGACACTGTGAATATAATGATATATACATACATGTATGATGAAGGCAGGGCTATATAATCGAACAGACAGAATATACATAAACACATAGCGTGGAATTACACAAAATTGTGTAGTATCCTATCTGCCTTTTTTTTTTTATACGCATTTAGTATTAAGCAAATGATACAATTTCGACAATCCATTACTAAACGGACAATGCAATATGTAATATGTAAAAAAGATAGATTGCCGAATTTTTTGTTATCAATGAAACATACGCGATGCCTGTCTATTCGAAAGCACCTGTTTGCTTAATAAGATGAGTTAAAATTTACCGAACTACTATGTGAGATGATTAGATTTAACTGCACTTCCTACAATCATCAAATGTTCTTTTTTTTCTCATCCGGCCCGCCGGTTCCACGCATGTAGATTATAAACGATACCATATTTAGAATAATACATACATATACAACAACATAAGTGCCAACGTTGGCAGTATATTTTCTGTGAATTATTATTTTATCGCATGGAAGTCGTAGAAACACAAGATACCTTACTGCCGTGACCAAAGTGTAAGACGTTTCACATGTTTACTGCGTATAATAAATAACCACGTTACTTATCGCTTTTACGCTTCATAACAGTTCATTGAATTTTAAGTCTGTTCATAATCATGTTAAAAATAAAAAAAAACAAAAAAAAACAAAAAAAAACAAAAAATATCCCTGATTTCGGACGGCCACTGCGGAATTTAATTAACAAAACCAATTACTTAATATGCATTAATGCAATATAATTATAACAGTTTCTCCATGCGCGATATCAGCGACTACAGTACTTCTTTTTTTCTTTTTTAAATACCAGTTTTTCGTTTCCCGCTTCTCATTTCTTTGTGCTGTAAACTCATTTCGAAAATACAATTATGTGACAAAAACATTCTGAAACATTGAGAAAGTGTATATAAACATATATGATTTTTCACGTTACCGTACTACACATCAACTTTTTGGTGCAATAAACCAAGACATACAGAGTTTCGGACTTTGTTAAAAAATGACCGATGATAAAGTTTGTAAAGAAATGCATGTGTAAAGTGATTAACTGCTAGAAAGTTAATCGGTGATATACAACTCACAGTGTTTTTTATAGTGTACAGTACATAAATTCTGTATCATTATACTACATACAGGTACACAAGAAGGAATTATGTACACAGGATGATGTATCCAAATATTAGCAATCTTTGTATTATACTTTAAAAAAGAGAGTTGATGTTGTATCACATTTCTTTAAATATTGACAAGGTATTATAATGGTCACGTTCATCGCGCCATAGAGTACACGACGACGAAGATAACGAAGATGGCAAAAATACATAAACAATGTATGACATACTGAAAACGAGCCAAGCGGGCCGATCCTCCTAGATATTGCAGCAATTTTTTCTGCTTCTTGGGTTCATTCCAATACCGGCGTCTCATACGTCGGCTACTTTACTTTGAACGTAATGTAAATGCAATTTCTGCTCGTGTAAGACACCCAAGAATTGTCCGTTATTGTTTCTTCCTCGAACCGATATCATTTTCAGTTCCTTCTTGCACACAATTAGGTAAAATCTTGCGAGCATTGCCCAGTGTCTGGTGCGTCGATTTTATGCACTTTCGTCTACGGTAGGTAACCAAAATGCCATGTTGGTACAGGCAGAAGCTAACATCATATATTTTGGATTAAATTGAATACACTGAACAGGTGCTGGATGATCTCCATTGAGCACGCAAACTTTGTATCCAGTTTCAGCGTTCCATACGTGCACTCTGCCATCTGTAGATCCACTAAATACAAACTGTGAGTCAGGACTGAAACTGGCTTCAATTGCGATTCCTTTATTGTTTAAGTAACCAGCAAATGTTTGTAATGGAGTACCATGAAATGCATCGATCAAACGAATCGTGCTACCATTTGTAGAAATCAAAATGGTTTTACCATCTCTGCTGAACTTTAATCCTGTCCAATCACATTCCTTTTCTTGAGACAATTTAAATGTAACAAATGGTCCTTTGTCAAAACTGCGCAAATCGTATAATTTTAAGAACTCTGAATTAACGCCCGCAGCAAAAATCAGACCTTCAGGATCGTATGCAGCAACTGGACGTCCGGAAACGTTCATCACACCGTGACAATTTGGTGAACGTAAATCCCATAGTCTTAATGATTTATCTAAAGAACCAGACAGAAATGTATCTTCAATAGGACTGATACATAACGATACAACTTTCTTGCTGTGACCTGGGAAATATCTGATATACTTGTTGTCGTGCAGACTTAGATAACGTATTGTGTCATCAATTTTAGTACTGCTATGTATTGCGGTGTTCTTTGCATGGGTAAAATGTATTAGATCAACACCATACTTCTTGGAATTGACTGTACGCACCTGAGTGCCCTTTTCACAGTCATATATCACGATCTGGTCATCCTCCGAGCAGGAGATCAAAGTGTCCCCGTTCGGTGAAAAGTCGATGCTATTTATGCGGTCGGAATTTTCACGGAAAACCTTGGCCACCTTGAAGCTCCTCACCACGTGGTCAACGAGCTTCATGGTGATGGACGGCGCGTTCTCCCTTTCGTGCCGTCCTCTTAACCTCCCCGCTTCCGCAATTTCTTTCTCCTTCCTTTTGATATGGCCTAGGCGCCGAGGCGCGAAGCTTCCGAGGAGGGGTCAGGGGTTTGGCCTATGTACCACTGTTATTCACCTCGCGGGAAAGAAAAAACCCGCGGGGAGTTCAAGAGGTCAAAGAAACCGAAACGATGCCGAACTATCAGCCTGTTTACTCTTTGATTTCTTAACGATTCTTTTCCTTGGTAGATAACCGTTTCTTTCTCAACCAACTTGCGTTTCCTTTAATTTGACAAAGGGCTTCTTCACAATGTCGCCTCTCTTTCCTACGAACGGACGCCGTCGGCAGACTAGCGCACACCGCACGCACAAATTCTGCCAACTGTTTAGAGAAATGGATGACGAATTATGCACCGTGAACGTTCTCAAGATACTGTAGATTCTTACCGTGGGTAGAGCTATCGATCTGCGATGACGTCGATACAACGCCGACTTCACGCAAACTGTTTTATCCGAAGAAACTTCAATTTGAAATGACGTATACAAGTTCTTAATTATTATTTACCTGAATCTAACTAGTTTGCTGTACAAATAATTAACTATCTAAAAAAGGTTCTTCGAAACATATTACATAATACATACAAATTTATTATCATCGTGTCACATAGTAAATATTGTACATAATACTTGATATTACGAGTCCATAACTGCGAAAAGACCAGTTTTCGTTCTTTTCTGCGCATTGTCGCTCTGATTGGCGATACTTCCAGCGGAAGTGGAAAGCGATTGGCGGATCGCTTTCCCCCACCATCTTCCAACCTGCGCGTCTTAGTTATGGACTCTCGTGACATCAAGTATAACTTAAGATTGGTACTCCTGTAATACTATGAATTTTCAAACGGTCTAACGCCAATGTTAACAATTTGAATATTAAATAAAAAATAAACAATGTAGAAAAGTGGTTGTACAAAATATGTATATAAATATCTTGCGATTTATTAAGCATTGTTTACTTCCTTTTGTAGCTTAAAATTTCATTGTACATGCAGTACATTGATATTTTAAAAATTATTAAACATTGACAAATGTTTCAGTTTCGAATGTAATTTCGCTATATAAATTATAAACATATAAAATTTACATTATCACAAGGTAATATGTTTGTTAATAATGTATTCTTTATTCTAAGAATAACAGTAACAATATTTTCTATCCCCTTTAATGTTTCGCTTCTTGCATAAGGAACCAAAATTTTGTAATTGCAATATCATTTAAATAGCATAAATATTTCTTTGCATTAGTATAAAATATCAGTTTAGACTTTTATAAAGTTATCCAACTATCTCTTTGACATTGTCAGAGGCATCATTTAGAATTGTATTAACTATTGTTAAGTACATAAGGCTTGTAAGCTTTTTATAGTTGAGGATGAAGTTTAAAATGAATGAAATAATGTTGTTTCTAATGCATCTTCTTGCTACACCAAATCAAGTCAATTAGCATATACATAACATTCATTGAAATTACATTTGATTTATAAAACTGAATGATAGTTGATGCTTAATAATGATACAATATAATTTCATTAAATATGTATGATTTATAATCATATGAAAATAGGTATGCAATCTTGCAATTAAAACTAGATATAAATATGTTTTATGTACCAAATTCAATATATATTTACAGCCATCAAATTGTGTTTTTATTTAAACTACTGGGTTTATACTTCTGTTTTTATAAATTCAAGCTAAAAAACATATATATTTACATCTAGATGTGCCGCTGAAAAGTGAAAATTATTAACACTATTTCTTAAAATACATTTGAACTTAATTGCACGAATTCCTTATTGTTATATATTTTCTATGAAGACTAATTTTTCAAGTAGATATAGCCTCAAAATATTAAAGCTTAAGATTATCTTTTAATAAAATTCTTTTCATTTCTGTTGTAAGGCTGATATTATATTGACTATCATTTGAGATTATATAAATCTATATAAATATTATTTGAATAGTTGATAAATTAAAATCAATTCTTTAATGTTATTAGATATCGTGTAAATAAATATTTAAATATATAATAATTCATTAAATATTACTTAATAAATAGTTTCACTTAATTAGACTTATGGAATGTGAAAATGAGACACTTTATTTTAATCAAGATATTGTGTTGCATCATTAATTAAATTAAGAAAATAATTATGTAATTATTATACATTTATATGTACTGCCTTTACATGTAACATTTTGTGTCAGTAGTCTTATTTTTCGTTGTTTTGTATATAGACCGAGGCGATTTTTAATAAACATTCAGCAGAACATGATTAAATATATTGAAACACTCTAAATAAAGTAAGAAACCTCTAGCTCTGGATTTCACTTTAGTTTATATTGGGGTGACACTATGCACAGTTCTATTTTCATATCTTTCTTTGATATTTGTATTTAAAAAGCTACATGTTTAAAAAAGAAATCTGAATTTGCAATGATAGTGACTTTGGTATATTGCATCAAAAATTAAATTAGCAAAAATATAGTTCTTTGTTTCAATTTCTTTTGTGCAATTATTGGTTAACTGTTAAATAGATTTGTATAAAGAGAAAGCTTCAGTTCTGGCACGCATTACTATATGACAAATTTGTTAAAAGTTTATACTTCTTTTTTATAACAATAACAATAACAATAACAATTATGGTATTTATAGTAGTTATAATGTCTTATAATAATCGTTTCTTTTAAAAGACATTACTAATGATTTGCTTGCAAGGAACATATACATTGTGGTAAAGCTCTGCATAAAGTATACTGAAAATTACGAGGCATCTAAAATAGAAGCCAATAAAAAGAAAAAATTACACATAAAAGTCAAAATCATCGGCATAAAATTTCTATAAAATTTAGCTCTTTGTATTATTGTTTTGTACATCAGTATACTTTACCCAAATCAAACCAATTACTTAGAAAACTGCTGCAGAGAGCAATAAACTTTTTTCTTGGTCCCTGAACCTAAAACTTGTACTTATATTTAGCACCTTACAACTTTTATGTTTGTTAAATTATTTGTCATGAGCTAAGAAATGTAATTGATGGAATAAAATTTTATAAACGTGTATGTGTGCGTGTAATATTACATTAAACAAAGTTTTAATTTATAAGCAATATAAACTTTGTTTATGTTATTTCCTCTTTAATATAAAATTTTCATGATTTTGTCTATAATATAATTATATATATTGTATAAAACATTATTATACAAATCTTAGCTCAGATTGTGACAATATAATCCAACTATATACATAAAATTAAAATTGAAGCCAAATTGCCAATTTTAATGATTATAAACTCAATATTTATAAGTCATATAAAAACATACAAATTTATAAATTTTTATTTTTATCTTTTGTGAAAAAAGAGAAAAATGTTTGAATTTACAATACAGGTGTATACGCGTAGATAACACTTAAATTGACAATATTTGCTTCTGATAAAATGTTATTATTATAAATCAGTACGTTGCATTCAATTTCAGTGGCTGAAAAATTTTCAAAGGTTCAGGGAAATCGACGAGTGCACTTAAACAGCAGATTGAGCTAGTTTAAATTAGTGCATTAATTAAATTATATCTTTTCACCGAAAGAACATTCTTTAAATTCATTTGCTAACAAATGTGGCAGCAATAAATTTAAATTAATTCATAAATATATACGTAGGTAAATATACACGTACATATTAATTTCATAGCCACTGGACATCGTGTTTATAAATTATACAGGTATATAATACCCCTTTTCACATTGTGCTGGTGTATTAGAATTTCAACTTCATAATACTTCACGAATTATTATATAAAACGTTCAAATAATCTTTACTTAAGTTTGTGCTACTTATATAATGATTGTGCGGTGCATAAAACGTATAATTGCTTAATTTGACAGGCCAATCATTAATTCATAATTACACAAACATAATTTTCTATTCACATTACTCTTATATAATTTATATATACATATCTATGTTATTGCATATACATATTATAAATGTATAAACTTCAAAAGCATGTTCGTATAATACTAAATGTCTTTAATCACGCTATCTATTTTGTAGGAAAGGCCTCATAGTGCTAAGTATAAGAAAAAAATTATGTTACGGATTTAATTTTTCTGTTAGCATGTTCTATGTCAAATTTTCTTCTATACCCTTTTTCCATGAGATTACGAAATCATGGAAGGATTTTTCTGTTCGTTAAATTTCATTGTTATCCATGAAAATGCATAAAAGCATAAAATATATTAATTCTCAAGACCGTTTTTGTGCCCATTTCAAATCATCCGCTCTTGGTTTACAACCAATAGCTTTTTCAATAATAACTTCTAAAATGTACCAAAATCGAAGTTGTTCTAATGGCCAATTCAACCATCCAGTGGTAATACAGAAGTAAGTTTCATGCGGTGCGACATGATGCACGCGATGATGTTTCCTAGGTAATATAATTCTGTGCTCCTGCAACCAGACAACCCATGTAGGTAGTCCGAAATACGTGTGTGACCATTTATGTATCTGAAAAAATTTTTTTATATTGTAGCTAAATACGTTACTCTGCTATGTTAAATATAAAGAAGGTGTCCAATGGAATAACTAATTTTTATTTTAATTACCTGATTAGTCATTGCTACAAAAATAGCAAGTAAAAACCAATAACAAGTCCAAAGAAATTTCTGCTGTATCTCTGATTCTGGTAGAGTGAGAAAGTCCCATGTTAGTTTACAAAGGAATGGAATTGTGACCATGAAATTATCACCGTTAGTTTCTATAAAATCATGTCTTGTTATGCTGGTTGGATCAATATGATGCTCTCGAAATGGTCTCAAGAAGTTCTGTAAAAAGAAAAAACATTGAAATGAATAAAATTTCTTGAAATACTATGTAACTGATAATGATTTACCTTTCCAAGAATAGGAAGTTCTACAGAGCCCCATGTATCAGCGGCCCAATGAACTAATCCAGATCCGAAATCCGCTGTAACGATGCCGCAAAACGCTGCTATCGCTATCGAACTTAAATTTTCAAATCGTAACCTGACGAGAATGAATATTGAATTAACTATCATGAGTGTAATACAGATGCCGATACAAATGCATTCTTGCGTCCTTTTTCCTAAAATGAAAACGTGATGAGGTAATAATGACTTTATAAAGTACAACTGCTACTATACACATTGACAGAAAGATACGTATTGTTAGATTGCTCTTTATTTTTGTTCACAGACGACAATTTCAAGGTGCGAGCAACGCATGTATATACAGTAAATGTCTTGGCAAGTATTAAAATCAGAAAACATAGGTGCGAGATATCGTGTATATATTTTTCTAAAATTTTCTAAATACCTTTACAAGAGCAAAGGGAATAAAAAAAATAAGATAATTACCGGTGCTGTAAAGATTAGCAAGTTCTTGAGCACCCTTGTGAGTTGGACCCCATCTCGGCACGGTTCTATCTTTTTGCGAAGTAGACACCACCGAGTTAGCGTTCGGATCGTCCTCGAGCATTGAATTCTCGTAGATCTGCCGTTCGGTTTTTACTGGCGCCAAGAAATTTGTAGCCATCGAACACGCGGCTGATGCCGCTTGGCTCAAATTTGCCACTTTTATTTCATCCATAATTATTTATTTCCCTTTTATACCCTTTCTATTATTCGTTATTATTTTTTTACCGATTGCCTAGTTTTTAACATTGCGAGGTCTCTGTTACGAAAAGGCAGCGATTCGTTTCTATATAATTATTTATATAATTTAATCTATACTCTGTTAGATAACTTTCTTGTAAAAGGCGAACTATTTTTTAAATTTTGCATGTAAAAACGGCCATAACATGTTACATGTTATTCGATGTATTTTCGCATCATCTGTATCGTTCAATCGATCTGCTTTTTGTACAATCTTTCCAATCACAGTCATTGCACCATTTATTAGTCGAAGGTGATTTCTTTCGTTGTTCTTGTTGCTGTTGTGCGTTTTTTCGCTTTTCCTTATCAATTCTTTGTATCTGTTGCCTCATTCGATGAAATTTCTTGCTAAAAAAAGAATAATTATTAGTTAATTTTTAACGCGTGACATATCGTGTAAGTTAAATGAAGAGCTTAGTCAGTAATAAGCACGAAGTGCTTATTAAACATTTATGACGATTTCTGACGAAAATTATTACGCAGTCATACGTTTCTTATACATGCTGTACTTACTAGCGTCTTTAGAACGGAATAAAGATAAAATAGTTCATACGTGTCTAGACTGTTGGAGATGATACCGGTATAATCCGAGTTTGTGTAGGCATTCGGCAAAGTAGGTTAATTTCGCTTTTACACGAGCTTAAGAAATAATTTTGATAACAGACGGACTACCCTTGTTCCTATTTACGGTCGTACGTGTAACTAAACGAAATAATTCAAGGGCTAATTCACGTTACGTACAATTTTTATATCAAAAATAAATTTAAATGAAATTCTAAAAACTATAATTTTTAAACATTAAAAAAAAAACATTTGTCTAATGAATTTGCTAAGATAGTAGCGAACTAAAATACTAAAGTTAGCATATTAAGATATCCCCCAAAAAATTGTGATAAAACAATCTTGAGATTTTCTGTCGTATGTACATATTCCTGTACTTACGATTAATACTTATTGCTATTCTATTATTGACACTTTTCTGATACATGTATCGTGCATACACGAATACTTAAAACCGGCGCGGCGTCCGAGGTTACGCACTCGCGCACTCTGTGCGTGCAGTACATACACGCGCACGGCACGTGCATATTTATTATGTTCGAAATACAAAATAAAGGCATGGATTGCATACTAATCAGAATGTTATAAATTCAATTTAGCGAAGAGTGAAATATATGAAGCATACCCATAAGATGGATAAAAAAGAAGATCGCCGATAAATAATTCCTCGAAAAATCAAAGAATCTTTTGCTGTTTCTGCGAACGGTGGTTATCCTGGTCGATGCATTGTCCAGGCCATAAAGTTGCTGTATGTGCACGCTCAATTAGTCACTATAGTAGTAGGATCGAAAGAGACCTACGACGAGACACTATCGTACCTCGTACCGATGTAACACGTACACATGTAAGAAAAGTACGCATGATGTTCATACTTATTCGTATCGGTGCATGCACAAGTTTTCTCCTTATTTCGTTGACTCTTACTACACCGTGAGATCACCACAAAGAACTGACAGTAACGGGCTCGGATTTTGTGTAATTTTATAAATGACAAGAACCGAGGTAAAATCAGAGAGAACGCACAGAAGAAAGAAGAAAGAAAACCGAGAGATAATTGAAAAGATCGAGGAGATACGTTGTCACGATTTGACATTTAAGTTGAAGAACCGTTTCTCTTGTAAGCCGATAGGTACGAAAAAAAAAGCGTATACGGAGGCGCTAGTTTCGCCGTATGTCCACATAAAGTTTTGCCCACGAATGAACGCCTCGATTCTTTCTCTTTTGCTCGAGTTCACTTAGCACTTGTGTTTCCTTTTCTCTTTCTTTCATGCGAGCTTTTCCTGCAACCCCGCCTCGTTTTCTGACGAACGACCGGCGCGGCGCCGCCTAACGACTATGACTTGCGTCTGCTCGCGTCGCGACGTTCTCGTGGCGCCGTCATGCGGCAACCCTTCCGATGTAAGGATTAAACGTACGAAGAGTTGCATATTGTCGAGGTGGGATTATTTTTTGCTTTTATTTGCTTAATTATTTGAAATCGCATACTGTACTTTCATTTTCAACAATATAAAAATTCGTTAGTTTCTTAAGCTTTGTCTAACAAAAAATAAAAAATCTAAGAAAATGCGGGTGTATGTACGTCATATATGATAAAATTACTTCAAATAAAATATAGACATCTTTTACGATGTAATAATGTTTTACCGTAATCATTTACCTAAGTAGCGCTTATATTATTTGTAAGAAAGATAAAGAGCTTTTAGCGTTGAACGGTGAACGCACATGTATTAACTTTGATACGACCTAAGAAGTCCTTTGGAGTAAAACATGTGATGTCTCACGGAATAATCATATTTTATTCAAAGATAGATCGACCGAACAATTTCAACTAGTCTTCCAAGTTTTTCATAAGTTATATTACGATGATGTGTCTAGACTTTAGACTCATGGTCGCGTAATATCATTACGTGCTATAGTAGTTATACAACAACAATTTTTAATGTTGAATAAATTTTAACTTAATGAGAAATTATCGATTTCCTATCGAAACCAATCGATTATATTTTCGTAATATGAAGCATCAAACCCGATGATTTATCCATAATTATATAGTATGTATGTATGTATGTACTTACATACATTACATACATACATGAAAGCATCTGATTATACTTACGATATGTACTTTGGTATGAACAGTTAGTTAACAATTACGAATAAACATTGTTGCAAATAACTTGAGTGTCAGTAATATTTTGTGATATTTTGTGAATACTTCTTTATAATTTATCTGTTTGAGGTTGCGTTCTTCTTTTAGCCTTGTACGACCAGTTAGTTGCCAAGTTACAATAATGCCAAAATAAACTGAGAAGTGCGAAACTTCGGTTGACATAAATTCTCAACTGTAATAAACGCGTTATATACAAGGGGCGATTGTTAATCAAAAGTATAAAACGTTTTTTATTGTTTAACCGAAGAAACAACAAATATCTTGTAGTGGGAAAAGTCAATGATAAAAAAGAATTAAATAGCGCGAAATTTTACACCTTATGTATACGATATAGACGAACGTAATGTGAACACAAGATAACGATACAATAATTTTACAATTTTACAGTTATGCGTGCAAATATGTAGGTGAGTTGCCATCCGAGTGCTATCGATATCAATAAACTGAACCGGAAGTCAAGAAGGTGGTACCCGTTCGATCGCTTACGCAAAATCGATCACTTTTATTTTCATCATCGATCAATGCGGTAACTATTGTGTAAATATAATTACTGTTCAACATTAGGTAATTCATATTTAATAATAAAGTATTAAACGAATGGAAACGATATAAATTATTTCGAGCAGTTAATTTTACGCATAAGTATAATTAACACCAAACGGTAGGATATTCTTACGTAAGTTAATCTAATTTAATCCGCCAACCTTCGAAACTCTTTATAATCAAATAGGCAATTTTCAAGTTTATTACCCATTCTTAACTTAACAATTTTTCAACTGTTTCAAGACTGATAAAAGATACAGAGGTGTTAAAATTATATCCATTTAATATTTTTTATTTCAATTTAATTACTTATTACTATGCAGCCCTGAAAAATTATTTTACACTTAAGTCATATATTCATCCGGTGATAAACATGCAACGATATTACAAAGTTCCATTTGTAATTATGATAGTGATGAAATAATGTTTTCGACAGATAATAAGCACTATTCACATCGCTTTACGAACAGTGTGATTCGAGTATTTAATGTTAGAACTTACTATTAAAATTTAGTAATTGTACTGTGATCAATTTAGATTTCCCTTAGCTTCAAAAGACACTGAATCAATAATTCATATTGATAGCGTAACCGTGACGACCTAATACACAGATGCTGAAGATACAATACACAGCGTACAACGTTGTGCCACAATGACAAACCACAAGTTGATATTTTTCACTGTGGATTGAGTACATATCGGTTATTTGCGGACTTGCGTGCTGCGATATATCCAAGGTACGAAGAAGACGATAGCGTGAAGCGTGGGAGTACATAATGTGTATACATATACAGCTGACATAATTTCGATTGTTTCGAACATTCGTTTGAATCATAACTCTATATGTATGATTAATTAATTTCATTTACACACGAGTGTCATCGATTACTTGAGCATAAAATCCTTAATATTTTCTTAAAGTTTCATATGTTAATGTATTATACACGATTTCTGTTTGATTGAACTTTTCTAGGATACTCGATGGTTTATAAATATTCAATGTATATGTAAAAACAGAATCATATAATGAATTCGTGATGCTAAATTTATAACATACTCATCGAACTATTGTATAAAAATAGTTTCATTCATTCACCGTATGTACTATTATATCATTTACTTTCGTCTTTAAGCCAAAGATATCATTAAAACATAAGTTTATTTTAAGTTACTTTCACCTGATATAAGTATTGTATTAATAAAAAATATATTATTGTTCTTTTATACTTATCTTCTAAATATATTCTAATCCTATCCCCCTACCATTAATGTAAACTATTGAAAAGAAATGTAATAATACGTTAAATACGTTGTATATTACTACATATTTAGCAATAAATTATTTATTAGTTCAATAATATTTTATGAAATTTAAAATTTGAATTCGTTTCGCGTATAGGTAATTCAAAGAAAAATAACAAGAGGGCACTATTTATATATGTTGTACATACACGTATGTACATACATATGGTTTACAATTGCAATAAAGACGTAACTGAGATTTAAATGAATAACTCTTATTTCATTTTAAATGCAAAAATACTAATTTGTGAAACAAATTTGTTGTATATGACAACATGAATTAATAGAGCGCAATAGCATTTATATTAAGGTCAGTTTGTTTTTGGTTACACGAGTTATTGAAAAAAATAGAATTAATAACAAGTACAGAAATTATTATGTATATAAGCTAATGATGCCCTATTATTTTAATAGCGAGGCTGTAATGATTTAATCTATATACTAAGACTATGAATCTTACTATTTTCAATGAAAATGATGATGTTCTACTAGTAGGTGAAGGCAATTTTTCATTCTCTGTTGCACTATTCCACCTAAATTTAAAAGTTAACATCATGGCTACATGTTATGAAAGTAATATCAGTCAGGATCTTGGAAAGAAAAACATAGAATATTTAAAAAATAATGGTTAGTATGTTTTCAATTCAATTGTAGTGGTTAGAATCATATATTTTATCATTGTTTTATCAAAAATTCTATGCATTTCTTTTCAGGAATTCGTGTGTTATTAGGTGTTGATGCAACAAACTTGAAACAACATCCAATACTAAAAACAGAATTATTTGATAAAATTATTTTTAACTTTCCCCATGTTGGAGGTAAAATGCGAATAGAAAAAAATAGAGAATTATTAAGACAATTCTTTATAAGTGCATCAGAATCATTAAAAAATAATGGACAAATATTAGTTACTCTTTGCAATGGTCAAGGTGGTACACTTATTGACAATCCACCAAGGCGGTGGGATGATTCATGGAAAATCATAGAAATGGCAGCCTATGGAAATTTTATTTTAAGATCAGTTGAACCATTTGCATGGTCATCTTTTCAAAATTATATAGTTACTGGATATCGTAGTTTGGATAAACAATTTCATTCTTCTGGAGCTTTAACACATATATTTACTAAATCTGAATCTCCAAATGTACAAAATATTTCTCCTAAAAAGAAGCTAAATATTGCTCACTGTAATAGCAGTAACTTTTCATGGAAAAATATAAGACAAATTATTAATATTCCAAATAAAAGTATGACTAATATATATGCTTGCATATATAAATTTGATATAACATTCAGTGTTAATGAAGAATTTGATCCTATTCAATTTTATATGATATTGTATAATCATGCAGGTGAAATTATAAATGATGTTACTTTCATAACATCATATAAATCTCCATTGACAGAAATAGAAAGAAGAACATATAGAATAAGTTATACATCTGATTGTATACCTCTATATAGGAAAAGAATTATTGATATACATCAAAATTTGATTGCAGATATTTTAGAAAACAATTTAAATGTTTCAGTATCAAGATAGTACTATTTCATGCATTGTAATTTTAATTTAATAAAGCACTATTCTGTAATTTAATTATTTGCAGATGAATTATTTTCGTTTAACAAAAAATCTAGTAATATACAGTACATGTTGGAAACAAGGTACAAATGTGCAGAAATGTAGAAATCTAAACAAGTACATTTTTAAATCATTATGTACATCCAAATGGTTTCAAAATCAAGATACTGTTCCTAAAGCTTTACGAAATATAAAACCAAAATCACAAAGAGATACAGAAAGAAGTGTTCTTGACATAAAGCATGTATGAAATCAAGTTGCTTTTGTTTTTTCATATAATGTTTAACAAATACTAATCTGTATAATTATTTAGATAAGAGCAATTGGGGGAAAAGGTGGAGATGGGAGTATATCATTTTTGCAATTATTTTCAAATGAATTTGCTGGGCCTGATGGTGGGGATGGCGGAAACGGTGGTCACGTAATTCTTCAGGTAAGTGATTAACAACTAAATCACTTATCTACTATATAAAATATATAGATTCAATACTTTGCAGGCATCAATCAATGTTAAAGATCTTTCACATATAAATAGTGTACTTAAAGCTGAAGATGGAGAAAAAGGACAGAGTAAAGACTGTTTCGGTAAAAATGCCGAACACAGTATAGTACACGTACCAATAGGTACTATAATACGCAATCTAGAAGGAAAAATAATAGCTGATTTAAATCAAGAAGGAATGATGTTTATTGCTGCGAGGGGAGGTGCCGGTGGTCATGGAAATGCATATTTTAAGTCTGATGTACAACAAACACCATGTATAAGTGAATATGGAGCAGAAGGAGAAGCAATGCAATACGTAGTAGAAATAAGTAGCATGGCACATGTAGGATTAGTATGTAAACAATATATTTATTTAAAAATAAAATTAAGAGCAGGAGTAAGATATATATCATTATGCAACTGTTTAAAATCTTTAGATTGGTCTACCGAATGCAGGTAAAAGTACATTATTAAGAGCCATATCTAGAGCTAGACCAAAAGTAGCAGCATATCCATTCACAACATTGAGACCTCATTTAGGGACCGTATTATATGATGATTATGAGCAAATTGCAGGTTAGTGATACAATTAAGTAGTAATTCATTTGAAGTAATGTTTTAACGAAAAGTATATTAACTTTCAAGTGGCTGATTTGCCGGGAATTATATCCGATTCTCACAAGAATAGAGGTCTCGGTATACAATTTCTTAAACATATAGAACGTTGCAGAATTTTATTATTCATTTTGGATACTACTTCGAATGATCCGTGGAAGGATTATGAAACATTAAAATATGAAATTACACATTTTAATGTAAAATTAACTAACAGATCAATGCTGATTGTTGCAAATAAGATGGATTTACCAGAAGCTACGGTAAGGCACGGTGCCGTATTTTAATTAATAATTCTTAAACAATATAGTAACATTATTAATTATATCGTTACAGGAAAATTTTAAATTACTCAAAGAAAAAATTGATTTACCAATTATTCCAGTTTCTGCTAAGAAGGGTACAAATATATCTCTTTTGTTAAGGGAGATAAGAATATTATATGATAAGGACAATAAACAAAAAGAAGAATCGAATGTTCTGTAACAAAAAACTGTACTGATTAATAATGTATATTCGTAATAATAAAAATGTATAAAACTCATTCCTTTAGAGAACATAATATTTTAACATTTAATGTTTAACAACTTTTTCACACATTTGAAAACTTTTTAGTATGCTAGTTACTTGCGGCTGATTTAAAATAGTAAGAAACCATCTAGTTAAATTCTTATATTGTATCCTATATTGTGAATCAAATAAATGTTCATACAACGGTACCAAGGCAGTAAAAATAGCAACATCTGCAAGGCTGATTCTTTCTCCAACTAAATAAGTTTTTGTAAGCAGTATATTGTTTAATTTGGTTAAGGAAGAAAGAAGATCTTCCTTGGATGCTTTCATACCTGCCTTTACGTTATTTGGTACCTGTTTCGTGATGCATGGAATAACCCACCCCAATACTGCCGGTAGAATATGATTATCTGCGTAACTTACCCATTGTAAAACCTCACTAAACATAAAAAGATCGTTTGAACATCTTAATTGGTCATTTGCTAAGTAAAAAGAAATTGCACTGCTGTCGGATAGTTCAATACCGTTTCCTTCTAATTTAACGTTATTAGAAATTATGCCGTCATTCTTACATTCCTTCATTATCACTTCTTTATCATTATATTGCGCTACTATTTGAGCACGATAATATTTGATACTTCCAATATTACCGGAAAGTATTAATTTCTCTTTTGAAGTTTTAGAACACATCGAATTTTGACTAGCTTTTAACTGACTGCAGATGTTATTCGTCAGATTTTCTAAAAATATGCGACAAAATTTAACAACTGTAGAAATAATTTACTTCTTATATCGTATTAATTAATTTATATTAACGAACCATTGTTACTTATAACTCCAAGTTTTGAATTAGCAAAATTTTTTGCAGTATGTATTAATTTTGTTAAACATGATATATTGGTACCCGATGCCTGAGCAGACTCAGCTTTTCCACCTCCTTTTCCTTCCATAAGTGAAGCAATTTCTTGGATCCATTCGTTTGCTTTCAGTCCTTTGTTTATGGCAGACTATTATATTTCATAAGAATTAATTTTACTTTTTTTTTTTTTGTTCAAATAATTAAGTAGTATAAATGTAACTTTACCTTAGATACTGCGCTAAGTGCAAAAATCTTTTTAACATCGGGATCCACGCTTATAAGTAATGCACTTGTCTCTGGAGAAATGGCTTTTATTTTTTTAAGGGCAAAATCTAAAGCTTTTGTGTTACTATATGCTTGCAATATTTCAACCAATACCGGACACCCTACATTTGCTTGAATTATTCGTTGAACAGTATCTACTACTGCATTGGCAATTGCAGTTTTTGCTGCACGTTCTTTATCATCAAGCATCTTTTTTAAATCTTTTAACATTTTACGCATATTATCCTATGTGTGAACGAAAAGATTATATATCGTTCTCGCTATGTTAAAATTATGTATATAAAATTATACATACTTTTTTCCAACTTGAAATCGTAGCACGCGAGACATCATCTGTTAATTCAATTATTTTTTTTACGTGCTCTTTAGTATTGGTACCATTCTTATCATTAGCTATAGTTGCTTGAAGTTGTTCCAAATGATTTTGCAATACAGCTGCTTTCTTCTGAGCTTTTGTTGCTTCAGGACCAGTAAGAGCTACCATACGTCTAATACCTTTAGCGATAGCTTCTTCACTGGCTATGACAAAATCCTCAATATGTTTTGTATAATGCAAATGCCTACAAGTATTTATATAAAATGATTATTGTTCGTAGTATTTTGTACCATATATATGAAATTCCTTACGTTCCGCCACAAAATTCTACGCTAGTCTGCAATGCGCTAGGACCTAAAGGATCTTTTTCCAAGTCTTCAACTGGTATACCTATGCTAACAATTCTCACAGGATCAGGATACGTTTCTTCAAACATAGCTCGTAAACCTTGAATAGTCTTTGCTAGTGCTAAGCTACTTTCTTTAGCATAAACTTTCCTATTTTCCTTTACTAAGCTGTTTGTCATTTCTTCTACTTTTTTCACCTGCTCTGCAGTCATTGCTCCTATGGAAATAGATACATGTAGTTATACTTTATGTTTAATATTTAAAAATAAAAAAATATATTCTGCAACAAACCTTTATTTGTAAAATCAAAACGAAGACGATCGGGTGCAACTAAAGAGCCTTTCTGATCAACTTCCGTACCCAATACTTTTCGAAGTGCATAATTTAGAACATGAGTTGCAGTGTGATTACTCATTAAAAGCCTCCTTCGCGTAGTATCTACGTTTAAGTAAACTTTGTCATTCTTTTTCAATGTTCCTTGCCCTACAGTTCCAATATGCAGGACATAGCCACCTCTTACTTGAACATTTTTTATACGAACTTCGGTGTCCTTGAAAAATGAAGATGTTAGTTTCTTATAATGTATATAATATGTTGAAGTATATTATTTCTTTACTTCATCATCAACTTTAACTAAAAATCCTTCGTCGTATATTTGGCCACCTTGTTCCGCATAAAAGTTTGTTTGATCTAACAAAATTCCTACTTCCTCTCCTGAGGATACATCATCAACAAAAGTCTTGGCACGTCTAAGAGCAATTACAGTACCAGTACACGGAGCAAATTCATATTCCTCGTATAGTTTATCATTGGTAACTGTGTAATTGTATTTTGGTAAATCATTAGTGGGTTTTATTCCTTTATTTTGTAACTCGGTAATCGCATGAACGTCTAGGTTAATTTGATCATCCACACCACCGCTTTTACTTTGAGAAATGATCTGGAACAGATTACTATTTCATAAATAATACATGTTCAAACATACTATGTATTGCAAAGTAGTTTATATGATACCTGAGCTTGTTTTCTTGCTTCCTCGTAACCAACCATATCAACCTTTAATCCTTTTTCCTCAGTCATAAGTTGTGTTAAATCCACTGGAAAACCATATGTATCATATAAACGCCATGCAACATCCCCTGGGAGTACACTTGACGACTTTAATTTTGTTATAGTACGATTCAATAAATTACGACCACGCGATAAAGTTTTGAGAAATTGTTCTTCTTCCTCATTGATCACATCAATTATATACTGTGGATCTTTTGTTACTTCAGGAAAGACATCACCTATAAATCAATAGGATTATAAAATAATTTCTCGATACGTTAAATTATATAAGTAATATTAAAAGTTCCAAATATTTACCAAGAAGTTCTACAACTACATTTACCAATGTTCCAAAGAAACCAGGTTTAGCATTTAATTTTTCAGTTGCGTAACGTACAGCGCGTCTCAAGATTCTTCTTAACACATACCTAAATTATAATTGATGTTAAGATTAGTACACATATTATGATGTATAAGTTATAACATACAAGTATTTAGCTTACCCTCTACCCGTATTATCTGGTACACCTCCATCAGAAAGGGCAATTGTAATAGTTCTTGCATGGTCTGCTAAAACTCTATATGCCATATCTATCCCATCTTTATCATCTGCACCTACCTTTCCTTGGTAAGGCGGTGCTCCTGTACCTTTTTGTATTGCATCAAACAGGGGCACAAATAAATCTGTATCATAATTAGCACGTTTATTCTGTATAACTGATACTAATCTTTCTAAGCCCAGACCACAATCAATATGTTTTTTTGGCAATGGTTTTAAAGATCCATCAGATTCTCTAAAAAAAAAAAAAAAATAGATGCATAAATTTAGGTAAGCAAGATATATTTCGTTTATTATAAATTATATACCTATTAAATTGTATAAATACAAGATTCCAAATTTCTAAAACATCAGGATCATCCTGATTCACTAAATGAGCTGCCTGTCTATTGCCAATACGGTCGTAATGTATCTCACTACATGGTCCACATGGACCTGTCTCTCCCATCTCCCAAAAATTATCTTTCATATTTCCTGGTAATATATGACTAAGAGACACCCTAAAAAAGTAAAAAAGTAAAAAAGTAAAAAAGAATTAATTATAGCTTTTGTTTATTATTAACAAGATTAACAAAGAATATGCTATTACCCTAAAGAAAGCCAAATCTCTTTACACTCTTCATCAGAATCTAAATTATTTTTCTCATCTCCTCCAAAGTAAGTTACATACAATTGATCTGCTGGTAATTGTAATGTAACTGTTAAAAATTCCCAGGCCCAGGTACAAATTTCTTTCTAAAAGAATAAAGCACATGTTTAGAAACTACATAACAATAATAGTGTAATAAATCATATATATTATTTGTTTGATACTTTACTTTAAAATAATCTCCAAATGACCAATTTCCCATCATCTCAAAAAATGTATGATGATAAACATCTTTTCCAACATCATCTAAATCATTGTGCTTTCCTCCAGCTCTAATACATTTCTGACTATTAACAACTCTTACCCACTTTGCCATATCGCTATTAGGATCCACACTTCCTAAAAATATTGGTTTAAACTGAAACATACCACAATAAAAAGATAGATATATTTTAATAAATAATACTATTACTGACATCTTACCTGGTTCATTCCAGCATTTGTAAATAATAATGTTGGATCATCGTGTGGTATTGTAGAGCTAGAATGAATATATTCATGACCTTTGCTTTTAAAAAAGTCAATATAAGCTTGTCGAATTTGCTTAGCATTCATCATTGTAATTATCTTTTGTGCAGTTTCTGAAACAAACCAATATGTAAGTTAATATATTGAACATATGGGAACAAATAACAGTAAACATGTAAGTAAAGAAATATATGTACCTACTTTACTGTAAGTATTTAATATCTTAAATTAAGAAACTACATTTTGTTTTCAAATTGTTGTTGCCATAATGTTACTATATTATCAAATATGATTATAAAATATTGTATTAAAATTTACCTTTAGTTAAACACAAAAGTTTATATCAAAACAGCTGTGCAACAGTGGAGATAACGTGTCTCAAAAGAGAAAGGAACAAGGTTTAGCACATGTGTATGCAAGTCGTACCGGCACTATATATGTAACTACACCGTAGCTGCAGTACTTCTACTCTATTAACGGTGGAAGTAATATATGTACATATACACACACACTAGTAAGTGAGTGAGTGAGTGATAAGGTTGTCACACATGGTCACTCATGATCGCATTATTAAAAACACCATAACCAACAATATTTTATCATAAAGGGTAAAGCTCACAATGCATAAGTTATTACAACAATAGATTATTGTAGTAGTAAACTAGTCATACAGTAAGTACATAAATACACAGTGAAACCAATTAATATAATATAAACCAACTAATAAAATATTCTTGTTTCAGGTATATAAATATACATACAAAAGGATAATTTATTGTACACTGGTTTTTGTTAAAAAAAAAACAACCAAAATGCCATTTATGATTGGTAGAGCACCTATACGAAGAACATTAAATTATTTAAATGCTGGTACAATAATATTGAAAGACGAAATACAAATATTTTCTATTAATTACAACATACGTGGGAATCATCATCAAGGAATCAAGTAAATTTCAAGTTATTTTAACATTATTTCAAATTAGTTTTTATACAGTACTCATTACAATTAATATAAATCTAATTGTAGGGATTTCATATTTTGGCATATTTCACAGCTTCAATATAAAAATCCAAAAGTGCAAGTTATTACTTTTAAAAATATGACACCAACACCTTTCATAAAATGTTACTATGGTAAGTACCAAAGTCTGTGTGGTTTATTAATTATTCTCTCTCTATATATGTACATATATCATACTAGATTTCAGAAGAATAATCAATTTTGATTTTAATTTTCTATAGAAAATGGAAACACTATGTTAATTGATGTAGATGACAAATCCAAAGATGAAATACTAATGCATCTCAGACGTGTAGTTTGTAAATCAAAAGAACTTCAGAAAGAAGAAAGTATCAAGAAGGAAAAGAAAGATAATCCCGCAAATTTTGGTGTTGGTTGTTCACGAACCTGTATTTGTGTAGTACCTGGTCAGATACCATGTCCAGCTATAGTACCTTTACCATATCATATGCGTGGAAAATACAAATTTCAAAAGAAAGATAACTAACTCTGATGTAAAACTTATTTCATAAATACAATAGGAATCATTATATTAAACTCATATTCATCACTAATAGTTTGTTTTAAATTTCCTAATCTCAAAATAATGGTACTTCGTATTACAATATGTATTTAAAGTATATATTTATTTATTATAAAAAGATGTTATAGATTATGAAAATACATGTACATTAATGTACATATCAAGTATTATATTAATAATGAATTAAGGTATGTTTGTTTATCCAATATGCAATGGCACCACTGTAAAAATCGTATTAACAAGAGAAATTAAAAAGACCAATTAAAAAAAATAGGATTTTATAATAAAAGGAGTCAAATTAATACAAAAAAATTATTTAAATAGAAAATATAAATAATATAAATATCAACTAGTCATGGAACAGTATTGATCAATAAAAATAAATTCATTGTTTTTAATTATAATACTATAAATTAGAAAACATGATTTAAATTATCTTCTCGGTTTATGACGATTATATGGCTTATTGTTGTGATAATGACCACTTCGATTATGATAACGAGTTGATGTGGACGGTTTTGGAGTTTCCGATTTTTGATACAAATGTATTACAGGTGACCCATTCAAAGGTTTATTTAGTTCAAACTCTTCTTCTGATTCTTTCATCAACTTTAATTTCGCTTCTATAGCTTGAATAGCTGTTTCGCGGCTATAAAAAAAAATTATAGAAGACATAATAAAAATAACATTCTTGATAAAAGTATTTATAGTACTCTACCTTATTCTTTTATCTTCTTTTTTAGCTCCAGCTAAAGCAGGTATATCTATTTTTGGCTTTGGCTTATCCATATCAGACTGGAATACAATAGATAATATTTGAATTATACATTCATTTTATTAATAGTTTCATCATTTTAGTAATTACCTCTGTTACACTGTGAGCCCATCTGACAATAATATTTTTTGCTCCTACTTTTAAATTATGTAAAGCATCTTTGGCTGCTGTTGCATCTTGAATTGTTTTATAAGTAACAAATGCATATCCTCTTGGTTGACCTGCTTGTGGACCTGACCGATGGAATAGGAGGTCGAACTTTTCAATTGTTCCATGTTTTTGGACGAGTTTTAGGAGTTGGTACCAGTTTGACAGATAAAGAATGTGTTTTGTTTAGATTTTTCCATTATACGAAGAAAATACATATATCATTTTCCAATGATAAAACATTATGCTGAGAAAACATAATAATAAATAATTTAAGTAAATACTTACTCATTAATTCTTAAATCTAAATTGCCCACCCATAATCTTCTATCCTCCACCTGATTTGATTTTATGGGTTCTAATGGCAAAGGAACTTTAACAACTGGCTATAAATAAAACAGACATTATTATTAAAATTGTAGTATACTTTTAATAAATGTTTGAATACTGTAATACTGCTAAATAACCTTTGTATAAAATCTTCAAAACAAAATCTTACCTCCATCTTAAGAAAGTTTAAAAGGATATCAAATTACACAAAAAGGTTTTAAGCGTCGGTGTTGATTTCAAAATGTATTTTTGTACAAAATTGGGCATTAGAATTTAAATATTTTTGTAGGAAATTGTACAAACACAGCAAATCGCTTATACATTCACTCACGGCAGTTTAGCAAATCGTTCGTCTTTACGGATGATGATCACAAGTGACATAACATCTTATACCTGTAAAATAATTAAAATATGTCTTTTCTTTAATCCTTACATTATACTTTTCAAACTTAATTATATAAGTTTAAATAAATACATTTTATTACAATATACTTCCTTATACTACTTTTAGATTTAGCTTAAAACTTTCAAGTTACGTTTAATATTTTAGATGATAATTAAAATAAACATAAATAAATAGTATATACATATATACCACTAAATGATTATTTTTCTTTCATACATAAATCAAAAGAATTTTGTTTATTTCCATATGCATTACAACTGTAAACACTTCTTATATGTATGTATACGTAAGTAAGGTAAATATACTGAATCTAAACATGGCGACGATTTTATCAGATTATGAATGACGACAGAATATTGTAATAAATAATCGCGATATTGGATTACGGTGAAATAATTACATACAATTTTATCGTGCTATTTTATAAAAGGTATATTCCAGATGGAGAGATCAATTATGTCTGAACAGCCTGCTCAAATACACACGGAAACTGTATTAGAAACTGATGCCTCAGATTCTGGATCTCAGGTATACTTATTACGTACTTTTATTGCTACTACGTCATTATTTCCATGTGACAAGGATCATTTTACAATAAAAACATGCTTCTTATAGTTTTAATATACTAAAAATATGGTAAAAAACAAATTATAAAAAATATCAGGATTGTTAGATACTGGTGCAAAGTGTTTGTTAAAAATATAAGACTGTATATACAACTTTTCAGTATCAATTGAAGAGAACTTAAATGCAGGTTTATAGTATTAGAAGAATAATAGGAGCTATTTGTAAAAGAAGTAACAAAGAAACAGAAACAATACATGATGTTTACTTTTCTATCAAAATGGATAAGAGCAAAATATGTATTAAATATATGCAGCTTCAACAATCAAAGGAGTTTCTGTAAAAGTACTGAGGACTATAGATCACCTTTATCAGATATTCGTGTTTTAGATTTAACACGAATTATTGCTGGTCCTTATTGTACTATGATTCTTGGTGACCTTGGTGCTGAGATTTTGAAGGTTGAAAGACCAGGTAGTGGAGATGAGGCACGGAAATGGGGTCCACCATTTATAGAAGGAACCCAAGAATCAGTATATTTTCTTAGTGTTAATAGAAACAAAAAGAGCATATGCATTGACCTGAAAAAAGGTAAAGATATAATCTATGAATTAGCAAAAAAGTGTGATGTTCTGATAGAGAATTATGTCCCAGGAAAGTTGAAGGACATGGGTTTAGGATATGAGGATATATCCAAGATAGCACCTCATATTATATATTGTTCTTTAACTGGTTATGGATATGAAGGACCTTATGCAAATAGGCCAGGGTATGATGTGATTGCTGCTTCTATAGGGGGCTTGTTACATATAACAGGTGAAAAGAATGGACCACCATGTAAAGTTGGGGTAGCAGTAACTGATTTAGCAACAGGTTTATATGCTCATGGTGCTATATTAGCAGCATTATATCAAAGAAAAAAATCTAATGAAGGGCAATGGATTCAGTGTAATTTATTGGCAACACAAGTTGCCAGTTTAATAAATATTGGTTCGAATTATTTAAATGCGGGTAAAAAAGCAGTACGCTGGGGTTCTGAACATGAAAGTATTGTACCTTACGAAGCTTTCCCTACAAAAGATGGATATATGACTGTTGGCACTGGAAGTGACACACAGTTTTTAGATTTACTGAAAAGAATGCAATTAACAGAGTTACTTAAATGTGATAAATATAAGAATAATCAGGCTAGAGTAGAAAACAGAGATGAATTATTGCCACTTCTTAGAAAAGAATTTAAAAAAAGATCTAATAAAGAGTGGGCACTTATATTTGAAGGTGCTTCATTTCCATATGGTCCAATAAATACAATAGGACAGGTATAAAGTAATACATATTTATGTTAAAATAATTTGAAAACGGTCGTTACACAAGACAATCTTATAGGTGTTTGAAGATCCTCAGATAAAACACATGAAAATGGTTCAAGAGCTGGAACATTCCACAGGGAACAGGGTTAAAGTTGTTGGTCCTCCTGTAACATACAGTTATGCTGTAAATAAAGCTCGGTTTGCGCCTCCCATGTTGGGACAGCACACTGATGATATACTAAAACGTATCTTAGACTATACTGATGATGAAATACAAATTTTAAAGAAAAATAAAATAGTACAATAGAAAATAACATATTTTTAGTATTATAATTCAGTTTTTATCAATTGGTTAACTGTATGTTGTGTATAATAATGAAATTTATATATTACATATTAGACTAAAAAGAAAATAAATATTTTTTTTAAATAATCTATATGTTTCGTTACAAGTCATTACCAACCTATGTATATTAATATAAAAATACAATAAATATTTTATATTGCTTATTTTGCAGGATGTACCGACCGTTCGATTACGACTTAGAAAACCAAGATCAAACAAAAAGGTTCAATGGACTCAAGGAACCGTGGACAATGAACATATGAATAAAAAGAAATCAAAATGTAAATTCTCATCAACTATAGCTTATTTTGATACCATATATAAATGAAAAAAAAAATTATAGTTTAAAAATTATGTCGTAGGTTGTTGTATCTATGAAAAATCTCGAACCTTTGGCGAAAGCAGTTCTGAAGACAGTGATGATGAATGCGAGCATTGCCATGGCCACAAAGATGCTCATAAAAAGATGATGCAACACAGTGCAGAATCATCCAAGGAAGAGATGTCTCCAACCACTGGTAACTTCATTACTTAATAAAAATATACATATAAACTTAACGGTAAATAAAATGTACATTTTTTTTTTGCAGAATCAATGGTGAATGCATCTGTATAAATATGTTTGGCAATATAAATAATTTTCATAAATGAAAAAATATGATTTAAAAATCAGTGTTGTATAGATCAGAAATATGAAAAATAGGTATACAACTTTATACTGTAATTTTATGTTATACGAGATATATAGTTTGTTAATAAATACATGATTAAATTTTATTTTGCAGGAAATCTTAATTATCAGTGGAAGCATTGTAATTTTTTAGTGAATACTATTCACACATTGAGTGCTGAAAATTTAACTTGCACTACTTATATTTCTAATAACGACATATTAATAGGATATATCGTTATTATTGAAAACAGAAAGAAAGAAAATATAGAATTTTATTGTTTATAAAATGAATTTCTATTACATTATCTAATTCTTATATAGTACAACATTGAATGAAAATGAGTTATTGATAATGATCATTGAAATACTCAATGTGTATATTGTGCGCACGTACGTACATATTTTGTTGAATGTAATAGAAGTAATTATAGTTCCTATATTACATAATATAGAGCATGCATTAAACTAGCTTTTTAGATGTAGTTATTTAAAGTAAAATCGCTTGAAAAACAAGTTTTCAAATTATAATTACAAGTACTTTAAAACTTTATTAAGAGATTTCAATATCCTGTAAGTAATTAATTATTATGTATTACATATAAATTTTTTGACGTCATGATACTTGAACATGTTAACATCTGTAATAACAGATTGTGCTTTCTGTTGATTTGTTTTTTATTGTAATATTTGCTTCCTATGTTTTTATGAATAAAATACTTTTATTTTGAATAATCTTATCATGTGTGTAACAATTATTAAAACATAGACTTTATTTTAATTTAAAGTTTCTTATTTAAAATATATCTACTTATAAATAAAATAGTTATTTGTACAGTTTTAATGATATACCATTTACAATTTATAAATGATCGTTCGTCTATTTTTTAAAAATCTTTATTCTTGTTTCTTTTTTTGTAGAAATTAATAAAATGAATATCATTTTAAAGTTTGGAACGTATTTTGCTATTATATGTATCCTTATTTTTTTAGAAGAAATTGTTTCTTTACTAATTAGTAAGTAATTTCATAAATTATGCTAAACACCGGTATATTGTCACAAATTGTTTGAAGTAATTTAAAAATATCAGTCAAGGAGAAGAAACATTATTAATTAAAATATGTCATAAAATTGTAAAAAATTCTCACTTTTATGCCTTATGAAAGTTTAAAAATATATAGTAATCTATTTATGAGACTTATAATTTTAGGTACGTACAAAGTGTGATAGCAAAATAAGATCACATAAATGGATCAGCCTTGGTCATTAAACAAGTTATAAATATTTAAATTTTAATGAATAGTGTTACACAAAATAATAAATTCTTTTTTTAATTAATAAAATAATTACAGAGCAGAATTTGCAAAAATCTAACTACACCTGTCCATTATTCTATATTCATTAAAAATAGAATTTATAATTTTGTATGACTTCGTAAAAGTATTAATTCATTATAAATTTAAATAGAAGCTAGAATACCTTACAAAATTTTAATCAGATATTTTAATGGGGATATTAATGGCTTTTAGTGGATCAACGTTACTGCTACTTTTTTGAAACTTTTGTCTATTCCTTACTTCCATACCTCTAGGATAAGAATCTTCGTTCAATCCCAATGCTCGAACCATATTGCGGCTACGCCAAACTTTAACAGTATAATCATCACTAGTTGTAACTAACATTTCAGGATCACGTGGATTGAAGGCAACCGAATTAACGACGTCTGAATGTGGGAACTTTGCTAAACATACACCGTAATGTCTGTCCCAGAGATAGCCATGTTTATCTTCAGCACCACTAGAAATGAAAATTTTAATACCGATACATTAAATAGATGTTTGAACAAAATTTGAATTACTCTTTTCTATCAAAGAGACAAAAAGAATATGTTAATTAAGTTCACCTTGCTACATATTCGTCGCATACATTAAGAAAAATAAAGAAACATTCATTATTCGGTGTGTATGACTTGTGTGCCCTCAACATGGTTCCAACTTGTTTTAGCGTTACTAAGTCAATTACATGTATATCAATTTCTTCGGCTATCGGTGGAGGTTGTAACGGATTCGTAATGACATAGCCTCTAGGCCATGGTCTTGTGTTTACGTATAGATACCTGATAATGTACATAATTCTATTAAAAAGGATAAATATAAACATTACACTTATTAAATGAATAACCGACCTATGATCTGGAGAAAGTCCCATTCCTATAATATGCCCATGCAAATCAATTAAATGATCTACTTTGTCAAAATTGTCAGCTACAGAACTGTAATCCAACCAATTAGTATATAATAATGCCAAAGCATTTTGTCTTTCGCGTTCTCTTTCTCTTTGCGCTAATCTTTCGCGTAGCGATGGTCCAGGATCTAATCTCGTAGGAAATTTGAACTTTTTTATTCTCTTGAAACCCACTTGATGCGGTGTATAAGTTTTTGATCCGGTTGTAAAAATGAGATATTTTTCACCATTATTTGCTAATTCGTCAGTATCACCCGTATCGTCTATATTTGGTGACTCTGTATATACATACATTTATGACCAATATCATAAATTTGTACAATTGAAATGTTATTTTTTATAATATAACTGTTTCTACCTTCAGATTCATTGTCATCCCATTCAGAACTATTATCCTCTCTATAATTTTCTTGAACCTTTTTCTCCATCTCTACTTGTCTATATTCTTGATTGTATTGTATAGGATTAGCATATTCAAAACCATCACCAAGTCTTTTCCAATTCATAAATCCACCCTCCAATGTGCTGTATCTGTTTGATCATATTTTATTAGATATACATAGTTCACTTTTAACTTCAGTAAATTTAACTTACTGCAATCTAGATGATGCATGACGAAGAACAACTGGTTCTTCTTGTTCTTGATTAGTATCAATAGGAGATGTGGATGATATATCTCTATGGCTTAATGGATTTCCTTTTTCTTCTTTGGCATTAGAAGTTGAAGGTTGATTTAGTTGCTCTTCAGATTCATTCTGTTCAGGTGACAAGCAATTAGCCACCATTATTGTTCGAATTGATGAAGCATTACCATTGTAAAACCTAAAATATGTAACATAGAACTGTATACATTTGAAGCATTATTTTTATAATGAATAAAATCATAAATATGTAATACCTAAAAAGTGGTGCCATAATAGGTACATGTTCACTAAATGACTCTTGAGTTGCTTTATTAATCCACAAGAGACTAGTACTAACTAAATGTGCTAACCAACATAAATTTCCACTTAAAAGATAATTCTCACTGTACCATGTACCAAATATGTCATAGGGTTTATTTGTAACTCTACATTGGAGATTAAAACCAGCTGTAATAAAGGAAACTAAATGATTTTCTATTGTATCATTTTTAAAATGTTAGCAGATTAAATGATATCCTTACGTGCTAATCTAAATACTGCTATTTCACCAGAAGTGCAAAGGGGAGTTCCAAAACGTACACCAGATACAAGTAATAAAGTATCAGAAGAGTTAAACTGTGAAAATTGTGTATATTTCCAACTAAATGTTTTCATGTCATGATGGTATTTTAAGGTGACAGGATACTGACTTTCCCAAACCTAAAATAAATCATGCAACTGATTTTATGTTTTCAATCATAATTATGTATTGTCAGAACTAAATAATTACAAAATAAAGAAATAAAAATGACTCACAAAAATATATCCATCTTTAGAACATGTAGCAAACATTTTCCCATTGTGGGAAAAACTAACATGTAATACTTGATGAGAATGCTCTTTAAGTACTTCTGTTTCTAAAAGTGGTATACGATATGTTAAACGTTTAAATTCTCCTAACCAAGAAGTCTTTCCTACAAAATGATTTAATATTGTAACATAAGAATATGCTGTGTTAAAAAATATAAAATAATTTTAATATTGATCATGATTTCTAATTGTATATATTACATTCCATCAGGCTTATTTGTGAAAATCGTATCCTATGCAATACAGAGTATTTATAAATATACAATAAAGTTAACCTGGCATTATGCCGACGTCTGGATTTATTTTGTACGTTTGATAGAACAAATTTTTCCAAAGAAACTCGTCGTGTGATACTCTGTGCCATGATTTACATACTTCTCCAGCGATTGTCAATTCCTTGGGTGTTAAATATTGAAATATGTTCAACAATACAGAATCCAGCATATAATACCAGTTACCATTTCCTTCGCTTATATCCGACAGACAATCGCTTTCATCTTTTGATTCGATGCTATCCTCGTCGCTATTTTCTTCATTTTTCGTGACATCGTCAACGATGTCCATATCGAAATGTTCTTTATTTACTAGAACAGCTGATATCTATCATTAACACTACTACTGACCACCAATACCTTTGATATCATACGAACTTGTTCGAAATCGAAACACGTTTGCATTGAATATTTGCAGCCGAACGTTATATATTATATACAAATTCTGCTACGATTTAAAAACGTTTTAACCGAATATATACTTAATACTCCTCCTCTTTAGGTATGTTTAGACCTGCAAGCCAAGCATAGAAGACTAACTTTATTGATCGACTCTTTACGTTATCCGTCATTTTGTTCATACTAGAATCAAAAGCAGGTGAATGATATTGAGTTAACGTATTTGGTAGCAATTGCATATTAATAGAAAAAGACATTCAATCTTATAAAAAGTATTACAATTAAAATATACGATAGTTGGGCATAGACTTGTAAATGAACTGAAATGATAAAGGAATAAATATGTAGGAATATGTTTAATTTAACAATTTCATTATTTTCGTCTAATAAAGTTATTGCAAAAGTCTTATTTCGGATCGAAGCCATATGCGCAGCCATGTTATCCCGCTCGAAGTGACGATGGCCTCGTGATTTTTAAATGTCAAAGGAACATTTTATTTAAACTTTTCAGCAAAATTGCTCAACATTCTTTTGCAAAATTAAAAATTTAGAAAAAATAAAAATTTTTTTTGGTCTTTATATTTTTATTTGGGCTCATATCATAATATTTAGTATACAGTCTTTTACTTCACAAAAATAATTATTCAATCTTCATTATAATTTTAATATAAATAATCTATACGGACTTTTATCTTGGACGCATATAAACTAATATTTTTGATAACCAATATAAAAAGAGTATCATTTATATTGATTTTATAAACATACCCTCTTGCTGTACAACTCCTGCAGTATCTACAAAAAAGTATCTGATTTAATCTTATTATGTTAAGAGTTATTTTCTTGAGAAATCAGTTGATTTTCTGCTTGCATATAAAATTGTTCTCCAAACCATTCTCTGTGCATTTCTAAATAACTACAACATTTAGAATATATGTATCAATCATGTTATATGGAGAGAGTATGTAAAGAAGATACGAAATATTACCTCAGAAACATGTCCAAGTATTTTGAAAGAACCTTCAACTTCTTGTGTGGTATATCTGTTAATTGGAGTAAATCTGGCAATTTAACTAAAAATATACAAATAATTACGATGTAATATTTCTTAATATTTTTTTACCTACCAATATTTTGACAAATGTTTAAAAAAAAAGTGTACGCACCAAATAATCGCGTCAGGTGAATGGCACCATAATAAGTAGAAGGATTTGGAGGATTTTCAGATTTCGCACTCTCGGGCATTAATCTCCATTTGTTTGATTGCTGAAGCAAGGCATTGATTTGTGCAGATGTAACAATTGGTATTCTTAATGTTACTCCACGTGGGCTAGAACAACGAGAACTTGTACTTGCAATACTAAAAAGAAAGAAATCGTCAACTTTGTGAATATGTAAGCAAATGTGAGATGATTGGTGTTTTTTTCCTGAAACTTTAATATACCTAGATAAATTTCCTGTATCTTGTTTAATTTCGTCATAGAATCTCAACTGTCTATTTTCATCAATGGAACTCACTCTACACGATCTTAATCTTCGTTTCGTATGTGTCAATATTTTTGATGTATCTGTTTCTGGATCATGTTCTTGAAATGGCGGTAAATGAGCATATTCAGTATCTTCATACTCTTCTTTAACTAATACCTCTGAATTTCTTAAAATAATAATATTCTCGTGTTAAAGTTGACCTATCTTGTTTAAATTTTAAACGAAAATACCTACTCAACTGGTTCTTCTTTAACAAGTGTTGGACGTTCAGTATACAAGAAGGAAGATTTTAAATTACAATATTGTTCTCGTTCTTGCCTATATAGAAGAAGATCATGTAATGTAAAGTCGAAATATATTCGTAATCCGTCTGCAACTTCCCTGCAGATGTTTATTTCATTAATTGTTTTTTCTATTGTGTTATTCGCTTTGTTCCTTTGAGGCTTTTCTGGAATGTTTGTTAATTGTGTTGTTGTGTAGTGCTGTACCCAGGATTCTAAAATATTTGCAACAGTAGGTTGGGCTGGAAGAACAGCTAGCTAAAATCCATATATATTTTGTTACTTTCAGAAGTTTAAGTTACATTTTCATATGTTTTTATGGTAAAATATTATACCTTATTTTTATTGGTTATTAGGTCGTAGTCTTGGTCCAAAATTCTTCTTAAAGTAGTACCGATGTCAAGATCAATTCCTGGCTTTACACTGGCACCGGATTGACTGCCACCTCCGCTATCCTCATCGTCGCTCGTTTCACCAACATAATCAGAACTACTTTCTGTATCTTCTTCAGTAATTACTTCCTTTATTATTAAAAATAATAATACTTCGTGTAAATTGTATGTCAATTTTCCTCTATAATTGTTACAGACTCTAAACTATTAATACTTCTGTATCATAATCAGCGTGTTGTCCTGAACTGCCATCCTCTGATGATCCGGTTGTCGCAGACGTTGCTCGACTACCACCGCTTCTCGCTCTTCGCCGCGGTTCCCGATTCTCAACTTCATTTAAACGTTCAGATAATTTATGACTTCGTTTTTTACGCTCTCGTCGATATAAATAAGCTCCCCTACGATATTAATTTAATTTATGTATAATTACATAAAAACTGTGTATGTAATTTTTATTATATACATACAACTGAAGCTGTGCTTTTTGTGCTAAATCACGTTGAAGCTGGCGATTTTCCTCTGTATCTTTTAGTACATATTCTTCTGTCACACAACGATCCCATGATGAATTCCATCCCTATTATTGCATAAATATTTTTCCTTATATGTATATAAGATACTTATGATATGTAACAAAGGTAATAATCAGTTATAAATCATAGTAACTCCTCGTTTATTGTTCACCTGGAAATGTATCAAATATTCAACAGCTTTTCTTCCTCTTTGATCTTTGTTAACTATGACATCAAGTACCTAGAATTCATATAACTCATTGAATATTAATGTACATTTTGCTTGTAACTTAAAATGCAATACATTACAATGACATTAATTTATCAATGCTTTAATTGTAAAATTATATACCTTTGAGTCGTACAATACTTTTGCTTTGGTAGGATCAGGTTCATAACATAGAACTTTTTCACCATCACAAAATTTGAATTTTGGTCCTCGAGTGGAAACCATTCCTTTCTACTGAATATTGAAACCAAATTACAAAATTGTTCTTGTATGCAGTTGAACACCAACAGAAATCATAACATGATATTGTTTAGATTATCATAACCTTATATAACACTAAATACATCTAAAATGATTTAAAATAGCCTATGGTTAGAAAACCTTTCTAAGTACCACCTTCGTATCTCTTTACTTGAAATTATTAATCATTACCAAGTACATATACCAGACAACTGTTGTTAATAACAGGTAAATACAAATTAAAGTTTCAAAAATTAAACCTCCTCGTAAAAACTTTAGTTTGTATATAAACTAACCTAACCTGACATCAAATTCAAACGGGTATAATTGTCACTGGTAACAAATAGTTAGTTCCGATGCCAGGCGTTAAATGGCGTTGTTACAATTTTTAAAAAAATTTAAATGCCCGCCTAATAAAACCGTATAAAAGATTGAACTACAGATACAAATTGTATCTGTAGTCATTGGTTTCATTGAAGAAAGATTCATTGAAAATAATGGAGAACCGGGAACCCGTAAATTACTTTACAAAGTTTGTGTTATCGGCCTGCCTCCTTACCATTTTCGTAACACATTCTGCTGTATCAACTGAATAGCGTTTCTGTCGTATATGACATGAAAATGGTAAGAGGGCTACATAACCCAGGAATTTATATTGCATTATAAGTCTTTCTTATAGCTCATCTATGATCATACAGAACGTACCTACATACTGCTACACTGCTACATACCACGTTTCATAATAGAACCGTTTGCAATAGTGTGGCCTGTTTCGAAACGCGTTTGCTGTTATTTTCCTTGGCGTTTATACATGTATTCACTTTTATTAAAAAGAAGTTCGAGCTTTTTATTTTTGAGTGTTTTCAGGACGGATAACATTCAGTTTGTGTACAGTAAATAGACAGTATTGAAAATATAATTGGGTGTTGGGTCAGTCTGTCAACTCAGGTAGAGTATATGTATGTCATACACACAGAAACGATATCTGGGTACATATTCGTCGTATGATCATGCAAGAAATAGTAACAAAAAAAAAGAACAAAATGATTGAGGTAAACATGAAAGTAAACTAGCTAAGAAAATATAGTGATGACGAAATTATTTTAATTGCACACCGAAGAATGCCGACTGATTTTTCCCGCTACTTCGTGCTAATTGAACGGTAGAAGCTACAGGTCACGATTATTTTGAGTTACTATTGATTGATAAACAGGTACATACATGAAAATATTAAAGCAAATACAATAATTAGTATAATCTCAAAAAATATCGTTCTGTTAGAAAAACATATATCCAATGTACTTTGTTACATTGTTACATTTTATCTTTCATTTTCATTTATTCGCTATCGTATTCTCCATGTTTTAAATATTCGTAATTGGATCCGGAATTTCAACCGCGATAATGTATCACACAATCAAATCCACCGCCCACATGCGTAAATACGTATGCACTTAATCTAACGCAAATATTCCTTCTCCGGTGCATTACTCTTCGTTGTTCGTAAGATAGAAAGCCTGTCATTTGCTATTTCCAGTAGAGATGATCTCACGCTGTAACATTAAGTAATTCCTATAATATGTTGTTGGAATATGACATAATTTCGTTGAACAGCTTCAATCCAGGACCGAATGTAAAACGATTGTTCGCTGTTATCTGCGACGCAACGCGTTTACGCCTTTTGCGCCTGTAAGATAGCTTGTAATCGACCCGGCGGGCTTTTTTCGTTTCCTCTCTTGTATCATTTAACTGCGATTTGTTTTATTTAATTCGTTAAGTACAATCAGCCACGTTGAGCGTATAATTTATTATTAACTTGTTCAATAGAACTGCTTTATAAAGTAAGCGAAATCATAGTTGGTCTGGTTTTATCAAGCGGTTAAATTTCAACTTGAACAGTAACAAGTTTTGATGCTTCAATCTCAGATTTTAATTCAATATATAATATTTTTCAGAGTGACCAAAAAAGAAAAAAATGGTGGACCACGGATTTCCTGGACAACATACTACCACAACTACAGTAACTACAAGTACCACTACTACACAACCAATTATCCGATTTGATCCGTCTTACACGAGAACATTACCTGGAATTCTTAAAGTCGCTCAAGTGGTGAGTTTATTATTAATCGATAAACTACCTGATTTTTTATATCAATGGATCTTTTGATTATGATCACGAGTTATGTGTGTGCGCACGCAATCAATATACATATATACATTAGCGTTTATTATCTTTTCGTTATCGAAGTTAATTTGGAACGGTTTACTGAAAAAATGAAACGTCATTAATGAACTTATATTTGTTTTTTTTTGTAGATTTTGAGTCTTCTAGGATTCATATGCATCACAGTGTCCAGCCAAAGCAGTTCCAGTCGTGGAGGATGGTTCAATACCGTGGCGATGGGTGGTTTCTGGTTCACAGGGATATTGCTCGTTTTTTACTTGTTTCATATCGTTGAAAAATTCTCGAAAATTCCTTGGATAAAAATTGTGAGTCACAGGAGAGGAACATTAGCTTCTCATGCATAATTTATCCGTCATCGATTATATTAAAAGTCTCGTGATAGTTCGAGAATAGGGAGCTCGTTAAAAAATTAAGACGCAAGTTATTTTTGTAAGGAGGTGAAATATTGATCTTGGTCGAAGTAACCGGAACGTTTCGCACTAGAATATGCTATATACCAAATCGAGTTTAACGTCGTTATTATTTAACATCTTGTAATTTGTTTGGAGAAGTAATATATCCGCATTGTAATTTGCAGGAGTTCATATTTTGCTCAATTTGGACTGCTTTCTATTTGTTAGCTGCTGCTCTGGCAGCAGATTATGCTAAATACGTAGAAGCTTTTGGAGTTGCAGCAGTAAGTTTTATTTAATTTATAATCTGTTTTATCTCGAGTCTGCTTTTCTTTCTACGAATTTTATTCACATTTTCTTTTGTAGTTCTTTGGATTCTGTGCCATGGTAGCTTACGGCTACGACGCTTGGTTGAAATTTCAAGCAGCAAGGAGCGGTGCTTTAGCACAGGGTCAGTACACTCCCAAACAAGTATCAACGGTTACGAGTCCAGCGTATTAATTCTAAACAGATAATTGTTCGATAAACACCGTACGAATGGACCATTTTGAAGACATATCTCGTTGCTTTTATAAGAAGGATTTCTTTTCTATCTTTCTTGTTATACTATTTTCAAGGTAAAATGCTAACAATAAGGCACAAACTAATCTCATTAATTAACATTGCTATTTTTTTTTTTTTTTGCTAAAGTATGCACGTATTCACGTACATACGTTTAATCGATGTCACTGAATCACTGATATTTAATGATCTTATATACATATATATATATATATATATACATATCTGTATTATAAGTAAGATGATATACAAATACGCATATTTTTTAATCTCTTTTTCTTTATACATATTGTTAGCTGGTTAATCATTGTGTATTATGTCGTAAGGTTTTAATATCTGTTGATATTGAAATGATATTTTTGAACAGATAATATATACAGATACATATGTATATCTATTGGTATACATTTATAAGCAATATATATGTTCGATCAGTATTGTGTTCATACTATATGAATCGTTGATATATACGAATATTTGTACTTGTTTTGTATTTAATTTTCGAACGATGACGATTTTGTCGTTTCGCGTTGCATTCCAGATTCTAGTAACGAATGGATCAAATGGTTATCTTTATTTATTTGTAATTGTACGTGCCGCAAGAGAAAAGAAGGTGTACGATAAACCGGATGTGTGTTAGATTCGTTTTCAAGATATACAAGTAATGTTAGTTAGACGTAAGAATCGCGTTTGTTATAATTTAATGATTTTCATGATATTACGCAACGTATCACGTGTATTTTGTGATCTTTATTCGATCGACTCGATACAGGTACCTACATTTATATGTACATGATATTAGATACATACTAAATAATTCTATTTAACAAATTTCGAACAACACGAAGAAAACGCAACGACGATAGTTACGATGAAACTTGTACTACTAAAACGTTACTTAAACGAAATAAATTATTGAATGTTCTTTCCCTGCAAATAATTTTGTTGTGCTTTTTTGGCCTTTTTTTCAAAGAAAAACGAGAAATTATGTAGCTGTGGAAGTTGTTTTTGGACAAATTTTGATATGCGTTCTCTTCAAACGAAGAAAATATTAAATTGAAAGTTTCTTTAATTTCTTTGAACGTATTTAGGCCTGCGGCCCTGTTTCTTACCCATACTAGAAAGATCAATGGTTTTGCCGTCGGGGAGTACTAATTTGTTTTCTTGATAATCAACAAACCCGTTTTCTTCATCTTCTTCGCGTTGTTCCTCGTCGCATTTGATGCCAGTTTCGTAAGTGTATTCGCGTCGAATACCATCCGGATCTATGTAACCATATTTACCCCTAGTGATGCAATCGATGCCAATTAGTTCTTCTTTGTAAGATCCATCATCGTTCTCGAAGCCCCAGGTGATTGAGCCATCCGGATTATCGTTACGATACCGTCTGATAATCTGTTGCAAAACGCATTAATATGTAAACGCATGATATGCGTATGATTTGCTTAACACCGTGCTTGATCTCTGTTCGTGTACCATTCGATATCGCTCTCTCCTGAGATTACATAACTGCTACAGGTTTCGTGTTCTACTTTTAGGCAACAGCGTTAGAATCGCTTAGATAATCTCAAGAATTTCATTCGCAAAGTACTTTTCTTCAAAGTATCTGTTTCTTAAGTGGGAGAGCCAGATACTCGTGACACGATTAGCAGGATGTAATCAGGTTCCAAGGATTTCGTTTGATTGATTAAGTAACTATATGTAGGTATACAGATCGAATTCTTAGGAAACTAAGTTGCGAAATCGGTATATCAAGTTTCTATAATAAACAGAATATGACGAAAGGAAAGGGATAGCCAGGGAGGTAGATAGTCATTTAATGATTGAATTTTTAGGACCTACGTTAAACGTAGCATCGTCGTCAACCCTTTTCCCAAATGAACCATGTACTAACCTGTGCAACTGGCTTCTTTCCACGACCATCGAAAGCTTGTGATGTTTTCAGAGGTTTCGTAGGTGCCTTAACTTGTTGTTTGAACGGTTCCTCTATCGGTTTCCTGGGTTTGTTCGCTTTTGGAGGTGGTCTGTACTGAACAGGTTGTGGAGCCGGGGTGGCTGATACTCCACCTCCTCTGCCAGTTGATGGTGAAGCTGTTTGAAGTGGACGATATTGTACTGGAGGTGATTGAGCTGATGGACCAGCGGGACTTCTGGATACTGCCCCTAGATTCGCTATGGCACGTGGCACGTTTTCTTCGCTATCTTCTTCTTGACTTTCCGATTGCTCCTCGCTCAATTCCGAATCATCGTCTTGCTCGCGTTGCGATTCTCGGTTTCGTGCATCCTCGTCTGGTTCTTCGTTCACTGGCTTGATATGCTGAGGGATATTTGGTGCTGGCCCGGTTGGCAGATTGGGTCGTAGGGGTTTGAATGGTGCCAGGGGTCCTGGACCAGTTCCGATGGGTCGTCGTGGACCGGTAAGTCTTTGATTCGCAAGCGCAGCCTGCGTTGGAATAGCTGGTCTAGCAGATGGCAATCTTTGGAAGCGCGCTGATCGCAAGGGGCCTGGTGAACCCTTCGGTGGCGAACCACCCTCTATGTCTTGATTAAATTGGGCCGAAACCAACACGGTGACGCATGCCAACAACTGTAACAAATAATTAAGAAAAGTTAGGACCTGAATGTTTAGCTCATATATGTATTCTCTTCACGATGTTGGCAAGCAGGTTCTTTCTTTCCTGTTGTTATCTCTGAACAGCCAATTGTTCGTTACGTGTACGACGACGAGCGTAGCATATTCTGGAAATGAAATTGGCTTTCTCTTTTCTTTGGCTGGCGTGCCACGATGAATTTTACGCAAAAGCAACTGGAGGTACAGCTAATTATCTGCATACGTCCAGTCTTATCGAGAAACTTGTTGGCGTAAACGAGCACGTTTGGACCGGTGGTACCGCTTCCACGGGTAGAACCAGTCGCGAGAACCTGTTATATCGGGATCGAACGAATGCGAACGAGAAATAAGAACAATCGAATCGCTGTCGTGCCAATAAGCAGTGATCCGATACCAGAAGACCGAGTCTACTGGTAACCCCTTCTAACGCATAGAAATCTTACTCTTGTTTTTCCAAGCTCGTTTCATTCGATAATAATTCCCCGTTATATAAGGAATATGAAATAACGTAATTTTTTTCAGACTTAATCAGTACTTTCTTGGAAATTTGAAACATCAACAGGAACGTTAGACTTTAGTTGCGAAGCGTGCTGAAATTCAACAGAAACTTATCGTTAGTAGTCTCCCCTTTTACCTGGGTGACAACTGGTTAAGGTTCGATGGAAGTTCGAAAAAGTTGAAATGTTGTAACGTTCGTTAGGGTGCTGCGAACACGTTGTAGCAACGGTGTTGGCGAAGTTGTGGCTGTATCAGTGATCGTTATATCCTCCTCTACAATTCCTTTACTCCGCAGGAATGCACCCAGTCGTCTCGGCAGAGAAGGGAGAGACAGGCGAGCCGAATGAACGTGAATTTGTTTCTTACGGGATTGCACTTCGTTCCAAGTCGTGGCACGCGTAGATATTTATAGGGAACACGACTAAAAATCTATTCGACTTTCTTACTCGCCACTTTCACTCGACCAGAAGCCGACAATGCCTACAGCCATGTTTACGGCTGTATACCAATTTTCGTCCTTCGTCTCTACCTCCTTTTTTCTCATTTCCTTGCCTTATACTCGTTTCTTCGTTCATTTATTTTACCTTCTTGTACTTTCACTTTCTTTTCTTTCTTCTCCGATAATGGCCCCCATTTCTTCGTCGATCGTTCCAATTTTACCATGAACGTCACGTTTTTGCCATCGCTACGTGACGATTTTAAACGATCAATTTTATAGGTTTCCAATGAGTATTGGAACGATAGTAACAGCTTAATATGGTTAAATTGAATTTATGGGTACTCTAGAGATTTCCCCACCGATAATTTGATATTCTCTATGCGATCGACACGTGATATTCTCTAAGGACAAAGTACAACTGGTTGAAACACAAAGCTTGATCAAAAGCATGAACATAAAGACCGGTAGGGCTGATCGAAAGGAATGTCAAGTATAAAGGAAACTCTATATGTAAGTCGATACGATTCTTGTAAGTTGTCTAAAAACTTGCCAGCCAACTTGGACTCTCCGACTAAACACCATTTCTCCCTTCTTCTTATATCTCGTGCAATTTTTATGGAAATATATTATAATGAAACGCGATCAACATAAAATACACGGTTAGAGCTTTCAGCAAAACAAGAATTACGTGTTACAATTTGCATAAAAAGAATTTCGATCGTTCCGTCGTTACGGATCGTAAGCATCGAAAGTAATTTATTGTTTCTCTCCTGTTCGATTTTCTATCGCATATGAATTTTTTAATATTACAAATGTTTGAAAATTGAAATACACGAGAAGAAGGTTTTAATTAACTTTCAACTTTCTTTGGTAGCGTCAGCCTCGATTCATATGGAGATTTGAATTTCGCGCTTCGCGGACGTCACTTCCAGATGCACCGATTTCTGCGTTCAAATTTAAATCGTTCAACTTTGATCAATTTCTAAAGTCATTGATTTTTTCATAGGAATTTTTTAAATTTGAAATCGAACCGTTGAAGATGAAGCGACCGCGGCAAATTGAAAACGCACGCTTCCCGCCGGGGTTCTACCGAGCCAACGAAAGGGTTAAAGGGTTGGCAAAGAGGAGAGAACACTTTGAAGTACTCACGATCACCGCGACGCGCATGGCCGTATAGTATCCCGTGTCGCAATGGTGGTCACTCTGGGTGTGGTGCCGCCGCGTTTATGCCTCACACTACCTCGAACGACTCCCCGTCTCCGTCTTCTTATACCTATATCCCCGTTTAAATTCCTATGGTACGAGCAACACGCAGGCCAACTTTCCATCGGCCAGCAGGAATTGTGTTCCGTGCGAATACGAGATCGCGAAACGATTTGGCCCTCCGCGCCACCCGGTGTACAAGCGCATTCTTTCCTTCCTCCACCTGCCTCCACCTGCCTCCACCCAAGTCATTTTATCACTATCCTGATACTTGCTTGACGATCATCTTACCTCACGCGTTCACCTACTCATTTCGTTAATTAGTAATTAGTAATTAGTATTAGTATTGCTCAAGACACCTTTAACAAACTTGGCTATTCCCCGGAGTACCAGCTCCTGTTTAGCGAGAGGTAGCCCTAATAGCTCAGTTACAGCCGTTAAACTCGTAGCAATAAATATAGCGGTAAAAATAAAACGCTACTTTTAGATAGTTATTTAGAATTACCTAACTACCTAAGTGTTACATCGATCTCACTTGCCATCATTTATCCTAGCATTTCACGTTTTCTCATACTAACAAAAATAATATTCAATTAACATTTAATGCTCTAACAGATTCTTAGAGACAATATTTCAACAGTGAAGCTGCCTTTGTTCAAACCAAATTTACCATGCAATATTCGTAATTAACGTTAATTTTAAGAAACGATGGTTTCAGTAATCCTTACATGACTACTTGGGATAATTTCGAGCACATTATCGTAGGATACCATTCGTTTGATGGTTGCCTAGAGGAGCTTCTACGGGAAGAGTTAGTGCTCGAGGCTTGAATCCAAGGTCAGTGTCGGGGCTAAAGTCGGCTGCACTAATCCTCGTATTACGATGGCAATGTATATACTATATAGTACCTGCGACCTTATGCAGCCAGCTATAATTTACTGTATACTGCACTTTCACGTGTAACACCGCGTTCTTCAGCGTGTTGTATCTTCGAGATAAAAACGCACCGTTCAATTCTTCGCTTGAAAACGGTGCAGAAATTGGTTTACTCAGGGTCGTCAGTCGGATCTGGAGAACGTCTAAAGATGAATTTCTTATTTCGCTAAAGTAATAATTTCCACTAAATTTGGATGATTAAGTTGTAGAACGTTTATTTATTGACTGACAATGAGTCTAACTTGAAGAGGCGGTATCTTTTGCGAAAGGTATGCAATAATCGTGTACTATTCCTTGGTCGTATCGACCTTACAAGACTCAAAATGTCATTTTGATATTTTCTTGTCGAGCATTGTAAACGTAACGACCCGTAAAACATTGATGGACCTGTAAACTATGCACGCACACCAAATGCAAATGTTACCAGAACATTCTCCATCATCTGAAACCAGTTTTCTCTTCGCGTCTTCTTCGTACATCCGCAGTACCAAGCGTACTTCGTTTTCTTCGCGGTTTTCAAGGTCAACCGACATATTTCCTTCCACTTATAAGGGAACAATTAAAATCATTAATTTTGTATGTTTATTGTAATTAATTGAGATAAAATATAGTTGGTAAAATATATTGTCTTGCAACAAACGAAGCATTCATTTTAATAATTACACCGATCAAACTTGTTATTCGCCTACAACTGTTCTCTTTGCATGAAATTAAAGATCATCTTGTATTCTTCTACCAATCTGTTTGACCCATAAGACGTATTATTCAATGTTTGCGCAAACTGAACGAGGCCAACTATACAGGGTGTTCTATATGACCCACGTACATCGAATATTTAGACGTTCAAAATAATTATAGGATTTTTATTTCATGACTTCTAATATTTTCCTATTTAAAATAATAGAATAGAATTTTTTTCACCTATGTATGAAAGGTTATGTCACGTAACCGCCCGCCATTTTGAACCTTACAGCGTTGCGCTTCTGAAACCGTGCCACCGAAAAGAAACTCGTTAATTCTGGATTAATAATGATATTTAATGTAAAGTTCTATAATTATTTGATGTAATAAATCTTCAAGACGTACTTGAAGACGAGAAATAAAGTAACAATTAAATTTCTCAAACCCCTCCTGATACATAACTTCTTACTCGAGTATCATTCGAATCTCAAGTGAAACTTTTATGTTGGAATTGACTCGAATTCGAGTACATATTGAACTTGATCCCACCTCTAGGCAGTAGTACCAGCCGATGGTTACACGGCGACTACGTCCCAGGGTAAAAAAGGAGAAAGAAGAGAAGAGAAGAGAAGAGAAGAGAAGAGAAGAGAAGCGCGCGCAAGGGAGAACCGGTTTCATGGGGGTTTCAGCCTCCACAAAATGATCTGTCTGGCTTGCTGCTTCGACTCCGCTTGCCTCCACTGTTCACCTCCCGCGAAAGCGTTTGCTCCGGTGCACCACCTACCTACCTACCTACCTACCTACCAACCTACCTACCTACCTACCTACCTGTTTCTTTTCCTCCATCTCTGCTCTCTCACAAGACCTGCTGACCAACGTACCTGATTCGACGTCAAGAGGGTTCTAACTCGCGGCATTCCTCACCGAAAGCCAGTTGGACATTCCGCGCGGGGTAAATTGATGCTAAGAGACCTCATCGAGGCCACCACCATCCCGCTACAGCTGGCATCAACTTCAATATCTACAAACAAATTCAAAAAATAAATTTCGTCAATTGCGTATTGCTGCAGCTGGTAACCACCATAGATGACTTAGAATCGTCTGGTCATTCAAATACTTTGCGTCTGGCGTTTCGATTCGCTTTATCAAGATTCTATTCGTTATGCTGCATGTTTCATCATTTGCTACCCCCTCGAATAACATTAAAAACAAATATAGCGATCGAAAGTACAACCTGGTGTATACGGATGGATCATGTTCCAACTATTCCAACTGCCGCCCTTAGATTTTTCGCTATTTTAAACTATTCCTAGATAGGAATAGCTCTTTGAAATCCGATGGGGCAGCAGCTAGGTGATTGTTTAAAAAATCGTTCTCGCTGAGAGAAATTGTTTATTATAAAGAAAAGCGTTGATTTCGAGGTATACGGTTCGAGGATGGCAGCGTCATCAAGCTCCTGAGGAGACCGGCCGATTGAACACGGGCCGCGATCGTGCCGATTCCTCTGATTGGCCAAGAGAGCCGGCGTTACTCACGGCGCAAGAAGACTCTTTGTCTGTTTTTCGTCCGGCCGACTAGCCGGCAACCGGCGGACCGCAAGTTATACGTGCAGTCGGAGGTCCTTCAGCCGTCGCGCCGGCTGCAATTATTACGCTCGTCTTCGAATTCGATCTCGGCTCGTTCGCGATTCCTCCAGACAAACCTTCCTACCAATATACGCCGCGGCCATTCAACGAAATCGTGAACCGATCGGTGATGTGCCATTAAAATGTTTCAACGCGGTTAATAACGGCGAGAGGATATCGGAGAAACGTCATCGATTCATCGGAGGTAAGACCCTCTTTCTCGGGAAGCTTTTATAACAATATCTTCTTCTCGCGAAGAATTACCTACTTGGGCCGTCTATTTTTTTTTATACTTGATAGTTGAATGCAATTGCAATCGAAGGTCAGTATTTTTGGGATAATTTTTCTTTTCCTGTCTTCGCGTTTTTTGAAAGATCAGAACCTTTAAGAGAAGAAGAAACCAGTTTTAGATTGAGCTACCCGGTACATAGGATGCTTGTATTCTACCGTGAATCGCCGACTTCATTCTGCGACCTTCAGCCTGCTATCGTTAAATCGTTCAAGAGCATTGGCCGCGATTGCTTTTAGATACATGCAAAATTTATCAAAAAATTCTGAACTGAAGAAGAAAGAGTATTGAACTTTGAGTATCGCAACTTAAAGAAAAAGAAAATTATTAGTATGTAATGTATTTTTTTTTGGAACTTTTGTATTTGAAATTGATTATTTTTCAATAAGTAAGAATATTTGTTAAAAGCAAGTACGTGAGAACCTGAAGAAACAAAGTTCCTTGAAACGCTAGACTTGCATACGAACATTTGTACGTATGTAGGTATGTGCTTCAGGCGCGGACACTGCTTCGGTCAAGGTCGCAGTCTGCAAGTTAATGCTCTTTTTACACGTTCTCTTTCCTCGGCTGTACACGGAGTCCCGGAAAGAAGCCAATTAATGTCTGCCAATGCAGATTCGTTTTGAACAATTATTATAAATAAATTATTGTGGCCAAATTAATAAAATATCTCTTAATTACAATCATTATTATATACTACTCGTTTACTTACACCTATTATTGTGAATTTTGAATTTTGAAATTTTAAAAAGTTAAAAAGGAAGGTACTGTGTCGAGGATTGGTAACTCCACCACCGTTGGCGAAAACTAACGGCCAATGGGGTACGAGTTTCCTTCCCTCGGCGCGAAATGCGGCAATATAAGGAGTGGATCCAAAGGCCTTGGCGGAAGGAGGCGAAATACTTAGTTTTAAATCTTTCTTTGGACGATTTGAAATTTATTAACTAATATTTTTATCTTATAGTAGGATAATCATAGTTGGGACCAGCGGACATCGGAAACTCATTTATAGTGCCACAGTAAGTAAGTAAGTAAAGAAGTAGGTAAGCAAGTAAGTAATCTAAGTGATCTTATTGATTAATGCAATACTTGTTCAATTATTATTCAATATCATTGTTATTGTTGATAAATTTCTTTGTTAGACTTTTGAATATAGTGACATCTGTGCTAAACTTGCGGAAACTGCTAACCAAGGACAGTGACTATATAACCAACTTGCCGAGGACTAACATTGTCTTTGATAATTTCAGTTGTCTGGGATATATTTGTATACGTTTATCATACGTTATTAATCTTTTGAATTGATATCGAATAATTATTAAACAGTTACGATTTATTAATAATTCGATTATCCCAAAAATTCTTACCAGTAAATACAATTAAACGTGGCGCTGTAGGCGGTGCTGATGTAGATCCATTTTGATTTCAGTGATCTAGCTCCTCTGACGGTCAGTGTTAGTAGCGTCACAAATGGTCACAAGTTGCAGTCGAGGTAGAGGTGAATGTTTTGTTTTGCTGTTAAAAACGTCAGACAGCATGAATAATGTTTTCGCATTACTGATTTTGTTTATTACACTATTAGATATTGGATATTGCACACAGAGGACTGTAAGTAACAATATACTGTCGTTTTAATTATTAGAATTTGATTTTCACTACGATTATTTGGATCAATGTTCTATTGAATAAAAAAGAAATAAAAAACAAAGGTCGCCTGTAACGTGAATCATCGTTTGATTGTTTTTATCTTTCTCCTAAAGTCAATTTAGAAATTATTATTGTATCGGGGGATTGGTGATTGAATAACAATTTCATGGTAATTGAGAGCACGTTACTTAATGAGGAACACGAGTTCCCATAACCCATTTATTAATTAACGTGAGAACCCTAATCGAGGGATTAGCAGCGATATAATGTGCGGAAGTTCAAGAATAAATTTAATCAAACATTTATGCATTCGTTCGCGATAAATACGATTATAAAATAACATTGTTATTAATAAATAAATAATTTCTAGACGTTATAATTATAGTAATGTACTATTTAAATAGTGAGTTGTAAACAATATATTTACATTTTTTTATATAAAAGAATTTGCCTGGCACTAGTTACGATCATGGGTGAATCCTGACTGTGGCTCAACATGTAATGAGATAAATTCAACAACAGTTTACCTGAGAGCTGATGGTCCCAATGATACCTTACATTATCTATGGGATTTTGATGGCAATCCGTCCGTATTATTAGCACTTACTTCACCTACAGGTTTCCTTAATATAAGCTGGGATGATTTCCTTATGAATAAAAAAAATTCTGTAACATTCACAGAAAAACCTATATATAGTTTTGGAGTAGTTATAAATAAGGTCAGTATTTATATGAGATCATTATGTATATTACTTGTATATTAATCAAGTTAATTTGATTTCTAGATCATAGAGTTCAATGATGCTAATGACACAGGATTAATAAACATTGCTAATGTTGTAAATACAAATAATCTATATCCTATGTTTTATCAATGGGAGCGTAAGACTTTAATGCAAAATAATGACTTTGTTACCTTAGAAATGGAAGGTAACTATTACAATGATACTGCAATGAATATTAGTAGAAGTGGAAGTGTAAAACTTTCGGTAATGTATTTTGTTAATATTTCATTCTTTCAATTATAATCCACCATTTAAAATTACTTATTTCTATTTATTTTCCAGTTAAGAGGATTCTGCTCTCTTGATCATTCAGAAATGCTGCCTCATATGTTGCATACCGAAAATTCCACTCAAATTGACATTGTTCTTGACAATATACAAACGAATAATACCTTCTCTAAAAGCAGATTTGCCATTGAATTATTAGTAGTTGGGGAAGGAAATCCTGATATACCCATGTTTGTGAATCCCAAGAAAAGTTTGGACGACGAACATACTCCAGGTATATTTGAGGTAATATAAATTGACTTTTACTCATTTATCAAAGTAAGTAAACGGAAAATATATAATGTGCGATATTTTCGTTTCAGGTGGTCGAAGTTAGGACACCACCGTTCAAAAGTATGGATGATTTTCGAACTGAGGGTGCTTATTTGCAATGGGTACCAATCTCCTATACAACCGTGTCCCGCGAAGTAACAAGCGCAACTGAAACAATGCAATATCCACCAATGAAAGTAACTAATCATACAGATGCTATCATCAATTCTATGTTGTACCGTTACTACGGAGACGAAGTTAATGAAATGCTTACACAGAGAATTATTATATCGTTAGGAACAAAAGGAGATGGATTTTATAAAAGAACTTACTATTCTACATGGTAATTTCATTTGATATTTTCGTTTTAATAATCGATATTAAAACGAAAATGAAATAACGTTAATATCTCTTTCAGGACCTTTTTAATTGGCTATGGTACACCACCAAGTGAACGATTTTCTAATTTGGTAATTATGATCATTTCCATTGGTCTAGGCCTTCCACTAATTATTCTAATAGCAACTGGTTTATACCTTTGCATTCACAAGCTGCCTAAACGACATAGTGATACATATTTAAGTCAATGAAAAGAATAGATGATTAGACGAAGTACGATAGATATTTGTGCACGTTTAGTTGCATTTTCACTATACCACCATTAAACCTTACGAGAGATTTTCCTATATTTATACATAGCACATATATTTTTTACACGTATTTTCAAATTGATATATAAATCAATTTGAAGTATATATGTTAATGCATCGCATAAGAATTATTCTGTACAAATTTATACACCATTGATTAATAAATGATAAGTAACAGTAAATTAAAATACCTATTTTTTTCTTTTTTTTTCTATAAATCCTATAATTGAATTTAATTGTTCTGGAAAAATAGAGCAAATTGATAGTAAGATCGCAGCACAATCGCTGACAAATAGTGTTTCTTAAGGAAAGCTTTACATGGGTGCTTTCAGAAGCGGTTGATTGTTCGAAAACGGTAGACGGCGAATGTTTTTAGTCGAAGATAGTAAGGGTGGCGCGGTGTGGTACCGTGTTTCTCGCTATCACGGGGGTGGCGGGCGAGGTGGTGTCGGTGGAAAAGTACATTTTCATTGATCCATTCGTGGCATGGAAGTACGGGGTGTGTGAATTTACGAATCTTAACCGCGATATCAACCCCTGTAACGTGTATCATTCATATAATTGAAGCACGGTATTAGATAAAAAACGAGGTAGACTACTCGGTTTGAACCTACCGATAGTGATATCAGCAGAGTAGCGATGGAAGAAAAATTGAAAGAAAGTTGAGAGATAGAAGAAGGTGTTCGATCGAAGGCTTTCAACGGAGGGAAACGACTACCGCAATTGTCATTGGGTGAGCACGGATTTGTAGTTGCGACACTCTCGCGCAGGTTAGTAGAGTGCAGAGGGTAGAGTCAGACCCAGCGGGTGGTTCGCGTAGAGAGTTGCGAATGGTGTGGGTATAGTGGGGTGCCTCGAAACTAGTTCCCGTTGAGTCCGCTGCGCGAAATTAACGCGTGGCGGTGCAATAACGTCCGCGTCGGGTTTGTCTAATCGCGGCAGTCTTCGAGAAGAACCTTTTCTGGCAGTAAAAACAGTGCCAGACTCGGTGTGTTCTCAGACTTGGTGAACCAAGTGAATTACCGTGATCGGGTATAGCTGGATACCAGGGATAGCAGGAACGAGGGATAGGAAAACGTTGACAGATGAACTAGAGAGTGCTAGTGGCGACCAAGTGAAAGACAGAGAGGGTGAGATCGTCAGGGATCGAGAAAGTGGGGAGTTTATATCGAGTGAAACAACCCGATCAGAGAAATAAGGGAGAAAGAGAGGGAGGGATAACGACAAAGACCAAAAGACGAACGTATAGTGACAGAGAGTGAGTGAGTGTGAGAGAGAGAGAGAGAGAGAGAGAGAGAGAGAGAGACGTGCGCGCGCGCGTGTATGTGCCAGAAGGAACTGTCAGACAAAGGAAGTGGAAAGGAAGACCTTTGGTCGGTCCTTCGGTGAGGAAAGTTAAGGGTACGAAGGACGGTCTGGAAGGTAGGAAAGACGGAAGGATCGTAGTCAGACGAAGCAGCAATAAAAGGGTTGAGAGTAGTAACGAAAAGGTAGAACGCGTCGGGTCTGTCCCCCAGGAAGGGACCGTCGCGCGCAACGCGATCAATTTTCGTTGCGACGCGGGCGGCGAGACTGGTGTAAAGGAAGAAGAAATGACGACTGCGGCGAGATACCGATAACCGGCCAGATAATGTTGTCGCAGAGCAAGTTTTACGCTCTCTTTATCCACTACACGTTTGTGTAGCGCGACACGGGGCGGGTCCTTGCCGCTGCGGTGAATAACAGTGGAGTCGGAAGAGGTGGTGGAGGCGCGACGAGTACAAAGAAGAAGAAGAAGAAGAAGAAGAAGAAGAAGGGAGGGAACGTGGATAGAGTTGTTCGCCTGGTGGAGATTGACGGAAGTCGAAAAGGACGTGTCGTTATTGAAATCGTAACGGATAGAAGGAGAAAACCAACAACAGATAGAGAGAAGAAAGAAGAAAAGCGAAAGGGACACCCACATACACAGAGAAAGACAGAAAAAAAAAGTTTGTCGTCGTACGGTGTTCAGTTAACAGTGTCGCGTTGCTTGACAGTGTGCTATTCTTGCCGAAGCTGAACAAGCAAGGCCCGCGGAGGTATCTCAGAACCCGCCCCTCCTCGACGTCGCAGTGCCTCTTCTCCATTAACGCTACGTCGTGTTTCTTTTCGTTCAAATCGCGACTATCCACGCTATTGGAGAAACTCCTCGACCGTAAGTGAAACTTTATTACATTGATATTTGAAATCAAGTTTCGGAGACAAGTCTGATCCAAACTTGAGTGGAACAGCTTGATCGTGTAAACAGCGTGTAAGCTATTTTGTCGATTTTACTACTTGGAAACCGCGTGCGCTCTCCTAGAGGAGGCGCTAATGGCGCTACCGTGCAGTTCGCAACCTCGTTGAATAATCGTTGTCGCAACGTCTTTAACGTTTCTTTCAGTCCGTATTTATAAATGAAATGTTCGTTTTTTCATTATTACCATGGATTTATAACCTTAAATATTCGATATTTTTCTTTAACCAATTCTTCAATCAATTCGTTGCGACCATTATTAGAGAGTTTCGATTAGTTAAACACGATAGCCAGAAATCGAATCGTAAGGTGACACACACATACACACACAAGTAAGTGACATATATCTATGTATAGCGTGACGCGCGACTGCTGTTCCATTCTCGATATATCGATCGATACTGGCTCGGTCAGGGATCAGTCAGGGGTTCATCACTAGCGATGACGATAACCGCTTGCTTGCTCTTCTTCTTTGCTCAACTCTTCTCGAGATTAGTCGCACGTGAAATAGCTTTGGTTCCCTTTGTGTCTGTGCGACGAAGGTCGTATTTGCCGCGCTCCTTATATCGCTCGGTATGCCGCTTTTGCTTGCTTGTGTTCCTCTGTCTCGCGATGACCTTCCTCCGCGCGAAAATTGCCGGTCAATACGACGTGCACGATCCGCTAAAGAGCCGTGCGATGGTATCGATCACCGCCTCGTGCACGCCGACCAACCTCGTCGAGAGACTTGATTTCACGAGAAAACGCGTGAATCGTATTGTCCCGATTCACCACTGCGATTAATCGATGCTAGGTAATCTCTCGATCGCAGTGCTCGTCAATTCTTTTCAAATCACCCGCCCCGTCGATCACGATACCCGCGAAATTCAAATTTCAAGATTAGAAAAACCTATCGCTACTCAATCGTACGATCTAACCTTATTTAAACTGGAACTAGAAAATTAATTCTGTTCAATCGTTTTGATTATCTTTGATAGCCATAACGTAATATGTTAAGTATGTTTAGGGGAACGAAACACGCAAAACTTGTATATAATCACAGATGTGAAATTTCTAGGTTATTTCTTCTCGCAATCCTTCGATCGGTTCCATTATGAAAATTCATACTGTTTGCAAAATACTATATTTACATTGTTTAAAAATTTAATGAACTATTTAGCTTGGTAAATAAAAGATCGATACTGTAGTCATGTAATGTCAAAGGTCGTATCAAAGTTACATTGTCTGTGCTAAAAGGAAGCGTATTTTCCTGTCCACGAGGAAAAGGATGACGTCAATGTTGATTTCTTCGACTTCGTTTTAAACGTTCCTCTCATAGGTACCTTCGTTCGAGCAATTTCTGATCGAAACGTTACTTGTTGGCGATTGGCATGCAACAGTTTCTGCAGTTCCTGTTTATTCTGATAAACAGTAGAATCTGCTAAGAAGATTACAGCATTAGGTTTAAATTACAACTACAAGTATAGTATCTCTTTCAAGATTCTAGATTCTAGAATGGCAACGTTAAATTTTAGTCCTATTCATCTCGATTCGATTTCGGAACAGATCGGTATCTTTCGAATGCGTCATGATAATCAAAGACCTTTATAAAATCGCGCGCGCATCAGAAATGGTGAGGGTGGAAAAGGAGGGTGAGATTTTGCAGGGCAAACGTTGGGCGAGCAAACGCAACAGGTGCGATATGGTTCGCGCGATGCGACGTTCTGACCAGAAGTGCATTGAAATGAGTATGCATATACCGACTTTCTTTCTGATTTACCATATTTCATCGATATCACAACATACCTTGAGATTTCACTACTTTCATCTTCGTTCATCTACTTAGAAATTGTCCAGAATAGAAATGGTTACTCGATGTCCGACCTTGTTACTTGTTACTTCAAGATTTCAATAAACTAGTAATTAGTTTTCAGTTGAAAGATAAGTATACACTCAAAGTTGGTGGTTCGAGTGTTAAGTACAGAGAAAATACAGGGTTCAAGGTCCTATTGATTGCTAAAGAGCACTTGATCGAGATCACATCTGGCGTATAGAGTGGTCTTACGAAGCGTAGCTGCGAGTCGAGCCGCAGGAGAAGAAGTCAGCCGTTAGGCCAGCCAGCCAACCAGCCAGCCAGGCAAACGGGCAATCGATCGATTGTCCTCGCAAGAACGCATGGCCCTGTTCTGCACTACACTTTAGCTTCAGATATACTTTGTCTTTTGTGGGTCACATTAGTATAGTTGATATCGGGAGAGCAACAGTTTTGTCAATATCAATTGATTATTTCGAAAAAATGTTGTCGAGTACCATTACGAATCATAAAAGAAAATTCTATTCTTTGTATGCCTACGATTATTTCAAGAATCGATTGTGCGATTTATATAAAGCTTTTCTCGCATTTAAAGCAATTCTTTGGGAAGGTTTTGAAGTATAAACCATTGTGCTGTGATTATAAGAAGTTGAGAAAGAATTAAAAATATGAACAAGGGACAGTTTTTCGTTACGCAGGCTTCTCTTGGAAGTGATATAAAATGAAAAAAAGAATGCTCTACTGATCCACTGAAAGTGGTTGATACTTGGAGGGTTAAATTGTGCCCAGCAGCTATTACTCTATTCTTAATGGACGATGTTAAAGTAACTTTCTTCTCCTGCGGCCGACCTTTCATTTACTTGTACTACTTACAAATCGATCTCGTACTTACTAGCACCACTGCCCAATTGATACACCGATTTTGATGCAATTTTGGTACGATATAGAACCTGACGAAATATTTAACACGTATTTTTTGTTACTGGCAATCGTCCATGTTGAAAGGGTTAAAAACAATCCTCAAAGTTAGGGACACAGGAAGGAGGATTAAGAAATGTCGAACGCGTGAAGGGATGGTTGGGAAAAATAGTGATGATTCGGTTCCGTTCCCTTGGCTGTTTTTGTCGTTTTTTAATCCTTGGCATTGGTTGTGGATGTTGCTGGAGGGATGGTGGATGGTGGATGGTGGATGGTGGATGGTGAATAGTGGTGGTAACGACAGTGCGGCGACGGTAGCGTCAGTGCTCGTCGTCATGACAACGTTTTTCCGCAACGTACCCGGCCTGGTTCGTGACGTCACGCGACGTCGGCATCGGTGTCGGTGTCGGCGTCGGTGTCGGCGTCGGCGTCGGGTCGCTACTGTGCCACAGCACAACGTGGAGAAAACGCTTTTCCGTTTCCCCTTCGTTCTCGATGGCGCCACTGTGCGTTCTCAGTTCCATCAAGATGGCAGCTGTGCAATTATAATATTTGCACGAACCTCGTGTTTTATCTATACCCCATTCAGTATCGAACATACAGATACAATATATATCCGCGATTTTTCATTTTATACAGATGGAATGATAAAATTTTAAATTTGGTAATTGCTACAAGAAGCATAGAATGATAGGGTACTTTTCTCTATGGAAGGATGTTCATCTCTTTGTAATATACATATAATGCAAAATGGAAAATATATTGTTTATTAGAATTTTGATAAGTAAAACTTTCTCAGTGGAAATGGCCACTCACTACCGAATATGGCGTTTCAAAGCCTTGTAAAGATCGATTTCAGGATGAGCTTGTAAATCCAGATATTCCATAGAAAAAATGAAGGAACAAGCGTTTAGTCTTTTTAACATGAATCTTTTGCAACGTCGAATGCTTTTGTTGATTACTCGATGAAGGTTGATTTACCGTAGACATACCTGACCCCGTTTCTCTCTAGCCTGCGTGTTGGCAGAGTGCCTTTTTTTATTGTGGTCGTATATCCGCAGGATAAAAGCTGCAATAGGCAATTAAATCGAGCTTCATCGCATTCTATATTGTCGAATTACATATTTTTATTTTCCATAACATTTCTCATAGAGCGTCTCTAACAGAAGAGGAATAAATAAATTAGTTAAAGGTCTTTCTAAATGGTTGCAATTTGTTCCTCCTCGTGTCGCAATTAAGGTAATCGAATTAAAAGCAATTCTCCTGTTCTCTAGTGTGTCCATAGTTCGTGACCATCATTAAATTATTAGGTCATTCCATAAATAATGCAAGGAGAGGACCCTAACTTTGAGTCACCAACTTTGATGAAACTTTTTAAAAATGTAGCAAATGAATCATTTGCATTTACCTCATTTTTTGTCTAGTGTTTATAGAATAATTATTTTATATTTGAAAGGTAAAAAAAAAAAATAAAAAAATTTTTTTGGAAAACACAGATTTGAACCCTGGTATGATAGAAATCATATACCTGATTGCGATACTATAAACTAATACACGTAACTCCTTTTTAAAGCGTGCGAAATTTGTTCACAAATTATAGTTATTTGCAGCAAAGATTGAGCTTCAAATTGATATAGGATAAGCAATATTTTGTGATACTTTTATGTCATGAAATTATATTAGAATTCTAACGTTCGAAAGTCAGTGATTTAATATGCAACAACCTAATGGTTTGGCCATCTTTGTACTTTCTCGTCTGATCCTGCGTATACTCATTCTACTGGCAATCAAGCGTTCTTATCAATTCACTCTTACTTTTCCTAGTTTGCGTATAGGCGTCCGTCGTCGGTTCTTCGGCGTTGGCGCCGCGACGACGACACCGATGCATAAGCGCGTGACCGAGTTCCGGCGGAATATGATCGACCGCGCGAAACTCGGTCAAAGACCACCGACACCCTTCTTCGAGCCGACTCCTGGTATATCGCAAGCTTCGTGTAAATTTTTGTTGTCGTGAATATGCGTGAACACGCCGAGCTCTTTCACCAACGAAAAAACTCGAGTGCTTGCTCTTTGCCAAAAGATGTTACGCCCGAAAGAATTTCTGCATACGAACGATTATCATCAACGGTACACCATGAGATTTCTACGATTTCTACGATTTCTACGATTTCTACGATTTATTCGATGAATTATTATCGGATTGGGTTACTTAACAAAAATATTCAAATGGGAATACTCCACCTACTGTATCATTTATAGAACCATGTATGTAGGTCATATGAAACATAAATTTTTTCTTTTTCTTTTCTCTTTTGTTATAGATAAGTATCGATCGACTCGAAGATCAGACTATGTTATTTCGAATAACGGATTGATCGCACCCGTCGCTTCATTCACACGTGAGTATTTTGAAAGGAGTAGATGCACCCTAGTGTCGTGAGAGTAAATTGTACGTTTTTCTAACGAAACACAGGTCGGACATGAAAAATCTTGGTTCGCGTTGGACGGTCCCCGACATAGCACGCACTGCCGCAGCGCGTTCGTCATTTCTCGTCGCCATTTCGTCGGAACGAGATTCAAATAGCAAAAGCAGCCGCAGCAGCAACAGCAAAAGCAACAGCAACAGCAACAGCAGTAACGATAGCAGCAATAGCCGCGTTAGTTACAAATCAGGAAGAAAGAACGTTAGATACAGTGGTATCGGTAAGGAAAGTATCGACAGAAGGATTTGCGTCACGGCGATCGACAAGAAGAAAAGGGAAAAGAAGAGCGTCGGTAGATCGGCAGTCGACGTGCTGCACGAAGCGCATTTATCCGTCCGATCGTACGTAACGGCGTCGTCGAATCGCATCGACGGCACGACGCATTCCGAATCGACGCCCAGGTACCGGCCCCTAGCCGGCAAATCGCGCGGTCTTCAACATCGGTCTCGTCCTCGTCAGCCGCAACCGCAGCCACCCCAACAGCCACTCTATCACACCCCCGCATCGTGGGACACGCGCACATTACACTTCAGGAACTGTTAGCACCGATCAAAAGTGAGTATTCTAAGAAACACGCTGCATCTACATATTCCTATTAGCAGTGCACTCCTTTTAGAATACCTTTTTATCGCAGTTTTATCGTCAACTACGATTTTAAGGGTGTTGTACTAACTCGACAGTTGACTGTTCGATAAATCTCATGCATAACTGATACATTTCTATTTCCGCTTACGTATATCACCAGAAACTAGATATTAGATTTCCTATTTATAGAAGCTTTTACCCGACCTTAGGTGCCACATGAATTAATGAAGGCAAGGCCTTTTGAAATAAATAAATTGATAATTAAAGATTTCAAAACTGTAGTTGATAATAAATCAAGACCAACTATTCTTCTATCACAAAGGTGTTCATCAGATTGAAGAATTCCTACTCTCATCCTACTCGAAGAAGCTTTGTCTCTTTTTGTCCATAATTTATCAGTGGTACAAGGTTCAGTAATTAAGGAATTCATTCGACGTTGGTGAATCTTATTTCAATGCGATTAAATTCGCGTTGGATCTTCTCCAAATTTCGAATACGTACAAGATACATTCAAACGTCGCCGAATAGATTTCTGGCAAGATTAGAAAGAATTTTAATTCTTTCTCCTAGGTTCGTATTCGTAATTAATGCAAAAGTAAATTAAAAGGAAAAAAATTCAAAGTGGTTATTTGTTGAAACAGAGAATTATAGAATAGTTCCCGCAGTTATCAATGTTTCACACGAGCTAACAGGGAATTCTATGGTATCGTAGTATCGTGAAGTTTATCACCTAGTGTTATAGGACAGACTCGGTAAAAAGCTTCCGGAAATGTATCGAGTCCATTACAGAAATAAGTTCAGCCTACAATTTCCTTGCTCCCAAGTGTTTCACGAATATCCATTCACTTGAAATGTCCACCTAAATATTTTCATTTATTTTATACACTATGGGGTCTCTTTGAATTTACTTTAAGTAGTTTTGATGATTAAATAATCGTTTCAATATACTAATCAATCGTTTTGGAACGGATGCTCTGCGGGCAGACTTTACAAGTAGTATAAGCGCGCTATAAGTCAGACGGTCTCTGCCGCCAAGTGGAAGCTATCAATCAATGACGCGGCGCGACACCTAATGAATACAGCGATGCATTTCTCCTACACCCCTGACAATTACACAATAATCATGAAGGATATTTAACAATTTTTCTGATTTATAGGAAGGTGGCTCAGCTGTGTGCAGCTTAGACAATGTCCGAAGATTCTGACTCTGTATCAGAGGAAGAAAGAAGTTTGTTCCGTCCGTTCACGCGGGAGTCCCTGGCAGCGATCGAGGCTCGCATCGCCGAGGAACATGCCAAGCAGAAGGAGCTCGAGAAGAAGAGAGCGGAAGGCGAGGTAGGAACCTAGCCATTTTATTATTAATCGTACCGTTCAAAATCGTAAGCATCGATTCGAAAGGAATCTTTGCTAGCAATATGATATTTTTAACATCGATTTACGATCTTTCTCTTTCAGTTTTACGTAACGATTTACGTTCTCTTTCGTTTTGCTAACGTTTGATCGACGGTCAAGATTTGTCAGATGATCGTTTTATTCGATCAAATATTAAGTGGGAACCGTCGATTATACGTACACTAATTTTTCAGTATCCACTCAGTCTCCCACATAACCAACATGTCCTTTAACGCGTCTCCACAAGTACGTACAATACCAAGAAAACGCGACCATTGGACAGTGTCACATAAACGAAAAAATCAGCCATCGGAATAACTTTTCTCGGTTAAAAAATAAACGGTCGGCCGTTAACGCGTTCCAAGTAAGACGAGTTCCAAGAAGACGCTTTTATTAACATCGATACACAGGTTGTTCTACTTTGCAGATCTCTATAGCAACACCTCGAACGTATAAGCATCGTTGTTCAGTGCGTTACAAATTTACTTCACCAATTAATATTATCAAGCACCGATTAATGTTTCTCTTAATGAACGGTATTGAAAGTTGGTTAAATGTATAGAAATATTTAACACGTGTTAATACGTTCAAACAATGGGACAGATTGATCGGTCTTAACACTGGAACAACCAGCATACATCGTTACCCACTTTTGTATTGATGAAAATGGAAAATAAATTAGCATATTTAATGATTTCAATGGGTTTCTGATTGTTCCAGTGTTAAATAAAGTTTACTTCACGGTGTTGTCCGTGACGCTCAATGGACGTTTATCTTTATTTTTTTTTTTTTTTTTTTTTTTTGTGTAGCTGCAGTGCCGTTTTGCGAAATCTGTCTATTCATGTTCACAAGCATATATATATATATGTACAATTTTATACGTAAAGCTATGGTGTTTCATAACCCTTCCTCTTGTAAACAATCGATTGTCGCTACCAGTCGCGTTGATTGTTTTGCTTGATTTACTGCTGAACGTAGTGAAAATACATGCCTACCCTTTCGACGACTTTTGTCTACATCTTTCTATATATTATATATATATATATACTGTTTCTCTGTCTTTCTTTATACAACACGACTGTCGTCGAGTAATGTATTGTTTCTGTGTTACCAAAGATATGTTCGCGTACGAGCTCGATGTCTGCAGTGTCACTATCTGTGCCTATTTCTATACGTACATATATCAAAGTATCACTGTGTCGTAGCTCTCTCTCTCCCCCTTTTCTACTCTTCGCTGTATCGTAGATTGATTTATTTATAAATTGAAAAAATTAACTAACCGTGCGTAAAGTTTCGTGAAACTTTGATTAGATTTCCTGTATTTGAAAATCGGTCATTTGATACGATACCAATCTAATGTTATAATTCACGTTCAACGTATGAACGTTACGTGGCACGTATTTCATATTCGAGACCTACTTACGATTCGATTTTCGATATTAATTAATCCCTTTTCATCGACTCTTCGATACAGCCTGGCCGAGTAAGACTGAAGAGGGAAAGAGAGATTCGAGATGGTATCAATTGGTACGCTTCAATATCTATCGTATCCTCCTTTTTCTCCTAGCTTGCCTGATCCTAGCGATCCTTTCGCTTTTCAACATATCATCCGTGTCGTACATAACCAGATGTATTTAACATATATTATAGTTAGAACTTATATATATATATATATATAACTCATGAAAATATGTATGTACTATTTCTGTTTTCTGTCTTCCTCACTAACTCCTTTTAGTTATCTGTCTATTCTAATCATTCTTTCTCAACTATCCTATCACATATGTATTAAAGAAACCCTATCAATTCATTCTACCCCTTATTCTATGTTTTTCTCTGTGTGTAACGACTGTTTCTCCGTTTCTCCAATTTCAGGGAGGTTTTGGACGGAAGAAAAAGAAAAAAGAAGTAAGACGTTACGTCACGCTAAGTAATATACTACACTCACACACGCACACTTTCTCTTTCTTTCTCTCTATCTCTCTATCATCCAAATTTCTAAACCTTTATCATGATATATCTATGCCTATCTATATCAAATAGAATGTACTTACACGTGTTTCACGTACACGCTCAATACACTTTTAACATCCATCAGATATGATTTTTCATTTGCATCCGGTCGATCGGCTGACACTTGTCGGTCACTGCCCGATTATACGCAATGTCCACACACGCGAAAACATCGATTCGCGTCGTTTATTGCATTGATATCACGATCAGATATTAATTAAACGTAAATGTATATCGAGATCCTTATACCGTCGTCCCGGTACTGAAGATTAAGCTGTGTTTCTGTTTAAGTTTGTACGTTCGCGTTACGAATTGAGCCGCTTAATCCTCGGCAGCGTTAACACCTCTACGTATACACGTGTGTTATTTCTTCTATTTCGTTTTGTAAAATTTCTAACCGTTCATTGCGTTCTTATACAATATTTATGTTTGAAATGAAAATTTTTATCGCGTACACGTACAGACACACACCGCACACTAGATCAAATACGTGCTTCTTGTATTCAGCTGTATCGCAAATTATTTTTAACGTCTTACAAAAATTTTAAAAAAATAAAGAAAAAAGCGAAACGAGCCCTGCCTGTGCTTCGATTCTGTGACACTCAATTAACAACATTCGAATACACGTGTACGTACTTATTGGATAGAAACCCTTTTATTTAAATGGGTCAGGTAAATATTAATTCGATGATCTTCCAGTTAATCGCTGATCGGATGAGATCGAATCATGAGATTTCATTAAAAAACGATTCCTTCGTATCCGTTCAGAGGCACGACAAAATGTATATACACGCATTCGAATTGGCTTTTTGCTGACAAATAATTGCGCATATTTATTGCAGGTACCTTGAAAAGACAAATTGGACTTTGTGGTATTTCATTTTAGTACTTCTTCTTTTTTTCTTTTCGATCATCGCTGACCTGTACAGGTCGTCTTTAATTATTTTTTTTTTTTTCATTTTATGATTACATAAATATCATTATGGTTCCTCGACAATTATCAAGCACATTCTGTGAAAATAATAAGTCGTCGTTGGGAAGAGATAAATTAAAAGAAAGGAAAAGAAAAGAAAAGAAAAGAAGAGAAACAACAGAAATAATTACGGAAAGAATAACCACAGGTCCAACTTGTTTCTTCTCAAGCACCGTATGTCTCATTTAGAGCTCGCAGTCGCCTGGAAATGCTTCTATAGATCGTATGCCGTATCCGCAATGCTTGCAGCTGAGATTCTCTGTAGGATATCTCCGTTTTATATTATTTTTATTTTTTTTTTATGTATATTCATTAAATTTCGCGCCTCGATAGCAGCATTAGCGTGCAAGCTACGCGAATCGCACATGATCGCAGTGGTATATCCTCTCTTGGGATCGTATTGATTTATCGTCGCGATACAGTCTCGAACGAAACGATATTCTAGCATCAAATGCGTATCGATCGTTTGAAATTTCATCCGCGAACATTTGCAATATCTCTTGGCTTAAAATAAAATGATTGCGAATCGATCGAAAAAAATTTTCATTTACTTCTGATTAGGTTTATATCAAAGAAGACATTCTTAAAGTTCATGGGGGATTAATGGAACATTTTTGTTTCTTACTTATTTGCATGTAGCAATGAAAGAAGAAAATAGAATCGATGAAGAACGTGTCTTGCTGCACCGTGTGCTCTGCTCTGGCCGTGAAGTTCAGCTTGAATATTCATTGGCAATCATTTTTTCTCGCTTGTATAAATTAGATTTAAGTAGATTTTTATGTATGTAACGAGACTAGTATAGTCCTTTATTAGGAGTAGGAAAGTTCGTGTATGTGCATCTAGATTTCAGAGGACACTTTTTTTTTTACATACCTTTAGATCCTTAAGATGCTTCTATTAGATACACTTCGTGATTATTGTTTCACCTCATCCACTTTAGTTTCTTTTTTTTTTTCTTAAGTGAGGTGAGGTGAAACAATTATCTTCAGGTAGTTATAGGACATTGGCAAAAAATCACTTCGATTAAAGTTATTTTTCCAAACGCAAAAATGAATTTTGATGGTCGCGTTAAAGTGGTTCTGCAGGACACGATTCAGTCACATCGAAACACTTGTACATTTCAGTCAAAATAATTAAAAAGGGGATGATTCTCATTGGGTTCATATTTCGTTCGTTTTTATATATTGTATCATATTCGATCGACATGAAATAGTAGGAACAGGTGGGAATATCTCGAATTTTTTAATAAACGTTCGACAGAAAATTCGTTGAGAGGAAGCGGAAACGAGCGGATCACGTGGACCTTAGCCAGGTTCGTATGTTCACGACCCGCTTTTAGCACCAATTTCGTACTGTACACACGTATATATGTATGTACATAGAGCCTTCTATATGACTAGTCGCCATAGCTGCTTTTCAGACTAGACGCGGAATAGATGTTCCCGATGCTTCCAAAGTAGGAGAGCAAAAAAAAAAAAAAAAAAAAAATAAAAGAGTGAAATGTGGGGCAACATCGTACTATCGTTAAAGTACACGTACCTAGTTGCCATCCTCGTAATATTCTTCAGCACTTTAAAACTTTATCCAATTTTCTAACGATTATAGTTAATATTCAACTGAACGCGATGAAACGTTTGTTCTTAAAAAAAAAAAGGGGAAAAAGATGCCTGCCTTGAAGCTCGGGACGTTGTTTTGCGATGCACAAATACGCAAAAGTGAAACGATACGAACGCATAGAGCTGATCTAGAAGCGGGTTATGAATAAACGGTGCACAAATAGAAGACGGAATGCAAATGAATATTTCCAAGTCGTTCAAAGGTTCGATACCTTCGCGGACAAACAAATCGTCGGATAATTGAAGTTTAACTTCACAGACGTATATGTATTTGGAAATATTTATTTCATCAATTTTCACTCGATAAATTTTTCTTTTCTTTTTTTTTTTTTTTTTTAACTTAAATTGTATATCCACGAGGACACGCGCGAACGTAAAGGACGATATAGTTGCGCGTTTACTTGTACATAATAATAATCTAGCACGTCTATGAGATAACGATGACTTGATGCAACGTTCTAAGAGTCGCTTCAATTCTATTCGAAAAGATTTGCTTAGAAGGTTTTCCGTTCACAGGTTCGGTATGACGACGAGGACGAGGACGAGGGTCCTCAGCCGGATCCGATGCTCGAGCAAGGAGCACCGATCCCGGTCCGACTGCACAGCTCATTTCCACCCGAGTTGGCCTCCACACCTCTCGAGGATATCGATACCTTCTATCATAACCAAAGGGTATGGATATTTTTATTTTAACGTTTAACTTGCTAACTGGTATTTTTTAAAATGATTCGTTGTTTTCTGTCAAGACCTTCGTCGTCATCAGCAGGGGAAAGGACATATTCAGGTTCTCAGCGACAGATGCGATGTGGATCCTCGACCCGTTCAACCCGATACGACGCGTGGCCATTTACATATTGGTTCACCCACTCTTCTCCCTCTTCATTATCACTACAATATTGGTTAACTGCATACTCATGATCATGCCCACTACGCCCGTCATCGAGTCTACGGAGTGAGTATCGTTCGTCTTTTCCCCTCGACAGAAAGACGAAAGTTATCATTTATGATCTCTATTCCATTATGCTTTCTATTTTAAAGAGTGAGTGATCTATACGAATATCTGTTTCATCAAAGTCTTATTTCTATAACATTGAACATTGAACATTGATATTCGTATAGTGGCTCAAAAGTTTAAGATAAAAATCTTCGATTCAGTATGGTTCTTGAATGGATGGAAGCACGTGGATCTGAAAACAGAAGGATGTTACAAATAATGTGAATTATCAAATGGCGCAATCAAATCCAGGATTACAATCTATTATTCGACGAAATTATTTTTAATTTTTTCAATTACATATTGTTACGCTTGCTCGACAGTGACTGTGAAACAACGTAGCTTAGCGCGTTTACGAGCCTAAGCCGGAGATGGGAATCGATGAACAATTAAAGAACCATCGAAAGCTTATGGCGAGTATACGGTGTTAAATATAGATATTTCAAGCAATGTTCTACGTGTTATAGCTCTAATATATATGTATATATATGAGTAGAGACTGTGATAAATTGTATACCGTTGGTAAGTTTTGTCCTAGTCTCTCTAGAGGTAGCGTAGACACGATCGAATAATTTTAAATCAAATAAAAAAGCGGCCACGAGGTAGAGAGATATTATTTTTGGTTTTTGTACGAGAGATACTCGTACAAATTGGCATATAAAGCTGAGTGGTGTGTTTGTTATTTTCAGAGTGATATTTACGGGCATCTACACATTTGAGTCCGCCGTTAAGGTGATGGCGAGGGGTTTCATTCTGCAGCCTTTTACCTATCTTAGAGATGCATGGAATTGGCTCGACTTCGTAGTTATAGCTTTAGCGTGAGTAGTTAAAAACTTATTCTTTAACTAAAAAGAAACAAAAAATAAAGAATACCAAGCGATACAGAAAGCGACCATATACGGTAGAGTACAGCGTGTGATGAAAGAGAATATGTAATTAAAAAAAAAAAAAAAAAAAAAAAAAAGGGTACAACGATCTGTCTTTTTTTTTTTTACTTATATACATACTTGATAAAAAACTAGATGAAAAAAATATAAATATAGGATGTGCTTAGCCTGAAACAAAACTGGAAATTTTGTGTAATTTACAAAGAAAAAAAAAAAATTTGAAAAAAAATTATTAATGGGGTCATTTACCTTATGTCGTACGGTGTTAAGATCTGCTGGGTCTGATGAAAGCGTGAGTTTCTTCTTTCGTTAATAGAATAACGAATAACGTAATTCACGCTTTTCTACGGAGAATCATACACGAATCTACCTATTCAATATCAATGAACGATATGTCTGCAGCAGACCTGGCCACTCTTCAAATGATATCTTATTTTATTTAACGATCATTTGAGAACATTGCAAAAGAAAACTTTAGTAGAGATCCTATAAAAATAAGATGGAGAGTAAAATAAAATTTGCCCAGGTCTGATCTCTATCCATCGGGTGAGAATCGTGTTCGATCGAAAACAGGCAGCAAAATTAAAATTTCAAGCCTGATAGATGCTCGTTTCTTTCTTTCTTTTTTTCTTGTTTTTCTCAGTTCCACGGGTAGATTCGTATGACGATGACGATGATCTTAGCCGTACCGCGTCGACAGGACCGATTTTCAATGATCACGTCCGATCCACGTACAACCAGTTGGCGCAGAGAAGCGTTTTAAACCCCACGTGAACGCTAAATTAGTATTCAAGTTATGAATAAGTAGCCATCGCTAGTACACCTTCAGTACGCTATGAAACTTTGTTGTAGCAAACGATATTAATATATATACAATATATATATATATATATAATTTTTTATCACGTACACTTATACACGTATACAGACAAAGACACATAGTAACACTACTACGTCTATATACATAGGTATATTAATTAGTTTATTTAGATAACGGATAGAGATTTTTTATTATGTCTAGTTACCTGAAACAAAAAGTATCTTTATTATTATTATTATTATTATTATTATTATTATCATCATCATCGTAATGTTGATTAGTATAGCGTATATATACGTCGATTCGATGAATCATTTACTGTTGTAGTTTTAGAAAATGTATATATATATATACATATGGCTTTTTAATATATATATATATACATATTATATATAACATATATTACGTAATTGTTGATAGATGATCAATATTTTATTCGATATAACAAGTATTCGTTTTACGGTTTGGTATCACGAAAATAATTATAATAAATTATGAATTATTGTTTAGATTAACACTATGACGACTGCTGGTACCACTGTTACACTAATTACATGTTTTTATTTTAAAAAGCTATTCTCATAAGCAGGAGATCGTCGTAGTGTCAATAGGTATTTTTACTTGTAATAGGATAAAAAGCAATGTTCCCTAATATTTTATATTGAATTTTCGTGATACCGTGGCCTGTTCAATCAACATCGTGCATGCAGTAATAGCTCTACCTTTTCTGATATTTATAAAAGCAGATTTTTATTGGTAGGCGACATAGAAAAAACGGTAGCGAGTAATTCGTTTGAGTAAACCATTAATTTTCTTTCTTACATTCTCCTAAGAATCTCTGTTTCTTTCTTTCTCTTTTGTTTTTTCTTTTTTCAATTTCGTTACAAATTGTTTTTTGTTTGTATCACTGTAATGTGTGTGATGTTCGGGTGTATTGCAGTTATGTGACGATGGGCATAGATCTAGGCAACCTTGCCGCTCTCAGGACATTTCGAGTCCTCCGAGCCTTGAAGACTGTCGCTATTGTACCAGGTATGCTTAGAGAATAGAAAATTGGTTGTAGTCGCAGAATAATAATTAGAGAGTCATAGAAACACTTTTTTCGATCGCGACTCGCTGTACACATTTCTCTCTCTCTCTCTCTCTATCTCTCTCTCTCTCTCTCTCTCTCTCTCTCTCTCGTTTCATCACCAAACGACAAATTTCGAGAAATAAAACACACCGTGTTCAATGTTTCTTTCTTTCTTTTTCTCTTTCCTTCTGCGCCATTTTCATTCTTTCACGCCAGCCTTCCATCTTTCATTCGATCATCGTATCGATCATTTCTAAAGAAATGTATGAAAATGATCATCAGCGGTCAGCCACATATGTATGTTTCATCCTATCTTCAAATACCTAGTTTTTTATTTCTCCATTCTTCCTTTATTATCCATCATCTCTCTTTCCACACGCTGAAACGAAAGCGAATTGTTGAAGAACCAGATGGAACGAATTACAGCCGTTTACTGACAATTTCTTTCTCCTTCTTTTTCGTTGTCTAGGTCTGAAAACCATTGTCGGCGCTGTGATAGAATCCGTGAAGAACCTGCGCGATGTGATAATCCTGACGATGTTCTCTCTTTCCGTCTTTGCGTTGATGGGCCTCCAGATTTACATGGGGGTGCTAACGCAAAAATGTATAAAGAACTTTCCCGAGGACGGCTCCTGGGGTAATCTCACCGATGAAAACTGGGAGCGATTCGTTAGTAATGAAAGTATGTACCTCGTTGGGTGGTCAATTTCTATTACGAAGAAAACTTGGGGGCCTAAATGAATGATACGGAGAACCAGAATGGGGCATATACTAACTGACAAATTTATCGTTTTATTATTTTATCTAGCTAATTGGTACGTGGACGAGTCGAAAAACATGCCCTTGTGTGGGAATTCATCTGGAGCAGGGTAATTGAAAAGCTTCCCCCTCTATAAATAAATTGAAATTAATCAAAGATCCTAAATGAATTGTTTATGGAATATACAGGCAGTGCCTTCCTGGCTACACGTGTTTACAAGGATACGGTGATAATCCAAATTATGGTTACACGAGTTTCGACACCTTTGGTTGGGCCTTACTTTCTGCGTTTCGTCTGATGACTCAAGATTACTGGGAGAATCTCTATCAGCTGGTACTAAGATCGGCCGGTCCGTGGCACATGTTGTTCTTCATTGTCATCATTTTTCTTGGTTCATTTTATCTGGTCAACTTGATTCTCGCCATTGTCGCGATGTCGTACGACGAATTGCAAAAGAAAGCTGAGGAAGAGGAAGCCGCCGAAGTGGAAGCCATACGTGTATGTATTTCTTTCCATAAACTTATTCCATAAAGTTTTAAGATTCTACAATATCATGAAATATTGTAACGATAACAGGAAGCTGAGGAAGCAGCGCTAGCAAAGGAGAACAAGTTAGCAGCACGAGCACAGGCAGCGGCGAGGGAGGCGGCTGCCGCGGCCGCAGCAGTCGCCGCTGATCAAATCGTAAAATCTTCATCGGACTTTTCATGCCACAGCTACGAGTTATTCGTTGGTCAAGAAAAGGGGAACGACGATAACAATAAAGAGAGAATGAGCATGCGTTCGATCGAATCGGTCAGCGAGCACAGGGTGAAACAGATCAACAACCATACGACCACCACTAAAGTGCGGAAAGTCAGCGCCGTAAGTGTCTGGCTGGGGATGTTTCAATTCATCGATTTATCCTCCTTTCACGTAATGTAACTTTGCTCCTGTTTTATCGAACTTGCCAGCCCCCATTCCTGACCTATGACCTCGCTTCTACGAGAGCGATTCACGCGAGGCTCGTTCGATCCCGACTCGACTCGTCGCGTCGGTTAACTGAACACTCTTAACTTACACTTTGATACTTAATTTGATCTAACAATAAGGAGAAAGATCTAAGAGTGTTCACGAGGACACGTGTTAAGGCAGCGTTAGATGATTAACGACGAGCCTCGAGAGTAGGAATAACAGTTGTTTGAAGGGTTTGTTAATTGAGAAAGGAGAAAGGAGGATGAACTGTGTAGAGTATGTTGGTCTCGACTTATAGGGTGCAAAGTGACAAAGTTACTTGATGGTGATACTTCAAAGGCAATAATGCACTAGTCCTAATGGTCCTAACTCCACGAGTCCATTAGTAGGCTCAGGACTTTTTTCTGTTTTCTTTCTTAGCTATATTGATCAGGAGGATAGATTGATATACATATAAAGCAGTTGTTTAGCCAATTTCGACGAGTCGAGCCCGTCTATAGAATCTACTGCTCTGTTGTAGCATGCTTGTCGTACGTACTGTATCGAATTATTCGTACAATACAATACTTTGGTAACTTCGTTAGGATGCTTTTGACTCCTTGCTTTCGTTTCGTTTCGTTTCGTTTCGTTTCGTTCCGTTCATTTCTTCATAGATTCTGTCTTGATTTATCGAATGATGGGATTATGATGATTTCACAGCGTACATTAACGTTTCCGTTTGATTTTCCATCAGATCGTGTAACAATATAATCAGGCCCGGTGTCCGCGTCGACGTAAGAGACTTTTGTGAAGATCGTCTTGCATGGAAACGCATGTGTGTAGTAGATTAAAGGAGATACGAATTTTCGAATTATAATTTTTTAAATGATAAAGTTCACAAAAGTTTCCTCGATACTATTTCTTTGCGTATAACATTACTTTCTCTGTCTCTATCTCTATCTCTATCTCTATCTCTCTCTATTGCTCTATTTCTCTCTTTCACTTTTGTGTATGTACGCTTTGCAAGTATTTATATGAACATATCCGTATCGAGTGCCTCCTTGGTGTACATTTTAGACAACGTTACGAGCCGTTTGGTAGGAGATATCTTTTCTTGTTTTTTTCTTAAGGTCTCTCGCGCCGCTAATGGCCAGTTTACTTATGCCTACCAGGAAAGCCTGCGGAAGGTATGTGTGTCACGACGTGTCAGTCACCATCGACCGTACGTACCTAAATACCTGTACAGGATCCAAGATCCGAATCATGTCTAACGTGTTGCGAAGCTGGAAGAATCATCACAACCTGTAGTTCCCGTGAGGATGGACGGATTTCGAACTTAAAAGGATGCTTGGAGCTTATTACTCGAGGATCTATACGTTTCGTTGAAATTGCTTTAATATTCAAAGATACCGGTGTACGACTTTAAGTATCCTTTTTTCGTTTAAGAATTCTGGATTCGTCCATTTCAGTATCTTTCATAGTTGAAAGAATATTTCCATATTCTTTGGGAAATAATGATTTCAAAGCCATTTGCATAACTGCTATCAATCAGCCCATATATCTCGACTTCATTTAGTCTATCGCGGTATAATTAATAAAAACAAGATTTTTGATGCGACGAGGTGTGTCATAGTTGCGACATCAAACTACTTATTTTGCCCCATAGACGGCCATCAAAGATGAAAGAATGACCAGCCTGCCCCTGGTTCCCTTCCTCCCTGGTCCTTTCTCCCTGGTCCTTCACGCTTTCCAGAGAAGAGCGAGAACGGTGAGAAAGAAAAGCGGTGGTCCGCTTTGTTGTAATTTCAGGCGAGCCTTAGTCTGCCTGGCTCACCGTTCAATCTTCGCCGTAGCAGCCGTGGTAGCCATCAGTTCACGATCAGGAATGGTCGTGGTCGTTTCGTCGGACCACCGGGTGGTGACAGGAAGCCATTGGTACTGTCTACTTTCCTGGATGCTCAGGAACATCTGCCCTACGCGGACGACTCGAATGCTGTCACGCCGATGTCCGAGGAGAATGGCACGATCGTGGTGCCGGTTTACTATGCTAATCTTGGATCCAGACACTCGTCGTACACCTCCCATACATCTAGGATGTCGTACACGTCTCATGGTGATCTGATCGGTGGATTAGCGAACGCGGGCAAACCCATGACCAAGGAGAGCCAGCTGAGAATCAGATCCGTCAGGCCTCCGTCTGTAAACGGACACTTTACGGACTCTAATCAGAAATATCATTACGTGAGTATGGATTTGACGCGGGTAAATGAACCATATGAAATAGTGAATATTATAATTGAGTTACTTTCTCTGCAGGAAGGTGACCTGGAGGATCCCATGGGCAAGGCGAAACAACAAGACAATCCGTTTATAGAGCCCTCTCAACAGCATGCCGTCGTTGATATGAAAGGTAATTATTATACAATTCAACTATTCGATTAAACGATCGAACAGTAATTGAACGTTTCCTGTATTGTAGACGTGATGGTACTCAACGACATCATAGAGCAAGCAGCAGGACGTCAAAGTAGAACACCGGAACAAGGAGGTAATGTCGAAATATCATCCCCTTCGTTCACATTACGTTTTTTACAGTTTATCACTCTTTATCACAGATGTGTATCTCTTGTGTGATGAGCATCCTTAATCATTTGATGTACACCGTTGTTAACATTCTTCTTTCTTTCCTTCGTTGATATATATATATATATATATGTATGTATATATATATTCAATGCTGAAGATTTTTGTCTGAGCGCCTTGTACATAGTAGAACGAATCCTCTATATTCTTACAAACATTATTTTTTATTATTTTATTTCGTTGAAAAGACAATCGATCAATTGATTCGTACTTTATTCAATATTATTATATATACATGATGGCGTATCTAAATTGTCTCATCCTGTATGTACAACAGATGCATGGGTACCCTTCTTGTCATCCTGAACAAAATTTTCTTTTTTATTATTATTCTCTTTCAATTTCTCTTCTCGAAAAAATGAAATTCATAAAACGTGGTAAAGATAACGTGATAAATAAATACAGGGAACAATTACAGTGCGTAAGCCCTCGAACTCTTGGATGGATTCTAAATGATAATCAAACGAAAATAACAGTTTGTAGTAGTTAGTTTTTTTTTGGGGAAACAGCGTTTGTTTCCTGTTGTATAACGACACAGATTAATATCCTCGCTGCAGCTGCACGATCCTGGTCGCTTTCGTGCCTGGATTAACACGTTCACTGTGTCGACTCTTCCTTTTTCGAACTTTTTGAAAATCAGCTAAAGAAATGTGGGTACATCGCAGTGAAGGTGTTCACCGCTTTATTCCCCTTTTTGTCCACGTGGAGACTGCAGCGAAGTTTTTTGATTTTATCATCAAAGGCACACGCTTCGAGGGCACCGCCGCGTTTTTGCCTGCGTTGCACAATCAAAATGTAGACAATCAAAAGACAGCTAATTAATCGTCGTTTATTCGATTATATCAGTGTTTTAGACGACGCGATTTAGAGCTTTTAAACGAACGAGGTTTATTAAAATACGCACGCGAACATTGCCGCACTTTTCGGTTTTATTGTTAGGTTGCTACCGCGGCCAGTTTAGGTATAATTGATCTTTAAGGATCGTTTCTTGATCTTTTTTTTTTCCTGTTTTTATTTCCTTGTTGTGTAGCGAAGAACGTGCTTGATTCTTAGCTGTAGACCATAGATAGAAGAATTGATTTAGCAGGACGCTTTTCTTGTACTATTAGTTCTGAACTGGTAGAATATGGACATGCAAATACAAGTTTGAGGAATAATTGCAAGTCTGACTGTTAATAATTATCTTTGAAGCTTTTATCTAGAACAAGCTTTTGTTATACTGCTTCTATCATCTCGTTTGTTAAGATATCCAAGTACTTTGTTTTTTTTTTTTTTTTCTGTTGAGCTTATCACCGAATTTTGCATTGTAAATAAGCTCGAATATTTCTTATTTCTTCTGTCCTTCTCTTTCGTTTGCTATAGTTCACATGCCTGCCTGTTCGTATATACATATAATCTGTGGTCTGAGAAAGAACAAAAAGTAAGAAAGAGCAAGCTTGAAGATAAACTAAAAAACCTCTTTCCCCAAAAAGAGTGGTGCCAGACAAAATTACTAACACGCGTTACAGTTTCGACCTATTACTTTTCGACAGACGACGATGAAGAAGGGCCGACATTCAAGGATAAACTGTTGGCCGCTGTTTTACGTTGCATCGATACCTTCTGCGTATGGGATTGCTGCTGGTTGTGGCTTGAATTTCAAAAATACGTGTCTCTTTTGGTGTTCGATCCATTCGTAGAATTGTTCATCACCCTCTGTATCGTCGTTAACACGCTCTTCATGGCGTTGGATCATCACGATATGGACAAGGACATGGAACGGGTGCTAAAGACAGGAAACTATGTAAGCGAAGATACCATACATATATAATATGACAAGAATGTTCTTAGAATGTTAACATGAACGAATAATTGTGAATTCTAGTTCTTCACGGCAACATTTGGTATCGAAGCAACGTTGAAATTGATAGCAATGAGTCCAAAGTACTACTTTCAAGAGGGATGGAACATTTTCGACTTTATCATCGTCGCTCTTTCACTTCTGGAATTAGGATTAGAGGGTGTTCAAGGTCTCTCCGTGTTACGATCGTTCAGATTGGTAAGGGATAGTTTCTTCTGATATACGTATCTTATTATCTTATTAGATTAACGATGATTTTACTCTTCAGCTAAGAGTGTTCAAACTAGCAAAATCCTGGCCTACGTTGAATCTGCTGATATCCATCATGGGCAGAACAGTGGGTGCACTGGGTAATCTGACGTTCGTATTGTGTATCATCATATTTATTTTCGCCGTGATGGGTATGCAATTGTTTGGCAAGAACTACACGGACCACGTCGATCGATTTCCCGATGGCGATCTACCAAGATGGAACTTTACCGATTTCATGCATTCGTTCATGATAGTTTTTCGTGTACTATGCGGAGAATGGATCGAGTCTATGTGGGATTGTATGCTTGTGGGAGATGTTTCATGTATACCATTCTTTCTGGCTACTGTTGTCATTGGCAATCTGGTTGTAAGTATATACAAAAATTAGGATAACTTTTATAGAGGTTGTAGAGATAATTACTCGAGCAATTTCTAAAAAAATTTCATACTCGTCGAACAGGTGCTGAATCTCTTCTTGGCCTTGTTACTCAGCAACTTTGGTTCGTCGAATCTTTCGGCGCCGACTGCGGACAACGATACGAACAAGATCACCGAGGCGATCAATCGAATAACACGTTTTGTTAAGTGGATCAAGCGAAATTTCCTTTATCTTGCTAAAATGATGCGAGCCAAACTCACCAATCAGATATCCGATCAGGCGCCAGGTGAGGGACCGTCCAACAGTTGGAAAGAAGGTTTATATCCAATCAGATCGCTTGCTGTGTGCGCTGTGTAGTTCGTGGCACTGTTTTTCGGTTCTGCTTTTCACTTTTTTCCAAAACAACAAATTTTTTACGTTCGCTCTTTATACGATAAGCCAGTCAATTAACGAAATTTTTGCAGTACCATTATTATCCTTGATTGCTTTCGAAGAACATTTTTTCAAACAAAACGATACAGCGCGAAAATTGATTTTTAACTTTAAGCTGTACCTATAAGTTGTCTCTTCTTTTTCTTCTTCTTCTTCTTCTTCTTCTTTTATTTAAATAAAAATATTGACTGGCACCTTTTCATTCCATTTTTAATATCGGTTCGCTCTTTTCTTTTTTTTTTCCATTCTATGAACGAAAGTCGTACAGATCAGAAAGAGATCGATTGATTGATAAGGAAGATTAGATTAATTTTTTGCTTCGTTGATTAGCCTGGCGATTATACGTTGCTTTGCCTATTATTTTGGAGAAAGCAATCGTTTTGTCTGTCGATAAAACGAATATAGCTTCGATACTATTGGATAATATTCAGTGTAGTTACGTAAAACTATCACGCCGGTACATCTGGATTGAAATAGTTTTTCAAACGTGCACAATGTTTATTTTTACAAATGATGCTATACGATATGTATGTACACGATAAATAATTCGTAAAGTTCGTGTTCCTGAAATTGGCAACAAAATTTTCCTTACCTATGGAATAAATGACTCGTTTAATTAGAATATGTATGTTTCGATCAAAAGCACGAACTTTTCGAGAAATACATATAATACATAAAAAGAAAATATAATACAGCATAATCCACCATGTATCGCGCAAACAATTAGTCACACTTGTTACAATCGTTGATTAGAATAGATTAGGCTAATTCGAACTAGACAAACTGTTGCATGAAACACATAAGTACTTACGATTAAAGAAAGAAAAGGTGAAAAGGGAAGAACGGAAATTCACTTGTTCAAGTGAAACATCAAGATCGTCAGGATGAAACTTTTCAATTGAATTTATACAGATATATTTTTTGACAAAAATATTTTGATAAGGGCGGGTTAGAGATTTTATATGACTGTGCAGATGGAATTGATCGGGATGGGAACCTAGATCTTGCAGATGGTGAGCTCGATGCCTATAGAGATAAAAAGAGTGCCAAGGAGCTGAATCAACTAGAAGTTGCTATTGGGGATGGAATGGAATTTACTATTCATGGTAAGCGTATCGAGGAGAATAAAAATTTCACCCCAATGAATTGATATCAACACTTTGACCGAGTTTCTAACTTATCGTTAGTTAATTAAGTTGAAATATTAAAATGAGATGGATTGTTTTTTCCTCAAAGGAGATTTAACGAATAAATTGAAGAAGGGTAAATTGTGCCTGAACAACAGCAAAGTTATAGCAAATTCGATCAACCATCGTGACTATAGATTGGACAACGATTATATTAATCAAAACGAGGAGGACACTATCAGGCAAGTTCCTTAAAAATTATTTATAGACATGTTTATAGGGTATAAATGATATTCGTTACCTTCGTGTATCTTTCACAGTAACAAATCGTATGGCAGCCATAAAAATAGAGCGTTCAAGGATGAAAGTCATAAGGGTAGTAAAGATCCACTGGACGGCGAAGAAAAGAAGGATGCGAGTAAAGAAGACCTGGAACAAGAAGAAGGTACTCTATTAGAAATAATTGGAAAAGAAGTTTAATATACATGTACGAATGAATCTGTGTGTTCTAAGATCTTGGAGACGAAGGGGAAGAAGAAGGTGAAGGAGAAGGCGATTTAGGGGACGCAATTATTCAGGCAGACGAGGATCCGATCGAGCCTGATTATCCAGCTGACTGTTGTCCAGAAAATTGTTACAAAAGGTTCCCATTCTTGGCTGGTGACGACGATGCTCCATTTTGGCAGGGTTGGGCGAACTTGAGACTGAAGACCTTCCAACTAATCGAGAACAAGTATTTTGAGACTGCCGTCATTTTGATGATTCTTTTGAGTAGTATGGCTCTCGTAAGTAGACTAAACATTTATCTCTTATATTTTTATAATAAATAGAAATGAAATTTGAGTAGCTGCGAACGTGATTGCAGGCCTTGGAAGATGTGCATCTTCAACAACGACCCATTCTGCAAGATATCTTGTATTACATGGACCGAATATTTACTGTGATTTTCTTCATCGAAATGTTAATCAAATGGTTGGCTCTTGGCTTCAAAAAATACTTCACGAACGCTTGGTGTTGGCTCGATTTCATCATCGTCATGGTAAGTTACGCTTCATTGAAATGTGTGTAATCTTTTTCCTCGAAATAGAAAAGGAGGGTACATGTTTAAATGTTAGAAATATCTATGTCCATGAAAGAATGATTGATTACACACATGCAAAGCCTTAGAATACCTACTAGATGAACATTCAGGATGTGTTTCTAATAGTGTAGTTTACACTGCAGCCGAACATTAACAAGTTTACAATTGTTCAAATCGAAAGCAGTATTTATCGGTAGTATGATAATAGACAATTGAAACAATTGAAATTTTAACGCTGATTTTGTAAACTTGTTCGAAAAAGACTTGCTCCATCTTTCTCACTAAAGTATACTACCTCGGTCTCCTTCTCCTACCTGCCTAAAAGTCTGTTTGCAATGTTGGAGCTCAACGTGGAAACCTCCAGTGGATATCTCTGTTAATCAATCGTCAATACGTATTAATCACGATGACCATCGATAATTCACGTTCCATCTGATCGATATTTGATGATAATAGCTCTCACTGATCAACTTGGGTGCAATCTGGGCCGGTGCAGCCGACATCCCGGCCTTCCGTTCCATGAGAACACTGAGGGCCTTGAGGCCTTTACGAGCCGTTTCACGATGGGAGGGCATGAGAGTAAGTCCATAGGTCCACGAAAGAAGAACGAAAAAAAAAAAAAAAAAACTAAAGAAACAGCCTAATATCCGGTGATACGGCGACATCCGATCGTACAAATCTGACGGCTGTAATTAATCTTACAAATTGATTCCATCGATGGATCCAATGTTCTAAAATTCTATCATTTAAAAATATGCTAATTAACTCGATACGTCAGATTTGCCGAAAAGTATCGGTTTTTTGCGACGAGTGGATAGGAGAAAAATAAAAAGGGAACAATAAATGAAAACCGAGGGAAAATTGAAAATGAATATGAGGAGGAACATGATCGCTACAGTGATTGTAAACTGTACTGTGTGATGTGCTTTCCGATGTGCAGAGGTACATTGGCGTCTCTACATTGGTGTCTGCACTGATATTGGAGTTTTTTGTCGTACTAGCTACCGCCTATGTACGCCTTTCCTAAGAATCTTTTTTGGCACAGTGATCGTTGTGCAAAGTACGATGTATCTATACATCTGAACTATATACATATATATATATATTATATATATATACATATTATATGCTTTGTGTGTAATGTACAATCTTCCTTGTGTGTATATGTAAGCGTGTGTAATACGTACTGATGGCGTACGTGTATAAAATTGGAACGTGTTCATCAGGATCTTGATTCTTACACGCAACGCACTGTGATACCAAGTATTTTAATTAATATTAATCCTTCTTTGAATTATGGGATATTCTATGAATTATAGAATTTTGAAACGTTACAAAGCAAATGGTACTTGAATCCATCTGAAGAAGGTTTAATCAAGATCATTGCATAGATATTACACCTATGGTTCACCAATTGATAACCAATTAAGAAATTATACATGGTGCGTTGCTATTGCAAGTATGACGAACCTTTTTCATCTGTTTCAGGATGGAGCTGAAAATCATGCTCGTAACTGATAATGATTCTTGTCCAGCCATATTGTTCTATGCATTGTCAAGTGAACGTGCATGTATGCGTATAATTATATCGGAAAAATTTCTATAAACGACTTTGAAGAATCCCCATTTATTATACGGTATAAAGGATGTTTAGTTAAAATAAATATGTAATAACGTGATTAAAAAAGACATAATTATACGCAAACAGAGCATCGCGTGATGTAAATTTCTGTTCACTGTGAACCGCTACATGTGCCATACCTGATTTCTATCTATGTCTTCGTCCCCTGCTCTGATTATTATTTGTTGTACCGTAATTACGATGTGTATTATACACTATTACTATAAATGTATAAATCTAAGGCTCTTCACAGATGGGACAACCACCTTGAACCGACAGGACTTGGATAATCCCAAATGATATTGTGCCAAAGGATTGATTTCTACCCACCTGTTTCCATACCTGTCTTTTTCTCTATCTCTGTATCTCTTCTATCTCTATTCTTTCTCCTAAGTTTGAAAGTTTGAAAGTTTGAAAGTTTGGAAACGATAATATGAATCGTTTTCGGGAGAGTAGTTTGTCAACCTGTTGCTGTGATTCGCTCTCGTTTCTCGCTCGCAGGTGTCACTCATTAACTTCGTAGCGTCGCTCTGTGGCGCTGGCGGGATCCAAGCCTTCAAAACAATGAGGACCCTAAGGGCCCTAAGGCCACTCAGGGCGATGTCTAGAATGCAGGGAATGCGGGTATGTAGCCCACCGTCTCAGCTGACCTTGCCAATTATGTACTATCTTCCATTTCCCGTCGAATTCGACTAATTATTATCATTCATTGTTAAACTAACAAATGGTACGAGTTTCTGAACGAATCGATCGTCCAAGTTTGCCAAAATTCACAAATCACGATCGTCGATTCGTTCATGTCTTCAATTAATTAGATTATCTCGGTGCCTCGCAGCGCCGTCCGGTCCGGATGCAACATGAAATGAAAGAGACCGATTAGAGTTTTATAGAAAAATAAAAATAAATTCAAGATAAATGTTTGGCCTCGTCGCGTCGTGTCAGAGACTCGACTCCTTTTGCACGTCAACATTCGTAGGGCAATCGCGAATGCACTTCAGCTTAAAATTGCGAATGTTTGAACGGCACGTAGACGACTCGTTCTTTATCAACAATCTATCGCGAAATGTGCACCTTAGAAGACACGCATACTCTGCTGTCCCGAACTTTGGAAATCATTGAGATCACATATTTGGTGATTTGAACGCCTGCAAAGGAGGGATCTTTTATTGAAAGATTTGCAAAAATTCTTTTTCTCACTTGTTGTTAGTTAAAGTTTGATGAAAAATACCAAACTTTGGGATGGCATTTATAGTTATTGTTAGATACTACCTCGATTCTTATTTTTCGAACAACGTGCCTCATCTCTTAAATGCAACCAGTATACATACATAGAGGGTGGTAAAAAAGAAACGAAGGGTTTCAAGAAAAGATACTGTTATTGTTAGTAGACATAAAAGAACATAAAAGTCTACCCTTAAAATTCTGAACCCTTATTTATTCTTTTTCACCACTGATCGATACACGTTATACTGATACACATACTAGTGACTTATACAATCAGTTACAATTCATCGAACGATTAATTAACAGTTTGTGTCTCATTACAGACTTTAAACGATTTCTACATAACTGTAATACAAGGTCGCTGAGATACTGGGCGTAGAATTACTGTCATGCCCACACCCTGAAAACTATCTTACCCTATCTTATACTATCTTAGCCAGTAGATATCTGCTTATTATTTGGTCTATGTATAATCGAGCTGTTTTTTACGCATGTAACTCGCATCGCTTCGAATTGCTGACAATGAGATTTTTTGCACGTTTCATCGTTTGATCGCTTACACCACCTTGTCGCTGTATTTTTCTTTATTTTTGTCGCATCAATTATATCAATTTGCAGCACGAATCGTCGTCTCGAAGCAACGTTAAGTACGCACAATGTCAGATTGATCAATGATCAATGATCAATGATCAGGCAAATTGACACTCTGTTCTCTTCTTAATTTCACTTCTTTTCTTTTTTAATCGTTCAAACTCGTGGAGAACACGTTGACTCTGTCCGTGTTTTTAATTTTATTCTTTACCTTTTCAAAATCAATTGGTATACATATAATACATGGTAGATATTTGACGAGTAAGTATGTAAGGTTTACCTCGGTTTACTGTTCCAAGAAAAAGAGATATAGGTAATGTGAGAAGATATTTGGATAAATTTCTTATTTTATATCATTTCATCTTGACAACGAAATAAAAATGTTTTATTTCGCTGAACGAAATTTTTTAATCAACGATGGTATTTAATGTGTTACAACATTCCAAATTTTCTTCGTGCAATATTATTATTTTTTCTATTTCGATTCTGTTGCATAGAGATAAATATAGGAATTATATTGCACATATACAAGTAACACATGGCGTAGATACATAGAGAAGCGTAGAGATGCATAGAAACGCGTATCCAAGCACAAAGAAAAACAGAATTCAAAGAAAAAAAAAGAAAAAAAAAAAAAAAAATGATCGGATTTTCTTCGGGTACTTAAACAATTGTAATTTGTGTAACAGGTTGTCGTCAACGCTTTGGTACAAGCCATTCCATCCATTTTCAACGTGTTACTGGTGTGTCTTATCTTCTGGTTGATCTTCGCTATTATGGGAGTACAGCTATTTGCCGGCAAATACTACAAGGTATGGCTTATTTAATTAACAAACTGATTTTTTATAGAAGCTAATCAAGACGAATGGTTGTTGCAGTGCGTGGATGCAAATAAAACAACACTCAGCTATGAAATAATCCCCGATAGAAATGCCTGTGTGGCTGAGAATTATACTTGGGAGAATTCTCCAATGAATTTCGATCACGTAGGAAAAGCGTATTTGTGCTTATTCCAAGTGGCCACGTTCAAAGGATGGATTCAAATCATGAACGATGCGATTGATTCTAGAGAGGTGAGTTCTAGAGAGACTGGTACACGCCAGTCGAAAGGGAGGAAATTTAAACGAAACACCTTTCTTTTTAGCTCAACAAACAACCAATTCGTGAAACAAACATCTACATGTATTTCTATTTTGTATTCTTCATTATATTCGGATCGTTTTTTACCCTTAATCTATTCATTGGTGTGATCATCGACAACTTTAACGAGCAAAAGAAGAAAGCCGGAGGTTCCCTTGAAATGTTCATGACAGAGGATCAGAAGAAATATTATAACGCTATGAAAAAAATGGGTAGCAAGAAACCACTCAAGGCTATTCCACGTCCAAGAGTAAGATCTATTTGATATTTTAAGGAGAAAGTTGTTATCTGGTAATATCTGGGGCGGGTGGAAAGGGAAATAAGAGAAAAGTTAAATAATGAAAAATATGAATTTTCAGTGGAGGCCACAGGCTATAGTGTTCGAAATAGTGACGGACAAAAAGTTCGATATGATAATCATGTTGTTCATCGGGCTGAACATGCTTACGATGACGTTGGACCATTATCAACAAACCCAGACATTCAGCGATGTTCTAGACTATCTGAACATGATATTCATTGTGATATTCACCAGCGAGTGTCTGATGAAGATCTTCGCTCTACGTTACCACTATTTCAAGGAGCCATGGAACCTCTTTGATTTTGTTGTTGTTATATTGTCAATATTAGGTAATGTAATGTAATGATTAGTTCAGTCGTATGGCACACGTGAAACTGACGATAAGTTTGAATTTATGAAATGATCCTGTTAGCCTTCTCAGCACACGATCATCTTTACCAATTAGTTAGGTACCTACTAGAATTGAAACAAAGCATGTCATGCAAGACACATCTTACAATCTTCCTTTGCACGTTCAACTTCTTTCTTACATTGAAACAAAAATGAAACAAAGGTGAACAGGTTCGATGTTTCACATGTGCCGCAACGACTGATCAGTGTCATTACATTATGTAGCCTTACATTGATGTCGTATTGTAATTTTATGTCCCTGATCCTTTACCCTTGCTACCTAAATGGTATTTAAATATGTGTCCATTGTTGAATGTGTCTGCCAGATACAACATTGTATCTGTGTTGATACAACACATTTTCTTGACTATTGTTGTAACGTTGGCTGAACGATTGATAAAAGCATTCGATTAATTTTATATTAATACAATGTTGTATAAGTCTAGATTCGCACATGTTAATCGATGTAAAGACGGTTTGTTAGACAAACAATCGGGTAAGAGCGGGTCTGTATTACCAGAACTATTAGTTCGTTCAAAATTAGTTCCTTCATTAGAGAGAAACGATAGTTTCATTTATTTTTAATCTTTCGAATGCCTAACACAACATGCTATCGATACTGCACCGCGTGATGCAACGAGAAACTTTCAAACAATCTAAATGCATGAAATAATGATAAAACAATGAAAAAACAGAACACCGGCTCTTAGTCTTTAGACTTACGACGCATGTACTTTTTGCATCACAACTTTTCAACCTTATTAGAGAAGTGAAAAAGAATTACAAGATATCACGAAACACTGCTTAAATTAGGTTCTAGAAACACAGACAAACAATATTTCTCTGCAAAAGAATCCTTCTTCCTTAAACAATCTAACTGCATGAAATTTAGAAGAACATCCGTTAACATAAGAGGCACCAGTCAGCTTGAATTTTTTTCTTTTTCTTTTTCTTTTTCAGTATCATTTAGTTGTAAGTATCATTAATTATATCTGACGATTTAAAATATAAATATGCTCTCTTTAGGTCTGGTCCTGAGCGATATTATCGAAAAGTATTTCGTATCACCGACATTGCTTCGTGTAGTAAGGGTAGCAAAAGTCGGTCGTGTTCTTCGACTGGTGAAAGGTGCCAAGGGTATTCGGACACTTCTCTTCGCCTTGGCGATGTCGTTACCAGCTCTCTTCAATATTTGCCTATTACTGTTTTTGGTGATGTTTATCTTCGCAATCTTTGGAATGTCGTTCTTTATGCACGTCAAAGACAAGAGCGGACTGGACGATGTATATAACTTTAAAACGTTTGGCCAGTCGATGATACTGCTATTTCAGGTAATAAATGAATAAGAAAAACGTGTAGCATTTAATAAGATCTGCATATAAGTAAATTAAAAAAAAAAAAAAAAATTGATATTCGTTTAGATGTCAACGTCTGCCGGTTGGGACGGTGTCCTGGACGGTATAATAAACGAGGAGGACTGCCAAGAGCCAAACAACGAGATAGGATACCCGGGTAACTGTGGCTCATCGACGATCGGCATTGCCTATTTACTCTCGTACTTGGTGATTAGTTTTCTGATCGTCATAAACATGTACATCGCCGTGATCCTCGAGAACTACTCTCAGGCAACCGAGGATGTCCAAGAGGGATTAACGGACGACGACTACGACATGTACTACGAGATATGGCAACAGTTCGATCCAGACGGGACACAGTACATCAGATACGATCAGTTGTCCGACTTTTTGGATGTGCTCGAGCCACCGTTGCAGATACACAAGCCGAACAAGTATAAGATCGTATCGATGGACATTCCCATATGCAAGGGAGACATGATGTTCTGCGTGGACATTCTGGATGCCCTGACGAAAGACTTCTTCGCGCGTAAGGGTAACCCGATCGAGGAAGCGGCCGAGCTCGATGTACAAACGCGACCAGGCGAGACTGGTTACGAGCCGGTATCCTCGACGTTGTGGCGTCAACGGGAGGAGTATTGCGCCCGTTTGATACAGAACGCCTGGAGAAAGCACAAGCAACAACGTTTGGGCGGGCCGAGCGAAGAAAGCGACGACGCGGATACGGATCCGCGGGTGAGACAGACCGCGGTACTGGTCGAGAGCGACGGTTTCGTTACGAAAAACGGCCACAGAGTCGTGATACACAGCCGATCGCCGAGCGTTACCTCGAGAACCGCGGACGTCTGATCGGCGACGTGGACGTCTCAATCACCGCCAACGTCGTAACCCCTTGGCGCTTGGCCAGCCAAGCATAGGATATCGCGACGATCGCCGACGACAACGACCATCGTCACCACGACGACACGTGGACGAGTCGATCTCGTAGCGTCAGCCGTTTGATACTGCTCTCACGGACCTTGCGCGCGCTCTCCATCGACAGCCTTATAGTTGTATAAAAAAAAAAAAAAAAAAAAACACATTCCTCCAACGAGTTGCCTTTAAAACTACTCAAAACGCTACGACCGTTGGGAGACACGTCGCTAGCTGAACACGAGCGTGCGAGCGAGGACGACGAGACGAGACGAAACGAAACGAAACGAAACGAAACGAAACGAAACGAAACGAAACCAGATGAAACGAATCCACCTGCAGCATAGTAGTAAAACACAACGGAGGAACTAACGAGTTGCACCGTGTGTGTACCGTGCGTCGATCCACATTCATCATCCTAAAGATTGAACTGGTTCGCGAGGATGGAAACGTAGACGCGTAAAACACAGGCATATTACGAGAAGAGGAAACGATGAATGGCACAGCGAGGGTGAGAAAAATGATAAGGATGAACACGCGAAGAGGAATCGAAGGACGAGAACTGAAAGCTGACAAAGAACGATCGGTCGTTGTATACAAAATTTAGCCTGTGTACCTTGACCGGATATCTCGCGATACCGCAATCCTCGAGTCGACTTCCCCTCCAACAATCACGGCTCGAAGGTTGAGGGTCGCATCCGTTCAGAATCCTGCCTTCGATGGACTTCGTCAGCACTCCTTACCGTTTGCAATTCTACCACGACGATCACGACGATCACGACGATCACGACGATCACGACGAGGGCTGCGTTGTTTAGAGAGACACAATGAAACGAAGAGCCAAGTACGTTCTACGGTGAGATATAGAGTATATTTACCGCGTTCATAATATCACCCCGATCGTTTCATCGACTCTATCTACGATATATTGGCCGATTCGTCGAATTCTATATCAGCCACATTGGATTTTTTACATAGTTTTACAGCGAACCGCCAACTCGCTGAATGAAAAATATAAATAGAGAGGTTCGTGGGTGATAATTTGTTGTTACATGAATCGGACTGTGGTGTACGAGAGAGTTGAACTTTCAAATTGATGAAAACGACGGAAGAACGGAGAAAACGAAGAAGACATTGATCAAGATGTTGATAATATAGTGAGGATGATCACAGAATAGTTACACGAGATGATTATGAATCACAACGATGGTGAACAAGAATGTTACATGTGAAATGTATGCGTTACTTATTACATTCGCTCGGCTTGACAAATTTTACGCAATACGCTGCGCGAACGTCTGATCGCGTCGCTTTCTTTTATCCAGCCCCCTGTTTCTCTGTTCCTGTTCTCTACTTCGAGCCTAAATATTACATATACGTCATGAATGCTCTTCGATCGTTGGGTCCATATTCGACCAATAATGTGATTTTACAATTATTTTAACAAACAATTTCTTAACGATTAAAGTATACAATTAAAGGTATGGTAGACAAAAAAAGTGTTAGAATAGGATACACGATCTATCCTTATTTTCGTGAATTTCTTTCTTTTTAAACATTCTTCTGGTTAAAAGAAATTTCTTTAGTTCGATTCAAGTAATAACTGCTTATGAACGTTTAGTTGAAGACAGAAGAATGATAATTCCTGCCAAAAGGAACGGAGAGGTAGGGCGGCGAATACGAAATCTCGCAATCATCATCAGCTAGGTAATTTACACATTTGCAAAGAAAAACTTTACACAGACACACAATCTTACACGACGTAGTAATGCGCTTTGGAATAAATGAATATACATAATAGTGTAACGTTATTCGAATAAAATTGTAATCGATAACCGTGCGCCCGTAAACCCGTCTCGCAGCAAACCTATGCATATAGTGTGAAATTAAAAAAAAAAAAAAAAGAAAAAAAAAAGAAAAGAAGAAGAATTATAACACTAATTTAATTGCTAACAAAGAGACTGACACAACTGTCTATCTATTTGATTAATGAAATTTTATACAAAGAAGAATGCGAATTCGCAAAAGATTATTAAAATAAAACTGATTTGCAAAATTGAAGAACGTATAATTTAGAGAAAGTTGTGTCGCTCTGATCGATTTCCTTAATTGCGGAGGCCAAAAAACGAAACGTTAAATTAACGGATATGAATTGTTAACATTTTCAGAGATTATTAGTTCGACGTTTGTTGTTTCAAATATTTATCACACATATTCTGTTAAATTATCAAATGTTTCGTGTATCAAAGATTCTATGTACGAGAAGCCAAATGGCGCGGGAAGCTGCATGATTGTCCAAGGACAATAACGAAACCACCACGCTTTTAGTCTGAATTACGTACAATTATAAACAGTTACGAAATAAATCGAGAAACGTTTCGTAGAAAATAAAAAGAAAGAAAAAAAAAAAAACTAAGAAAAAGAAATGGAATCGTTTTAGTCGATTTCGAACGGGTTTACGTGCTTAAAATGATCGCGGAGGATCGCGTGCCCGGTAAACGTCAGTTGAAACACGCTTTGATCGCGTATCAAACGAAATTCTCTCTTCTGATCGCGATAACGGCACGCGATTCTGTCACGAGTCAATCGTATTGCTCTCGCCGTACATAAAATATAATAATTCGCGCCAAGTAAATGTAAGAACGCGTGTATACACACGGTAATATGTTGGAGAAATTCATTTGGAACGGCGATGGCACGGTTTCATTTGCCGTACAAAGTACACAGGTGAACGTTATATTATACGTATAGGATACTCACAGACGAATGAACGTTATCATCTCGAGCTGGCGCGTGTCGATGGCGAGACGCGGAATATTTAAAAAAAAAAAGTAAAAATATATGTGTGTTTGTGCGCGCGCGTGTATGTATGTTAACGCGGATTGTGCGATCGTTATTTTTCTACGTTTACATCCGCGATCCGACAGGTAAGAGCAAACAAAAAAAGAAGAAAAAAGAAAAAAAGCAGCGGGGGTTGTCGCGGTTAATAAGTAAGGAAAATTGTAGTAGGATCGTTCTCGCTGGTCGAAAACGGACGTAACGGTGGAAAGAAGCTCGCAGCTCGCCAGAAATCGACGACCAGGACGATGACGATGACGATGACGAAGACAACGGTTACGGACATTACGAGAACCGAAAATACACGGGGTAAATTTGTTATTAACAGGGAGGCTAAAAGAAAGAGAGGTACAAGAGGGATGACAAACAACGCGAAAAGTATCGGGGAAACGGGAAGAAAAGAAATAAAGAGAGAGAAAAAAAATATGTTCATTATTTTAAGCTACGAAGGCTCAAGAGGGTGAGGATCATTGTAAATTAACTCGTACAAATAATTCATACACTATCGGTGTCGAGTCCGCTTTGTCAAAGTATTTTAGAGAAGCCTGTCCGATATTAATGTCCTCGTACCTTTTCTACGTACACAAATATATTATAATTGCATTTCACGATTCTCGTCGCGGGCCATTTCGTGAGTACGCTTGAACGTATAAAATACGCGACTCGTTCGTTCCTCGTTTCTTCCAACACTCGGCTTTCTTACGCTCGGAATCTCGAAACGATTTAGGGATTCGAAATATTCTGCACGATCATCGATTACAATCGGTTCATCGCGTCATTATCTGTTCGTTGATCGGTCTGCGACGAAAGCAGAGAAACGATTACGCCTAAAATTAAAAAAAAAAAAAAGAAAAGAAAAAAGAAAAAAAGAATAAAGCAACTTGTTGTCGTTTGCTTTTCGCGCGCGCGCGAAATTCAGATTTTTTCTAAACGCACGTTACGAACACGTTGTTACCGTAGGGGTTGAAACGTGCAATCAGAAAAATAATAAGAGAATAAGTACACGGAGCACGACGGACGACGACAAAGACAAAGACGATGAAGACGATAAAGACGAAACGAACCGAGACACGAGATCGATCGACGATATCAATTTATCTCGTCGATCCTTCTTCTATCGAAGTACGACGTATCTGATGGTCCGTCCGGCTCACTCTCTAATTACTCCGATACCCCCTCTCGCCCCCTTTTTATGTTTCGATCCCCTCCCGTGCTATAATATGTGCAAATAATTCGATAATAATCAAATCGTTTATACGCATATAATATACATATATATTTTCGATACTACTTTGTCGAATGGGCAACCGCGAACTTTCTGGAAGCAATAAAACTCGAGACACGCGACAAACGTACATACACGGGAAGTTGTATTAAACAGGGCGTGACAAAAAGTGTTCCGTAAAGAAATTGGCCTTTTTAACGATAACAAATCTTCAGAATCCTTGTCAGAAAATTCGTTCTTCCCCGAGAGGCGCGCTAAAATGATCTTCTTCTTCTTCTTCTTCTTCTTCTTCTTCTTCTTCTTTTCTCTTTCTTATTTACTGGTTTATCAAACTTGGTGACTAATTGATCTTACGAGACCGAATGTTCGATTGAATTGAAACTTCCCCGGTTTTCAATCGTGATTACCAATCGTTTGACATTCGGTTCGTTCGATTTTTTAGTCGGTATGAAAAATATTAAACGTAAGAAAGTCGGGAATACACGCGTCTCGAACAGTTGCCTGGAAATTCGTTTGAGTGTAACGCTCGGGAACGGAGGAAAACCAAAAAGCGTTCGTTCGATGGCCAAATTGCTACGATAATGATAATGATAATGATAATGATAATGATTATGATAATGATAACGAAATGAAACACGGGGGAAGGGGGGTGGAAGAGTATGCGTGGTGTGCTTCATTGATTTTTTCGTTCGTTTTACCAGAGAAAAAAAAGAAAAACGTACACTAAATACCAGCTTTTACGCGACGACGGCTGTAAGATATTAAAGAAACAAATTATATATATATACACATACATACATACATACATAACATACATAACATACATACATTTAGGGCTTTCCTTCGTTAAAGCGAGATAAGACGAGGTTTAAACGTACTTTCTCCGTGGACGATACTGCCGTTACGCATTGTATAAAGAGAAATGAAACTAAGTTAACTAATCGTAAAATGCACGAAATTTTCTTAAACGGATAGCGAAAACGATACAAAAAAAAAAAAAAAGAAAAAATACACAAAAAGGGCTTTGTAGTGTCTCGAAACTCTCGAAACTCATTAAAAAACCTAATGTTGTCGGATAATAATTTAAAACGATGAGTACAGAAAACCTAAAAAAAAAACAAGAAAAATCCTAGAGCTGGGCTAATAAACGAAGCAACCGAAAAATAAAAAATATTGTAACAAGTGTCAAGCTACGGAGCCTGTCGGCCAGTATAATGAACAAGCAACTGCCATGGGTTAACAAGCTAGATAGATGAAATGTGCTAAGAGAACAAAAAATAAATAAATTAAATAAAATAAAATCCAATTTTAACGAGCTAGTTGTCGAAACAAAAAAAAAAACACATTAACGCGCGAAGGATCGTCCATTCAAATTCGTGCTCCTGTGAGTGGTCGCGCTTGTGCGCGCATGTTCGGATGCAAAATCGCGGATGCGCGCGAAACGTAAAAAGAGAGACATCGAGACAGAATGCGTGCGAGCAAAAAAAAAAAGGAGCGTGTGTGTGTGCGTGTGAGTGTGAGAGGTAAAGAAAAAATGTACAAGAGAGCGGAAAGAGCATGTGAGAGTTTGAGAAAAAGAGAGGAGAGAAAAAGAGAGAACGTGAGGGAGAGAAAGAGAGAACTTAGAAGAGCTCCTCCGTTGAATAACATTCATTATTATTAAACAGAATAAAAGAAAAAATAATAAAAAAATATGGATTATTTGCACAATATTATAAATAATTACTATGTTTACTACGATTATTAAATTAAAGAGCAAATAATAAAGGGGATAAAAAAACTGTTGTTAAATAATTAATACGAAAGAGGGGATGAACGAAGAAAAAAAGAAAATAATAAGAAATCAATTTAGCCGAAGACCGATATCGGATTCAAACGAAAAAAAGCAAAAAAAGGTATATATATGTATAAATATATAAAAGAATAGGAAAAAAGGAAGTGAGGAAGTGACGAGGATATTGATGATGATGATGATGATAATGATTATGATTATGATTATGATTATGATGATAATGATAATGACGATGATGATGATGATGGTGGTGATGATGATAATGATGATGATGATGATAATGATGATTAAGACGAAGAAAGGATGGAGGAGGAAACGATTCGTTTGTTATCGATTAGTTAACGATCATCCTTACATTACATTATTGTAATTATATAAAGTAAACGATTATTACCGTAATAGTTACAATTAACAAGTTGTTACCGCTTTGTTATACATAATATAATTAATATACTAAGATTAAAAGGATAAAAAAAAGAAAAAAAGAAAAGTAAGCGAATGCATCGTTGATTCGTCCTTTACTTACGTAGATAACTAAATAACGATTCGACTCTATATTGTTTTCAATGTCTTCACCGTATTCCTTCGTTTGCTACCCGATTTCGTTTCGTTGTCGAAAGATTCGGTTTTGTCGGCTTACCTCGCCCGGCCACAATATACACACGTTTTACAGAGATATTTTCAATAAACGAAAAAGCTTAACACTCAATACGATTGTTTCTCCTTCTCATCACTTGACCCTGACTTTAATGCAGGTCATCTTGTGAGTTTATTATTCAAACATTCGAAAATTTTGTTTATTTAATAATATCCATCGTCCTTTTCTTTCTCAATGGTATTTTCAATAACATTTTAAATAAGTTAGCTGACCATCATCACAAGTGGAATCACTGTTTATAATATCGTATCTTAGTTTCGCGATACATCACATATTTTTGGCCTGAGCTAATTCAGTTCTGGATTGTGGTACAGTATAAACTTGAAGAACGATGTATGTACCACGAGTTCAAGGTTTCCTTGATTCAAGTAAGTATAAATAACAATACTGACCATGCATTCATTATTATTAATTTTCGTTCCGTAAAATTGTATTTGCAATGTGATACACTTCAAATCTTGAAGACATAGTTCCTGGAAAAAAATACAACAGCGATTAAATAGAAAAAAAGCATTTTCGCAGCCAATTCGCTCGTATTATTTGCTGCATAATTAATAAGTATACCATAGAAATAATGATACAGTTATTAATTAGTCATCAAATAATAACGATTTCCCAGGTCTCACCACGGGGAGGTTGCTGCGGCTGGAGACCCGCCCTACCTCTTCCCATCCACCCTCCATTTATGCAAATTTTTACTTTTATTCAATAAAACATCATCCTCTTGATGCACATTTGCAAAACGTTTTTGACTGTTATGCAAACGAACAACAAAAGGAGCATTATTTTTATTCACTACCTACCTATCTACTTATCTATACATATATTTACGTAGATTTTTGCTTTTTATTCCTATCGCAACATTTTTTAATTTTCATTTTGATTACAGATCTGTAATTGTCCTACATACTTATATTACTAAGAATGGCTACCTAACCGAGCGCTCGTAATTATATTAAAAATTCGCTTAAATCTAACGCTTCCTAATTAAACACTGCAGTGTTTCACGATTATACTTAATGATCATAAAGTCATTAAGATATAATAATCATTCTACAAAACCATAAACTTACAACGTGCTTATATAAAAATTTAAAGGGTTGTAAATAAATAAATATGTGTTGAATTTGTTGATTTTGTCGTCCTCACCAGAATACTTCCTGAAAGAAACTACACAAATTTTTAGACACAAATTTTCAAAAATAATAAGGCGGAAATTACCTTAATACGAAAAGGATTAGATGCAATTTTCAAACATACTAAGACTCGTATTACCTTAATACCAGAATACTTCTTGAAACAAACTAAAAAGGATTAATTACCAAAATACGTCCTGAGATATTTCTCTGCAACAGAAACTTATTAATTGAATCCATGTCAAGACAAAAAGTTCAATACATAGCTAGAAAGAAGATGCATTAGTACACACAAAATTTTACAAAACTGCCAAAATTAAAACTGAACAACTCGATCAGCAATTATCCACTACTTTTGTTTATATAAAGTAAAATAAAAATCGAATGAACAAATATTCCTTGAAATAAATGATCACCAATCATCAAAAAATAAAATGAATTTCCATTTTAAATAAAACTTTGAATAAAGTTCTATTTAAAACTTTATCGTATCTAATAATATCCTGAAAACATTAAATTCATATATTAGTTAACAGTATTTCCAATAACCGAACGCTCAAAATTTTCAAAACTAAGAGATGGGAAGAAAAAAGAATGGGGGCGGGGGGCAGTGGGAGGGAGGGTACAGGGGAACCTGAAAAGAAAAGTTTGACTGCCCATAAGAGCAATCCCTAAGCAAACCCTATAAAAGAAACCGAAATCACACGCAACACTAATTTCAAAATTGCAAACATTCTGAACTATGACAAAACATTGGCTGGCAACGAAGGGTCTCACGCCCCCTAGACTTACGCCAGACGCTACATACCACCCACCCCGCCTGGACGTCGTAACGCCAGGACAGAGTGCACCCCTTCGCTAAGAGCGCTACCCGCCCGTCCAACACGTTGCATCCAACGGTGTCAGATTGACGGACGCCCATAGTATAGACAAAAGGACTGCAGTTTAGAATATGGTAACATATTTTCATATGTTCCGTATTCTAAAGCTGCGCCTGCAAAGGCCTAGTAATGCATGGGTATATCTCCCAGAGATGGTGTTCACGGTCTTATGCCGCGAAATCCAATGGATTCCCACCGAATGTGAGTCATAGTTACTTCCACTAATTTAATAACAATCGCGAATTCATTCGCAACACTAATTTCATTAATTATACATAATATGTACAAAAGCGTACGCGTGAAGGCTGCTTCATTATGCGCAACGCTAAGCTGAAAAAAAGAAAAAAAGAGAAAACGCGAACTGTAACGCAACACTACTCAAATCTACCGAATACTATAAGACGCAACACTAATCTAAAAAAGGGGTACAGCCAATCCAAGGCTGTACCATGGCAGTTGGTCCATAGCTGCCTTATGGACCATGGCAACTCCACTGGATCGTTTTTGGGCATTTCTAATGCAAAACGCGAATATCCATTACCGCAACACTAATTAGCAGGGAACTTTATAAACTAATGCAAAGCAATCGCGTATGTATAAGTCGCAACACTGGGAAACAATCGCGCTAATGTCATTCGCAACGCTATCTTTAACAGACATGCAATTAAAATGCAGAAAAGGGGGATTCTCAAACCGTGAATTTTTTACTCGCAACACTAATTTCATTAATTATATAATATGTAGAAAAGCGTACGCGTGAAGGCTGCTCCATTATACGCAACGCTAAGCTGAAAAAAAGAAAAAAAGAGAAAACGCGAAGTGTAACGCAACACTACTCAAATCTACCGAATTTTGTAAGACGCAACACTAATCTAAAAAAGGGGTACAGCCAATCCAAGGCTGTATCACGACAGCTGGTCCATAGCTGCCTTATGGACCATGGCAAATCCACTGGATCGTTTTTGGGCATTTCATCGTATATCGCAACTCTAATGCAAACCGCGAATATTCATTATCGCAACACTAATTAACAGGGAACTCTATAAACTAATGCAAAGCAATCGCGTATTTATAAGTCGCAACACTGGGAAACAATCGCGCTAATATCATTCGCAACGCTATCTTTAATAGACATGCAATTAAAATGCAAAAAAGAGGGATTCTCAAACCGTGAATTTTTTACTCGCAACACTAAAGCAATCAACATTAAAAAACAAAACTCTGAAAAATATTAAAGCAATCAACATTGAAAAGTTAAATTCTATTTTAAAGCAATGCAAGAAAGAAACGCGATATTTAAAGTTCGCAACACAAAATTGAACCGTGGTCAATATTCGCAACACTAAATTGAAAACGCGATTTGCCCAAAATCATGGGGGTCACGGGCCCCCTCTTCTCCTGAAATTACAAAACTACAACTACAGGCGAGCACAGTGACAAAGTAGTAACGATAATGATTTCCCATCCTTTTTTGCAAAAGAATGCAAAATCATTAATTGTTCCCCTCTTGAAAGACAGTTTGTCGGGGCGCTTCGGCATATAGCCTTTTCCTTCTTCGGGCGGTCCACCCACCTGAAACTTATATCTAAAGCTCGAGACTTGCAAATTCGCAAAACAGAAAAAAAACAATCAACAAAAAAGAAAAATCGCGAAACTCTAATTGACACGTGGACGAAAAAGGACTTTATACATACAAGTCGTTGTTCGTGCACACGTGCCGTGCTCGAGCAGAACTTGTGGCAAAAATTTGAAAAATTGTACAGATAGAATCGAAGGCGAACGACATACTCCGATCGCATCGATGGTATCGTCAATTCTTCAAATATATTCCAGGTACAGGTTGATCACGCGAAATCGCGCCTACCCGACCAAGAGACTGTGACAACCTGTCCCGGCCCTACCTACTTACAATCTATCACACACACCAGAAGGTATACTACCTACCTACCTAACGCTATATTTAAAAAAGGCAAAATCACATTCTCACAAAAATTCATTCCACGACCCCCATACACTCCACCCGGGCGCAGAGCCTAAACTAGGGAGAACGTCCCGGGACGCCTCCGTCACCCGAGTTTCATCTCACATCACACTCTACGGTACGTACCATTTTTCACTGAAATCGTCTGGCATGGATAGCAATCATTGCGTATAATGATAATTATAAAATTTAATTAACTACTTTGATATAGAATATTCCATAGTAATGGTAATAATCATGGTAATAGTAATAGTATTTCGTTTATACGTTCATCGTACATCTTGTTGAATAAAATATTATTTCAAATTAAAAATAAATGAAAAGGTTATTAAACCGACGCAATCCCACAGCCTAAAACACACACACACCATATGTGGAGATTACGTCGTGCACGATATACTAACACAATGCCAGCCGCTTATTAATCATTATTCTTATAAACTAGGTCATCGTGCCCATTGTCTCTACCCATCCAAGTAGCACCTGGGCACGTGAATGGGCTTTGACAATAAACACGGAAGGGGTTAAATCTGAAAATCCTGATCTAGAAACATGATTAGTACACAAACATCTAACGGGCTAATATTACACTATTTTAATAAAAGTGACTCGACTTTGTAAATATTATATAAAGCTTTAAGAAGAAATACTGAAAAGCAAAATAGAGCAACTATGACGCAAACATGGTGCACTGCTAATATCAGCTGGCAACGAGGGGTCTCACGCCCCCTAGACTTACGCCAGACGCTACATACCACCCACCCCGCCTGGACGTCGTAACGCCAGGACAGAGTGCACCCCTTCGCTAAGAGCGCTACCCGCCCGTCCAACACGTTGCATCCAACGGTGTCAGATTGACGGACGCCCATAGTATAGACAAAAGGACTGCAGTTTAGAATATGGTAACATATTTTCATATGTTCCGTATTCTAAAACTGCGCCTGCAAAGGCCTAGTAATGCATGGGTATATCTCCCAGAGATGGTGTTCACGGTCTTATGCCGCGGAATCCTTCTAACTAATTTCATTAATTAAATAATAAAAAGGATTGAGTTTAAAAACCAAAAGGATTCCCACCGAATACTAGTCAGTGCATCGTCATATTTACTCTCGCAACACTAATTTAATAAAGGCAAAACTCTAATAAAAAGGAATTTAATGTCAAAATTGAATGTGATATTTTATTAAAAGCAAAATGACTAATTAAGAATTCTTTACAATGAAAAAAGAATTTATTATGAAAATTAATAAAAAATTAAAACATCCTCGGGCGACTCCCTCCTCAGAGTAACTTTTTAAGAATACGCAAAATGTGTTGAAATAGATCACTCTGGCTTGGAAATCTACCCGTCACGAATTGTCTTCTTGCACATAAATTGTTCAATTTTACATGAACGTGTAAATAAGCTAAACTTCGCTATAGAAACTTTACTAGTTGTACAAAATTCTCATACTATATGTGAATTTACAATCTACAAAATGTGATTAAATTTATGTAAAAGTATCATTAATATGTATATCCAGTATACATATTATATAATATTATCAATATTATGTCGATTTAAATCGTATTTGACTTCTTCATTATAGAAAAACTAAATAAAATTATTTCAGTATTAAAATATTTCATATTCCACGTTTCATTATAAAATTGTAACATTTAAAAGCATTCAAATATTTGATAAATATCTATTGGAATATGTGGAATAGAAATAATATTTAAACGCAAAGTGCAAGAAGACCTAGCCTGAATTAAATGAAATAAAACACAATAAAAATATTACTACACATGAGTATAATCATACTCATGTTCACTATGCTCGCCAACCAAGTATACAACCGGTAACCCGTGTCGATTCGGACCATTCGTCCTACGACATGATTGGGCACCGGAGGAACCATAAAACATGCGACTCACCGTTCGCAGATATACTCTTCTTCCAACAGTCAAGTAGAAGGATGCTCAGCAACCAGGTGGAAGGCTGCACAACAGCTAGGTAGCAGGTTGGCTTATAGAAGAAGACGGAAGTCGTGAAGGAACATCGGCCCAGTCATCAGGGTGTTCAGGAACTCGGCAACATTTAGAAATTCATCTGTAACAGAACAAAAAAGAATTATGGTTAATTATGAAAATTATCAACCTTTATTCTTATAAAATTATAGATGAATTTGAATTTTATAAAATATTAGCAATTAAAAAGAATTCTCAATTATCAAGTGACGAAATTGTAAATTATTCTATTTGGATCAAAATTAATTAAATAAAATAATAAGATACTTACACTCTTTCCTTACGGAGAAACACCCAAGACTCCTCTTCAGTGATGTATTGACTCTACTACCGGATAAATCGAGCAATTAAAAAAAAAAAAATTAAAAATAAAAATAAAGATATAAAGTACTAGTAACGCGATCGTAAATAATTTCCGGCGAACAATTGTAGACTCTACTTCCGCGATGGAAAAAGAACAATCAGAGCCGCGATGCTCTAGAAAATATTTTATAATCCGCAGCAAACACTGACTCTACTTTCGCGTGATTCCTAATTGTACAAACGCAACTCTATTCAGGGCCAGTTCACCCTTGGCAAAATCAAAACATTGGAATTACGTGCGTACAAACACTGACTCTACCGACCGCCTTGCGCGCGGCCACAACAATTCCTGGAAAAAAAGATTGGCGAGGAGGTTGGGGATGGGTGGAAATATACAAAACAAAACCAACATTCTTCTTATTGAACGTTCGATAATGAAATACTGTTATTACATGTAAATGAAAATATGAGTGTTCGTGAAATATTTTCAACCAACAGGAATATTATTCAAGTTGAATATTGATCCTAGATTATATTGTAATAATGAAATGTTTTAAATAATTGTTGATAATTATTTCAATGAATATTATATAGATAGAAAATCATAATTAAATAAATATAATAGACAATTTTATTAAAGTAGTGGTTTTCTGTTGTTAAAATTGATTAGAATAAATTAAAATATTAAATTCTTACGACATTCTATTTCAAACCCATATCAGGAGTCGAGGCGTCCTTTCAAAATCTATCAAATATCTGTAATCAAAAAGAAATACGAATTTATGTAAATAAAATTTAATCAACAATAATAAAGTTATTATTAATAAACGATCCAACTATAATTGATAGAAAATATTTTAATGGATACAATGTGTACCTATTATTTATGCGGAAGCATGCTCTCAACACCTCCTGCCAGTTCGACGCTCGAGAGAGCAATGGCGAGACCTTCCTTCCCATCGTAGACCGGTCGGCACTTCGGCAAAGCTCGGCAATGTTCGGTACATTCTGCTACCGGCCGATACCTAACGAAGTATACGAACAGATCTAAACAGAAATAATATTACGATGCTCAAGAAAAAACATTATTAAATTAAAAACAGCAAATTGTATGAAACAATACAAAAAACATTGAATAATGTTCAAGAAATTACTGATATAAAAGGAAAATAATTCAGATTTTGCTGTTCCAATTCCATTGTAAATTCACAGCAAGAGCAACAAATGTCAACTCACGTATTTTTAAAGATAACCTCGAATTCATGTCAAAAAACAGAGAGCTAGACTTCCCTTCGGCTATTCTTTCTCGTTTTTGTATTTTCAACACCCGAAAGACAACTTAATTTAATATTTGAAGATAATTTAATCTTACCTGTTGCAGACACGTGCAAGACGAACGAAGCTTCGAAGAGGAATGCTGTACTGCGTCAAAAATCAAGGCACTCGCTCACCCAACGACGTGTCTGATTGGTCGAAATGAGAGGACGCCAACATGGGACGGCCAATCACAGCCATCGATAGAAGTTTCAAAGTGCTTCGAAACTTTAATACTAATCGTAAGGGAAAGGTTTGTTAAAAATTATCGACGCCATATTGACATAAAATCAAGATTACTTTTCTCAACTTTAAACACCAAAATATAAGAAACAAAGTAGAAAAAATATAAAGATATTGACGGGATTTAAGAAATTATTGATATAAAAGCAGAATAAATGAAGGAAATGTTATTTTAATTCGTATCCATATCGGCGTAATAGTAAAAAAACGAGAAAATCAGTTATCACGATATATAACAATAAATTACGGGAAAGATGTACTAAAAACATGAAAAAATGCAATAATATTCGACAAATTATTGATATAAAGGGGAAAATAATACAGATTCTGTTATTCCAATTCCATTGTGAATTCACAGCAAGAGCAACAAATGTCAACTCACGTATTTTTAAAGATAACCTCGAATTCATGTCAAAAAACAAAGAGCTAGACTTCTCTTCGGCTATTCTTTCTCTTTTTTGTATTTTCAACACCCGAAAGACAACTTAATTTAATATTTGAAGATAATTTAATCTTACCTGTTGCAGACACGTGCAAGACGAACGAAGCTTCGAAGAGGAATGCTGTACTGCGTCAAAAATCAAGGCACTCGCTCACCCAACGACGTGTCTGATTGGTCGAAATGATAGGACGCCAACATGGGACGGCCAATCACAGCCATCGATAGAAGTTTCAAAGTGCTTCGAAACTTTAATACTAATCGTAAGGGAAAGGTTTGTTAAAAATTATCGACGCCATATTGACATAAAATCAAGATTACTTTTCTCAACTTTAAACACCAAAATATAAGAAATAAAGTAGAAAAAATATAAAGATATTGACGGGATTTAAGAAATTATTGATATAAAAGCAGAATAAATGAAGGAAATGTTATTTTAATTCGTATCTATATCGGCGTAATAGTAAAAAAACGAGAAAATCAGTTATCACGATATACAACAATAAATTACGGGAAAAATGTACTAAAAACATGAAAAAATGCAATAATATTCGACAAATTATTGATATAAAGGGGAAAATAATACAGATTCTGTTATTCCAATTCCATTGTGACTTCACAGCAAGAGCAACAAATGTCAACTCACGTATTTTTAAAGATAACCTCGAATTCATGTCAAAACACAAAGAGCTAGACTTCTCTTCGGCTATTCTTTCTCTTTTTTGTATTTTCGACACCCGAAAGACAACTTAATTTAATATTTGAAGATAATTTAATCTTACCTGTTGCAGACACGTGCAAGACGAACGAAGCTTCGAAGAGGAATGCTGTACTGCGTCACGAATCGACGTACTCGCTTACACAGCGACGTGTCTGATTGGTCGAAATGAGAGGACGCCGAATGAAACAACCAATCACAGCCATTGGTAGAAGTTTCGAAACTGTAATGCTAATCGTAATGGAATCGTTCTTACAATAAATATCAGCGAAAAAAATCGAATAATGTACTTTTTTTAGCAACACCTGTCTTGTATTATATTTTATATTATTGTAATTATGTAATAAATAAAGGGGAATATTGCTTTAATAACACTAATGTTTACGAAGGATCGTAATAATAAGGCTAACTCTGTGTACTATAGATCTGTACATTTATTTCTGTATATCATAATTTCAAAATGATAACTATAATTAAGAATAATAATCCATGACAAATCATAAGTATCGATGATATGATTATATCCAAATGACAATTGGTAATCTCCTATCTAATATTTTACAGTTTCTTAATAATTTATTAGAAATCATCAACGAGCCTATAATAATTTGTATTCAGTTACACCGCAGGAACTCTCAACGCGACTGGAAAAGGAGATCAAGCTACCTAATCATATCTTTTCCACTATTTCTTTTTTCACTCTCTCCTTGTACAGTCACGGTTCAACAAGCCGCAAAATAGAAGCGAAATATTAAACCCTTTCATATATATTTGCGCATCGAATATCAATATCTTAGATACTAACAATAAGCATTATTGGAATGCGCAAGTAATGCAGATACCATATGATACAAAATCCTTGTCCAATGAGTTATATTTTCCCAAATATAAGCATTAATGAAATTTACAATCAATTAGATAATCATTTGACGAGATATACGCATATCAACTATATCAGAAGCATTTTCAAAATACATTATTTTAACGCTACGGCAAACTAATTTCACGTGCAGAGCTGTACACCACAACAAAACATACAACGGTGAATGTTAGTAGGAAGACTACACAATTCCGAATGTAATTAATGGAAACCAATCTAATCCGGAGTGACATTAATCGATTAAGGAACTCGTTGAACGATTCTAAATGATGACTAACAAAACTGAAACATGGAAAAAGACTAATCACACGGGACACCGAGAATAGTAGACATGTACGATGAAGATGCAAATAGGAAGACCTAATAATCAACTAAACAATTTCCTCATTATGGGTGTCGTTTCTTTATAAACTCACATACGTTACTTCCTAATTTCCTCGTTTACGGACATATAATTATGCATGTAAAGCATGCACAATAATGGGACGAACACGCCAGATGTGTATTAATACCGTCTGCTACAAAGCAAGAATTTGTGATGTTTCAACGCTAGAATAATTTAAAATCGTAGGCAAATACGTTATTGGTGATGTACGGTCGCTTGCAACTTAGACTTCCCTTAATTAAAGGAAATTATCACCTTATTTGTTCATGATTTTTATGTGTGAGGTCTTCTAGACTCTTCCAAGGATCCCCCAGGCAAATAACGACAGAATCTCTTCTCTATCTTCCCTTTAATCAAGAGTAGTCTACGTTACATTCAAGTGTACAGACGGTATTGAACAAGGAATAATTCTATGGCGTTAGAAACACCATGCGTGTTTAACATTAATAATAAGTAAACGCTAACTCGTCGACCGATTTTTTTCTATATATATATACATGTACACCTTAATATATATAGAACGACTCTTCCAAGTCATACTTGTTTTTTTACGAAAATGAAACTCGAACGATTTCGAATAATACTTAAAGTAAGTACACCAAACTAGTTGTGAACTTACAAAATTACCGCGACCAACTACCGACTGATTTTTTCGTAAAGTTCCATAACTGCTACAAGGAATGAGAACATCGTTATGATCAAACTAAATGTAAAATAAAAGAAGAGTAACAACCTTCCCAATGGAATAATCGTCTGCACCATTTGTTTGTTTACACTCACACTTTGCATCATGTGTATCACGACAATTATATTACAGGACGCCCTTTTATACCCACACATCCTCTTAGTTTAATTATGGAATAAATATTTGAATATTTCGTGGCTGAAAAATCGAAACTGTTCGACTTGGAATTAAATTGAGAGCGACGAAATTCTCCCTCGACAGACACAAAATTTCTTATACATTAATGTTTAATATATATGTATTTGGTGAGCGGACTTTTTTGGTATTAAAGCCCACGACACTTTTTCGGCAAAGAGAACAGAGAAAATATGCGTTTTCAAGTTTTGAAGTTCCGTAATGGTCGTGTACAACTTTATCTCACAAAACTATTTTGTAAGATGAAAAAAAGTTTAAATTTCGACGTCACTTCATACTTAACACTTATTGCATGATTTCTGACGACATCACGAAGCGTACATCCTATTGATTTCGTGCTGGTAACGTTCTTGTACAGCTTTCCTCTTCAACTTGAACGCGGCTGTCACTAATCCCATATCCGGTGACCATTGTTCCGAACACAATTTAACTGCACCAGGCATTTCGAATCTTTCCAGTTTACCTAAACAAATAATTGTTCAAGTTTCTCAATCTATAGTAATATTCGATAAAAAAAAAAAAAAAAAAGAAAAAAACTTACATTTTTTGGATTGTTCAATCAGCTCTTGTAATACCGCCTTTTCAATTACTGGATTATTGCAAAGTTCTTCAATATTTTTACCAACGATTCCAAGATTTTTGGCAATCTCTTCGAGATAATAGGGATTAGGAACCACTAACGCTACCGTGTGAGTCCTATATGGGTCTCCGTAAACACAAATGTTTTCTACAACAGGACAGGTCTTCAATTCTGCTTCAACTTTTCCCAAAGATACATATTCTCCAAGTTGCAATTTGACTAGATCCTTCTTTCGATCTGTAAAGTATAAGAAAATAACAATTGTATTAGCTTTTATTTAAAAAGTAGCATCAATGTCAGTATCGATCCTCACCAATAATTTTGATTGAACCATCCGAATGAAATTCTCCAATGTCACCAGTTCTGAACCATTGTTTTCCATCTTCTTCGAAGAAGTCCTCTTTCGTTTTATCTGGTAATTTGTAATAACCAGCCGAAACATTTGCCCCACCGATAACGATCTCTCCTCTAGGATGCGGAGTATCTGTAACTCTGTAACCAGCTTCTTCCCAGTTTTCTAAACGGATATCGCAAACCGTAGTAGGTGCTCCTACTCTTCCTGTACTCCTATCGTATACTGAAAAGATAAATGGAATCATAGATTTGGATATGACTTCATAGAAAGAAAAGTTTTTATGAATGGATACGCACCATCCATGACAGTAGCGCAGGAAGTGGTTTCTGTTAGACCATATCCTTGGGTCACAGTGACGCAGAGACAAATTTTAACCTGGGTATGCGTGTCTGGAGTTAAAGGTGCGCCGCCGCAAAGTATAAGCCTAACTCGTCCGCCAAGAACTTGCCTCGCAGCTCCAAAGATATATTTGTCAAAGAAAGGTGTTTCGTAACCTCGCTTTGACCATTTCAATTTGTACTGGTAAGCAAAGTGGAATATCGCTTGCCTGAAAGCGCCTGACTTCTTAACCTTCTCGTTTATGCCTTTCGAGATGCGATCAAGGATAAGCTAAAACATGAAGAAACGACTATAGAGGTAATTTCATGTAATTTATCATATTATAAAGATAAATTGTAAAGCTTACAGGTACAGCAGTTAAACAAGTTGGATGCAACACGGAAGCATCACCCTTGGATCCTCTCTGAATCTTGCTACTAGAGTCAATCATTGTAAGAGGTGAACTATACCCAATGGGTACACCAGTTAGTAGACACACACTTTCAGCAAGAAGTTCAAATACATGAGCCAGAGGTAAGAATCCAAGGAAAACATCGTCTGCTTTAATTTCTACAGCATTACAGAATGCCTTCATTGTAGCGATGATATTTGTATGAGACAAGATTACACCTTTTGGTACACCAGTTGAACCAGATGTGTACATTATAATTGCGGTGTCACTGGCCTGTGGTGGATTCATTGGTGCATTCGAATCGTTTCCCTTCTTGATCACGTCGGTATATGGTATAAGTCTCACACCTTCCTAAAATTAACAAATAACATATTTACAACAGGTTACAGTATTCCATTTGTAATACAGAAAATAAAGAAACAAATATAATATGGCAAGTTTACAGACTGCGTCGATTTTAATTAAGCCGGCAGTATACGCTATCACCTTGCACCTGCACCTTATTTTGAATAACAAATTCCAACAATCATTAACGTCTTTATCGGTAACAATTAAAGATACATTACTAACAGAATAGATACCTATTCTTTACATATTCATCGAGACCTCTTCGTGCTTATTAGTATTCATTGCATTCCAGGGACTGAGTAAGTACATATCAACTGAAATACCCACTTATGTTAATGTTAAAATACCCACCTTAAAACCGGTAATGTCGGTGGGTTTAAGTTGATCCTCCATATACACCACCGTTTTAACTAGTGGCACCTTTTCCAGGAGCCGTTTGAACTTTGGCAACAAGTCATGACTAGTAATCACAGCGTCTACTTCGGTTTCATTGATACCATGAGCGATAGCATCATCGCCTAATGTCGCATAAATTGTTACCACAGTCAGGTTTTGCTTGAAACACCCATAGGCTGATATCATCCATTCTGCTCGGGTCTCAGCGAAGATCACGATGCTCTTGCGAGTTGTGATATTCAGTTCCCTTAAACCTCGACTAAAGGAAGTCATCAGCTTACTAACTTCCGTGTAAGACTTCCATTTGTAATCACCCATTTTGTACTGTAAGTAAAACGATGATAAGTATTAAAGTTTCAACGACAAAAGTCCTTCCTATGTGACCTTATTTAGTTTCAACCCCGATCTTGTGTAACATGTCAAATAAATATTAGATTCTGTATTTCAGGAAACAACAAACTATTTTACTTATCTTCTAGGCTGTTATACAATTGTTACTCAGCATCTTATAAGCCAAGTCACATCGCGTGACACGTAATTGACCACGGTATTCATTAAAAATTACAACATTCAATAACGTAGAAGAGCAATATTGAAATAAAGAAATTCTTAAGTGGATAATTAAGGTACTCTTCTTATAACTGCAACCAGTCATCGTGTACGTAGAAAACAGGGTAAACGCTGATTCAAGTACCTTCTTAAATATTCTACCGTTAGGCTGAACTTCGTCTTCTTCCGCAAGGATCTGCCTGGTACCAAGACATTTCTTATCCCCGTGCCTATTCACGACCCAAGTCAACATTTTCTCGAGCGTGTCTACCTTTTCACGCTCGAGGGCAATATGCAACGGTCCTGGGGGATCAACGCTCCTGTAAGTGATCATGTGCTCGTCCCTCGCAATAGGTCGCGCTTTGATTCTCCTCGAGGCCTTTTTCTTTTCCCAGGGCCGTTGAAGAATCAGATAGACCGGGAACGTCAGCAGATCGTACACGTAGGAAAGCGCCTTGATCGCGTGGATCGCGCCGCTAATCCAGAAGCCTTCCATTTCACTGCAAAAGAGGAACAAGGTTTACCAAAGAATCTTATTTCTTACAATTAGATGAGGTTCCTGGGATCCTTGAGGGTGGCTGCAAAGGCTTCCGGAGAAAAAAAGGTTTCATCAGCATCGCAAGGAAAGGTATTGGCATTAGTGATGCTCTATCAACGGTATTAGTTGTTATAATAGAAAGTACTGATAAGTATTAAGTGTCGCTATTAGCAGTGCTGATACTAGACAAAGTAGTAGTAGCACTAATACTCTCATTGTTAGTAAATCTATAATTAACCCAATTAATTATGTAATCCTCAACTGATAAAATGATACGAGGATGCCAATTAAATGATATCAACATTATAATTAAACAAAAAATTATTTTTCCAGCCAACTGAAAGCGCTTCGAGCAATTCTATTTCATAAATTACATTACATTACATTACATTAGATGACATAACATAATCTTCTACTACAGAGTTGAGGACAAACCTCTAGCGATACTTCTTGCAATTCAATCAAATCTAGGATCATCGTTGCGTAATCGCAATAAGTACTTTGCGTTGATTACATCGATTCATCGTTTTTTTCTAAAATTTTCTCGCATACGTTCGAGCAGTCCTTCAACAAAGAACAAAGTCGATCTGTAGGAGGCATGCAGCGTGCAAAAATAGTGTGGAAAAATCGCAGTCTGCGATTTCTCAACCGGAAGATATGCGACGATAATGCCAAGCACTTTTGGCGGGTTTATCCTCTTGTGTCACTGATCAATCTTTCGATACTGAATGAAGCGCATGCGAACGTTGGTCCGATACGTGCAAAAAGAGTGCGTGAAAATAGAAATAAGTAGTACAATTGTTTGCGCTGCTACATTTGGAAGATCCTAAGGTAAACCTAGGGAGAGCCTAAGGAGAGTCTACGGAAAGCCTAGGAATAAATGCAATAAACAGACTTTTCCTATTACCGCTAGGGTGTTACCACCTAGGTGTAAGCATTTCGCCGACCTCGAGATAGACAATGTAACACGTTGATGCCACGCGACATTCTATATATATATATATATATATGTATAACACCACGTCTGATAGAAATACAACGAAACACGTGGCGTGGCTGGGCTTTGGAGGAGACAAGCATACCAGATTCGAATATCTCCACGGACTTTGAGCGTGGTTGCTTCATGACAGATGTACTCTCAAAGTAAATGCGTTATGGTCTTTGTACTTAAAACAACACTTTGGTAAAAAAAAATTTGTTTTGTAAAAAAAAAAGTAAATAACTCTTATCGAGTCACGACGCCTAGACACATTTGATAAGCTCTACTAGAGAGTTACACGGTTCATTAGTATAGATAAACTCTTAATAATCAAGCTATTAATAGGAAAATATATTCTCTATTACCTTTTCCCACCAAAATGGGCAATTTTTAATGAGGTTTTATCTATTGCATGCACTTTGTATTTATGATAAGAATGGTAGCTTGAGTGACTTATGATTTCAAAAAATACATTACATATAAAACGACCTTCCATTATTCATCATTATTCATCATTATGCTATATTTTCGCAAGCATAAGTATAAAGCTAAAGCATGCGATAAGAGATAAAAAGAAATTATGCATTGTAGAAAATAAGTATATACTAGCAGACACAGTGCACATGCTTGGACGAAAGAAAGGAGGTAAAATTAGCAAATTTATTTTGTCAGTTCTAAAGTGTTACTACTTTACTATGACTCACTGTTTATCCTCCACGATCATGGTGGCTCTATCCGGTCAGCCTTTATTTCCAAAAGATACTGTACCTCTGGTACTTTAACAGTAGTCTCTTTGATGCAAATTAACGAACACTGCAAGAAAAATCATTGGCAAAATCGATGATGATTAAAGAAAAATTTGTTTCCAGATGCATGCTTGTTTCTTCCCTTTTATTATCGCTATCAGAAAAGATATTAACGAAGTCGTTCTCAACGTGAATAGTCATTTTTCTCTCTGACAGACAATTCATTCTAGCTTTGGATTGTTAAACGATCCGTGATATTGATTCCTACATAAAGTAGTCGAATATCAAACGTCTAGGAACAATAGCTGCCATTCCTTAGCCAAGTGAAACTTTACCCAGAGCGTTATCCAACACTCAGAAATAAAGGAGCGATTATTTTGATAAAAATTATAATTAAGTTACTAATTAAATTATACTGAAATGCCGACACTCGAGACAATTTACGAACTCGATAACGAATCGTGATTAAACCTCAGCAAAATCTTATACGGCTTAACCTTTGGACAATGGGTATTATCTTCAATTATTTACCGTGTTTTGATCGTATACAGGCCGATAGAAATCCTCCGAAATGATTCGCGATTGCTTTACACTTGACTGTGTAACAAGTGTACCCGATTCAAATATAAAAGTGCCTGAAAACTGCACAAACTTATGACGAAAGATAAAACAGCGAACGCTGACACATCATTCAGGGAAAAGTTGCAAAATAAAACAGAAACAGTGATTCACGTTTACAGTAATTTGAAACGTGAATTTTTCTACCAATTTTAAGATTACTTATAAAAAATCGATAGAACAAGAAGATGATTAATATGTCTTTGAAATACAACTTTATCCAATGATTTATAGAACAGACACAAATTTATTTAGATTTTGAATTTATCTTTCAAAAAATCGAGACTGCAAGTAATTAATAAATATCTAAGTATTACAATGATAATTAAATATAAAAACATGATTTAATATCAGCAAAGTATAAAGTCCTCTATCGTGATATAGATAAAGAGAGAGTTACAAAACGTTCAAGATTTACTTTACGATAACTTACATATTATCCATTATATGTTTCAAAATTTCTCACGATTCGATTGAAAGAAAAAATGTGTAATAAATTTTCTCAAGACCGTAAATAAGTAACAATATTATGGAATTATGATCATTCTTTCAACGCATAAAAATTTAATAAAAAATGCTGATTAAATATTCAAATGTTGTCGTCAAAATTGTAATATATCAAACTAATATCATGAAAAAGTATCCACGCGTTAGATCCCAAGTGGAAATGAACTTCCTGTCGGTGTGCCACCTTCGTTACCCCATATATGTACACTGAATATCTACTATAATAACTGAAACAAGCGTTCGGATGACCCTTCTTCATTCCTATCTGCCATAAGTCTGGGTCCATCGATCAAACTCCTAATGACCAGTATCCTCTGATATCGGATAAAATTATGTAAACGAGTAGGAAACAGATTTCTGTTCGATTCGAGATCGAAATTATCTTATCAAACGATCTGGTGGCTCGTTGTTCCAATACATCAAGATATCTCAATACTTTGAATAAAAACGGTTTAGTCATGATTCGTCTAAAGCCACTTGTTTAATCGATAACATCTCGACGAATAAATTCTAATCAATACTTTTTTTTTTTTACTATTCAATTACATAGTTAGCAGTTGCAATGGTAATAGTAACAGCGTTCGTAAATGTCTGAATGCAAGAGTGAATGATGAGTAAATGGAACTTAATTGGAAAATTCTTTTCCTAATAAACTTGCTATCGCTGCAGAATACTTAAATCCCCGCTTTCCAATTTGATTCGATATTGACTGGCTTCTGAACCATTTATACCAAGGCTGACCATTAAAATTCCATTATATCGCGTTACACTATCACTTAAAAGAATACGATTCTGAAGACAGATAACTTAACAATGAAGTTGTAATTGAATGGAAAAATTATGTGATGAGAAAATGAAGGGATATAATATAAGATATTATATGTTTATAGATAAATTGCTTTTTAGCGTAGCGACAGCCATATTATTACAATATATCCACTAGTAGCAGTTGTGTTATTTAAATTTCTTTTTTCTTCAAACAAAAAGATATTCATAGATCGATTGACTTTATAATTGATCATTTAAAGTTCAATGGTCACGAGTTAAAAACGTTGACTGACAAGTCACTGAGCTGGCGCTGAAAAGTTTAACAACTCTATTCATTGATCACTGCTTTTACTTTCCATTCAGAAATTGCATAATAAAGTATATACATATTTCAGAAATGAAAAGCAGTTGAAGGAAAATGGCTACTTCGCATTGACTCGATTAGCAATTATTATGGATATGGGCTTCTCGAGTACGTCATTAACTGCGTTAACTGCGACAATGGAAACGGACGTATGTATGTGGTAAGACACGTTGATTAAGAACATCATGAAATATTTCTGAATAAAATCCTGACTTTTTTGTACAATCCTGTGACGTGATGAGATTTCTAGAAACTGCTAAATTATTCAAACTATCAAGAACGTTGTGTACTGTAATGAATATTAAATATTCACGTATATTCGATCAATCACAGTAGTTTCATGATATACCAGTCTATCTATGCCACGCAAGGTGTTTTCAACATTCCTAACTAGTACATGTATATGAAAAAGTTTTGCTGTTCTTTAAGCAAACAACATAGAATTTTCTCACTTTTTTCGTATATCTACCCCATATGTGAAAAGCGAACGAACCGCGTGAATCGTTCCATAAAGCTTACAGATAACGAGTTTTACGACATTGAACATCGGACCCTGTATAACTCGCGTTACACGCTTAAGTTGTGTCAAGGTGAACGCAGGCAACACGTATATTCATCTCCTATACACATGATGGCTTTTCTATTGTGTGTTTACAGTGGCTTGTTATCGAAACTAATCGTCGTCAAGTATTACTCCAACTCATACATATTTGTCGCTCGTGCATGATTGTGATTAAATTGTCAAGTAAATATATAAGTTGTGCCTTAAATACGCGTTACGGGTAACAATATGGCTGTACCGATGATCAACGTGAACAGGCATTAACGATAAGTAGAATTGCTAATGCTCGCGATTAAGCTTAATTGTCGCTTAATACCGATAAGGTGTAGCATATAATGAGTACGCGTATGTACTCCCTTAAACTCTAGTAATCTATACTATGTCATATATGTAGCATGTAATAAATATTTCAAATCAAATGTATAATATTTCTGAGTAATTGGTGATTAGATTATACAAAACAGAATATATTATATGCACGTCCCAGATTTCAATGATCTTGACATTTACAATTAGTATAAAGGTCAATGTCCTGATTAATTCACGTGTATACGGTACTGCTGTACACGAATATTGTTTGAATAATGTTTGAAGGTCTTCTAGAGCAGTGTTGTAATATTACCATAAATGATTCATGTAAGTATGAGACTGACAATGAGTTCTCTAATTCCAATAATAAGAGAGAAATCGTAAAAATTGGAGTAGGACGTGGGAAAAAAAATTAATCACAATTCATTACATTCTATTGCTATTTCAATTAACTATTGTATGTAATACGTGTCAAGATCATTGAAATAAACATAAACGTGAATGTAAATCATAGAAATTTTATTGTCCTAAGTTTAAACACTAACTTAGAGCGCCATCCGTTCGGACGTTAGATCGATAGAATTGAAATCCTATAACAAATTGTTATAGAAAATACTAATATGCATTTCCTTTCCGGTTCGTAGACACAGCGATACACGTCGCGCGTAGCACGTGTTATCGGTAATAAAACGAAATCTCGTCTGGAGATATTTTAAATATTTAAAATGACAGAAGGCGGAAACAGGCAAAGGTAATCTGTCACAACCACTTGCGTAATCTGTCCATTCATCGATAACTGCACTTAATCAGTAGTAAGCGCGCACAAATTTGACCGTGAATTCGATACGCGAACTATCGATGATGGTCCCCGCAGGTCGCATCATCACATGTCGGAATGAGCGAAGAAGAACATTAGCCGACCACACCATACAAGTTTAAGTAGAGAATGATTGAAAATCATTCTTTTCGATGGAATCGCAATGAATCAGAGCATGACAATCGTCGTTAGATTTCATTTCGAGTTGCAGAAACTGTAAATAAAAATGAAACGAAAAGCAATGCTTACCTCCTGTTTTATATAGACTAGCGTGACTACCGTTATTTTTTGGTCCCGTGTGTCTTCCTGTTAACGAGTTCGACGATTCCTGTCGACTAACGGTCAGTTTTCCCACCGTGATCAGAAGAGGAAATTATCACTATACGCGATCCAAGGGTCAAGAATGGTGTGAGTATACGGTTCTGTGTTTAGTAACCTCGGTGTGCATGTACACGTAAAAGAGGAATGAGAAAAAGACACGAGGAACAGTGGATCCAACGGCGTGAAATGTACTCTGTAACGGTCGACGAACGACTGAATCCGTACCGTGATTAACACGGGGTATTTCGTTAGTTATAATTTTCTGTCGATCTTTGATCTTTGAACCTCGTTTCCCGACGCCAAGCCCAATTCTCGAGCTTGACGTTACCCAACACTCGTCGAGGAGGGTAGACGCGATGTACGTGCGACAGTGAGACAGATGCTCGACGGTTCGTTTATACATTATCAGTGTAATTGCTGTTACGTCAAGAACGAAATCGCTCTTTTTCCGATAATCTTTAACAAATCAAAAAACCTGCAATTCATTTCAAGCATGCATCATTCAAATGATCTTGTTATCCTTACAATTTTTTACTACACCATCGATCGTAAAGATCAAACACTTTTCTGAATCTTCTCTTGGTAAGAACTATTCCGATGACTCGTATATCGCCACTTGATAAGATAAACCAAGAAAAACTTAACACCACGTGCTTTTGTACTATGAACTTGATACGATCCACCCCGTTGGCCTGATTCTATACTTGCGACAGTAACACGTAACGCGTACTCGGACCGGTAGGCTCAATATTCGCGCGAATAATACTCGAATATTGCCATTTCTTCTTCGTCTAAGGCACTTCTTCTCGAACACATGTCAAATTTTTAACCTATCACACATTAAGGTTTCGGGGATACTGCGTATATTTCGGCGAAACTGAACGTACCCTACTCTTGTATGCACTAACGCCAGCGCAGAACACCGACCACTCTATACATGCTCGATCCAGTAGCGGCCATCTTGTTACTTGCAAACTTAAAACTACAGAAATCAATGAGAGAAACTTGACAGAATCTATTGAAATAAGATCTACGGAATGTTTAGAAACGTTAGAAAACGTAACTTTGATAAATAATCGAATCTGTTTGCAATGTAACCCTTGAAAAGCATTGTTTTAAATTTTGATTCGAAATCGCCCGCCAATTTATCATATAATTGAGTGCGTATACTTTGACATTTGACACATTGTAATCTAACGATTTTGAGTAATAAAAGACGACAAATGCAAAATAATAATAAATTATTTGAATTTACAATGAATAATATCGAGAAACAATATAAATCAAGTTATATGCGCATGTAAAGACTCAAAGATTTGACCTGCAAACCGCGACGATCATGTCATGCTTTTCGATATAGATAGCCGGCCTACACGTGAACCAATCAGAAGCCGAATTTCCATGGGCGGGGATGTGGCGTGATCCGTGATGACGTCACACGAGTCCGCAATCGATAACTACTCTCGACAAAACCCCCTCTAACCCGTTACGATCAATGTTCTGTCTCAATGCGCCACATTTCTCTTTAGGTATAGTCGCATTCTCCTTGATTCGATGAAATAAATTTACCTTTTCGATAAAAACATAAATATACCCACATATTTGATCCCTTATTGATAGGGATAAATATACTTTGAGATTTATAAAGTTTACTCAGAAAAAGAAACGGAAAAACTCGTTACCACTGGACCAAGAGAATGATTTTAGCGACCGCTGATACACCAGATATGAATTTCAATAAATTGAATTTCTTGATGAAAATATTTATTATAATTGAAACACCTGATATGCACGTTACAGAGAAATAAAAAACAGTCGCATATGTATAGAATGAAATGAAATGAAATGAAATGAAATGAACGATGTTGTTAACATTTAAACTTTATTAAATCAACAACATTAACAAGAACAACAAGAACAAATCATTCCTCCTGAAACAGTTCCACAGAAACTCGATCTTACACAAAATTCAATTGTCCTGCCGCATGTCGTTGAACGACGTTGTGTATCGGTTAGTTTATTCACTCTTATTGAATGGTTCACATCATGAATGATCATATGCCAGGATACCTACGACATTAGTAACATAATTCAAGTAATAATAGCCTCTAAATAATTGATTACGTTTCGCATCAAACCTTCTAATCACAAAATGCATTAAGACACTGTCGTTAATGGGCCGGTCATGATACTGCTACCGTCGCTAAAAGCAGTGCAAGAAAACAAGCCAGCAAAACCATAGAATAAGTAGTTATCATTACAGTTATGAGGTTAGTAACATACGAAATACGCATTTCAGTCGAACGAACGATATCGATGTCGTACGATTCATAAACATTCTTGCATTCTATACTCTCACCTTCGCAATTTGGGTCGCGTTCGTCACTTCGTAATTTAACATCGGTCGGTAGTACAGTTGTTTTTCTATCCTGATCTTGTTCCTTTTTTTCGTTCACCGACATACTACTTTTCTCTACGATTAGCTGGCATTTATCCTGATCGATCGCTATTTTATCAGAGATACTACTAGTTGAATCTTTCCTCAATACAGCCTCTAATTCTTCGATTTCTTTTTCATGTTCGCATAAACTTGCTGCTGCTAACTGTAAATCATGAACGGCTTTGGACAAATCGAGTTCTGGGTCATTCTTATCCTCTTCCCGTTCCACATTCAGATGATCCTCTTTCAACGTTATAGTCACATCTTCTTTAGGAACTATGCTTAACGTATCGGTGGTCTTTGACGCACCAAACGAGTCATCGTCTGGACTATATGTAACGGAACTACGAGTACTAGTGTTGGGCGCAGTACTATCGGTTTCTATTTCAGATCGGAGCGACGTCAGCGAATTCTTTTGGCTTAAACGACTATCGCGTAAGTGATCCGCCACACTGCTGAACGCCTCCGCAATTAGTTTAACATTCTCGTCCGCGACACGAAGATAGAAATCAAACGCACTATCGTCAGTCTTCTTGGAATCTTCGTTCTCAGGATTAGTCAAAGACTCTGTCAGTTTTTCAACGTCATCCTTTGCTCTACTTTCTTTAACAGTCTCTTCATTATCCTCTGCATATTGGCTACCCAAAGACTGAATACGTAGAATCGGAGATTCATTCATTGTCGACTTCTTCTCGTGTGATGCATCTCTTTCTGTAGACTGCTTCGAACGATCTATCGCTTTCGCTTCGGTATCGTTTGGTCCTTCTATCAGATTAACCAAATCCTGGCACAACCTGCTGTACGCAGTGAAATCAGAATCGGTATCTTTGCTAAGCGAATCGTTAGATTTACTTTGTACACGATCCTGCCAAAATTCATTGTTTAATGATTTTGATAACATATCATTGGACGGTATTAAGGTCTTTGCCCCGACTTCTCCATTTTTCTCATTGCAACTCTGTACCTGAGTCGATGGTGCGACGTAAACGCGAAGCTTCTTTCTATGTAGATTCGAGACTGAATGATTTCCGTTGATGTCAGTCTTGCTGCCTTTTAAGGAACACTCGGTACGCCATCGAGTATCATAATCAGACAATTCACCGTCGCTTACGACGCGTCTGAAACAAGCGGACCGTTCAGGTAACGAACCAAGATCAATCACTGGGTCACTGATCTGATCCGTGATCTCTTGAAGACTGGGTTCCCTCCGCAGATGAATCCCATTGTGATTGATCAAGCCGTACAGATTGGCAGAGAGAGATCTAACTGCTCGTTTCTTTTTCGTACCAAAAACGGTATCCTGCTCTGGCGCAGGGCCGTTTTTATTTTCAACGGAATGCTTTGCCGTGTTGGCATCCTTCCTAAGAGTTCGAAAGGCCAAATCGTCTGTAACAATGTCTGGCTCGCATTGCGGTATGTATAAGGAACGAGGATGGTCCGGCTTTGTTGGCGTAGTATGCAAGTAGTCGCTTTCCGGTGCCGTTGTCACGGGCCCTAAAGGTATACCGAACGGTGGTTGCGGATCTATCACTTTCAACGTGTTGTTGGCACGATGAATGCTTCGATAAACGACGTCATCGCGTGTCACATCTGGCTCGTCTCTACGTGCTGGATAGTTTGAAGTGTACGCATAACTATCGGTAGTGTCTTTGCGCGTTAGAACAGGTGAGGCTATTAGATAACTGATATTAGAGAGCGCAGATTGGCCGACCGTTTCCGACAAGGATGTTGGTCTCTCCTTTGGATGCATCCTTCTGTAAGCCATATCATCTTTCGACCGATCCGATGAATCTTCTGAAATAAATGGAACTGTATTACTGGTTTTCGCTTGGCGTAGACTGAACTCTTCCATACTACGCCGTTCTGCCCGATCAAGGAGATCTTCGTCTCCTAAACGAAGGCTGTTGTATATCGCCTCCAATTCAGAAAGTGCTTCTTCCAGGTTCTTTGAACTTCTTCTTCTTTCCACTGTTTCTTGTTCAGTTGCTCTTTGTTGTTCCTCTTTTTCTTTCGTTCTTACATTCACCACGGGTAGTTCATTTGGTAAGTCATAAGAGTCTTCTCTTAAAATGCGCTTGGTTGGTGATTTTATACGCGAAGAATCGGAAATTTTGTTAAAAGTAGGCGATGCAGAATTCTTGGGTATGTTTTGTGCAGCTGTGGATAAATTGCTCCTACCCGTTTTAACATGGTAATCGTTAAATCTCGAGTTAAGCTGATCGTTGCGATCGTTTCTCCTTTGACATTTCATTGCTTCTGTTTCGTACAATATCGGCTCGTCCACGTGTTTACCGGTTGAATTGTGTCTATTGTTTGTACACTCGGTTAAGTTACAAGACTGCGTTGAACTTACAGTAAGAGACAATGGACGACGCGGGCATTGTCTAATCGAACCAGACCAATTGATTTCATTGCTCGAATCGTACGATCTTAAGCCCTTCAAGTGGTCTTTCGTAACTTGATGAATATCGTTCATTTTCATACGCAAAGTATCGTCGTGTCCTGTCACGCGATACTTTCCATTAAGTGGAAACGAATTGCAACCATAACTGAACGCTCGAAAACGTGGGTCTCGCGGTGGAGGTTCGGGTGGACAGGAACTTTGATTTATAAACTGACGATTCTTCGTACAAGAATAAGGTTCCGCGTAATTTTTACTAATCGACGGTGAATTAAACAAATTTTCATCATAATTCACATGATTCTTATTCTTTTGTAGAACATTTGGTTTCGCGTATGTATTATTTTGATTTAAGTCTGTGATATATTGGCTCTTATGATGTTTCGTAAGGTCGGTTGACGATTTCGTTTGAAAATTAGACGCAGCTATCCCTGATTGTCGTAAGTTTTCAACAGATCTTTGTACAGGAAAGGTATTACTGTTCGAATGATTGATAAACGATTGTGATTGCGCTTGAGATTGCAATAATTCATATGCATCTGTAGCTACGGACGATCGTTCGTTCACCAATTCAAGACTATTGCGTTTGTTCCCAATATTGTTTAAATTTTCTGGTAATCTGTGCCCTTCGTCTCGGGATAAACGTTTTATGTAACGTTCCGTACGCGCGGCACGACTTTTTCTATTACAAGAACTATTCTTTTGCATGCTATGCGTACCATTTTCATTCTGATATCTGGTCAGAGAATTGCACGATTTACGTGACTCTTCGTCCGAACTGCTGTCCGCACAAATACGATCTCTTTTCGCTTCTATCCGAGCCTTTAATTTACTTTTACGCGCTTTCTTACTTAGTCCATCCAGTGATCCATCACTGCTACGGTGCATAGAATCCCTTTGTAAAGATGATGTATCTAGCAACTTTGCAATACTATCATTATCTTGATTATCTTGGTTATCATGATTATTGAAAGACTGTTCTGAATTTTTCTCAACTGGATGAAGAATAACATTACTATGAGATTTTCTATTAAACACATTGCGAGGTCTTGGTTCTCTTGTACAATATACTATTTCTTCATCGTTCGAAGAACTATCATAATCCCTCATAGAGGATATTCGTTTCAAAATTCCTCCAAGCGACCACTTTTTCTCCTTCCTTTTGTCTGTAGAAGTTACTGCATTACAGACAGGCACACGCCGTGTTGGTGGTAACAAACCATCCATTCTGAGAATATCCTTTCCACTAATACTTCTCTTTTCCATTATGAATAAATAATTTATGTATACTTAAATGTTATAATACCTGGAAAAAGTATAAATTTAGTTGATATTTAACAGCTAAAATTTACTGATGCATTTGATTAAAATAATGAAACTTTAGTACAAAATTTTTCTATAAATATTTTAGAAATGTATCTTACTTACAAATATTTATATATATATATATATATATATATGTCTATATAAATGCAGATTGCTTAAAAATATGTTGACTCAGACATTTTGCAACAATAACCATTAAACGGATTATATTTTATTTAAGTAACAAGTTTTTCATTCCATGTATCGATATGTTTACACTACGAACACCTCAAAGTAGAACTACTATTATAAACAATTATTCAGCATTATGTACATGTATATAAATAGAATAAATATTATCTGCTAACCTCCACCAGTAACTATAGTCACTGCCTCCACGCAGATGTTCGGCTGAATGATTCAGATAAGTATTAGGCGAAGGACGAATTCTTTGTACATTTGCCAAAAATTCTAGGTGACTCACGAAACGTCAGTCACAATTCCTCAATATTATTCAGGCAACTAAAAATTGTGAAGCCTATAACTTAGGTCAGTATCTCCGCTGCAGCGCTGATAACGTGGATAAGATCTCTACACCTCTTCAACACTTTTGCAATACGTTTGTATCTTGCTTGTTATCTTGACAGATGTAAAAGCGTGTCTAAACTTCACTTTCGTGAATCAAAATTCATTCAGTCAGTTTCGTGCTTTCGAACAGACATGAATTATATTCTATTGTATATAGTCGAAGCTATCTCGAGACGTTCACGGGCTGCAAGCGATCTTTGCTTCGTATGTACTTAGCGTTGCCACTACATGGATATAATGGAACGCGTATTACACGTTAGACAAAGGATACTGTTGCACTATGTGAAACTAACTCGAATCAGATCGAATGAGATACTTGAGAAGAGAAGGGTTTTATCGTTTAGACCCCACCCAACACGAAACCCTCCTTGACTGTCGCGCAGAATCACATACGGTAAAAGCGTGCAAACGGTGACCACTGACTACAGAGGCAAAAGACAGGACATCTGAAAAGACCCAATTTTGATTCTATTTCATTTTATTGGAAATCAATCAAAAGCAGCACAAGACTGAACAATTATTATAATAATTGTTTGACCAACTTATAATTTAAAAAGAGCGCCTTAAGGTGATGCTAGCGCGGAGGCCGAACTTCGTATTCCGCGTCGGTAAAATAGTCAACGTTTCATCGATAATTAGGCCGAACAGAAACTGATATCAGCGCCATTTCAGTTATTGCATCCAACTATCGGCATGCTATTCTACGTCATTTTTCGCATACACCTAAGCGACACACGGATGGTACGATAGCTATATGTATCATGTATACATTATTCGATTTTTTTCGCTGATATTTATTGTAAGAACGATTCCATTACGATTAGCATTACAGTTTCGAAACTTCTACCAATGGCTGTGATTGGTTGTTTCATTCGGCGTCCTCTCATTTCGACCAATCAGACACGTCGCTGTGTAAGCGAGTACGTCGATTCGTGACGCAGTACAGCATTCCTCTTCGAAGCTTCGTTCGTCTTGCACGTGTCTGCAACAGGTAAGATTAAATTATCTTCAAATATTAAATTAAGTTGTCTTTCGGGTGTCGAAAATACAAAAAAGAGAAAGAATAGCCGAAGAGAAGTCTAACTCTTTGTTTTTTGACATGAATTCGAGGTTATCTTTAAAAATACGTGAGTTGACATTTGTTGCTCTTGCTGTGAAGTCACAATGGAATTGGAATAACAGAATCTGTATTATTTTCCCCTTTATATCAATAATTTGTCGAATATTATTGCATTTTTTCATGTTTTTAGTACATTTTTCCCGTAATTTATTGTTGTATATCGTGATAACTGATTTTCTCGTTTTTTTACTATTACGCCGATATAGATACGAATTAAAATAACATTTCCTTCATTTATTCTGCTTTTATATCAATAATTTCTTAAATCCCGTCAATATCTTTATATTTTTTCTACTTTGTTTCTTATATTTTGGTGTTTAAAGTTGAGAAAAGTAATCTTGATTTTATGTCAATATGGCGTCGATAATTTTTAACAAACCTTTCCCTTACGATTAGTATTAAAGTTTCGAAGCACTTTGAAACTTCTATCGATGGCTGTGATTGGCCGTCCCATGTTGGCGTCCTCTCATTTCGACCAATCAGACACGTCGTTGGGTGAGCGAGTGCCTTGATTTTTGACGCAGTACAGCATTCCTCTTCGAAGCTTCGTTCGTCTTGCACGTGTCTGCAACAGGTAAGATTAAATTATCTTCAAATATTAAATTAAGTTGTCTTTCGGGTGTTGAAAATACAAAAACGAGAAAGAATAGCCGAAGAGAAGTCTAGCTCTCTGTTTTTTGACATGAATTCGAGGTTATCTTTAAAAATACGTGAGTTGACATTTGTTGCTCTTGCTGTGAATTTACAATGGAATTGGAACAGCAGAATCTGAATTATTTTCCTTTTATATCAGTAATTTCTTGAACATTATTCAATGTTTTTCGTATTGTTTCATACAATTTGCTGTTTTTAATTTAATAATGTTTTTTCTTGAGCATCGTAATATTATTTCTGTTTAGATCTGTTCGTGTACTTCGTTAGGTATCGGCCGGTAGCAGAATGTACCGAACATTGCCGAGCTTTGCCGAAGTGCCGACCGGTCTACGATGGGAAGGAAGGTCTCGCCATTGCTCTCTCGAGCGTCGAAGTGGCAGGACGTGTTGAGAGCATGCTTCCGCATAAATAATAGGTACACATTGTATCCATTAAAATATTTTCTATCAATTATAGTTGGATCGTTTATTAATAATAACTTTATTATTGTTGATTAAATTTTATTTACATAAATTCGTATTTCTTTTTGATTACAGATATTTGATAGATTTTGAAAGGACGCCTCGACTCCTGATATGGGTTTGAAATAGAATTTCGTAAGAATTTAATATTTTAATTTATTCTAATCAATTTTAACAACAGAAAACCACTACTTTAATAAAATTGTCTATTATATTTATTTAATTATGATTTTCTATCTATATAATATTCATTGAAATAATTATCAACAATTATTTAAAACATTTCATTATTACAATATAATCTAGGATCAATATTCAACTTGAATAATATTCGTTTATTCGAGTAATATTCGAATAATATTTTCATTTACATGTAATAACAGTATTTCATTATCGAACGTTCAATAAGAAGAATGTTGGTTTTGTTTTGTATATTTCAACCCATCCCCAACCTCCTCGCCAATCTTTTTTTCCAGGAATTGTTGTGGCCGCGCGCAAGGCGGTCGGTAGAGTCAGTGTTTGTACGCACGTAATTCCAATGTTTTGATTTTGCCAAGGGTGAACTGGCCCTGAATAGAGTTGCGTTTGTACAATTAGGAATCACGCGAAAGTAGAGTCAGTGTTTGCTGCGGATTATAAAATATCTTCTAGAGCATCGCGGCTCTGATTGTTCTTTTTCCATCGCGGAAGTAGAGTCTACAATTGTTCGCCGGAAATTATTTACGGTCGCGTTACTAGTACTTTATAACTTTATTTTTATTTTTAATTTTTTTTTTTTTAATTGCTCGATTTATCCGGTAGTAGAGTCAATGCATCACTGAAGAGGAGTCTTGGGTGTTGCTCCATAAGGAAAGAGTGTAAGTATCTTATTACTTTAATTAATTTTAATTCAAATAGAATAATTTACAATTTCAACGTTTAATAATTGAGAGTTCTTTTTAATTGCTGTAAAATTCAAATTCATATATAATTTTATTAGAATAAAAATTGATAATTTGCAAAATTAACCGTAATTCTTTTTTGTTTTGTTACAGATGAATTTTTTGTTTTTGCCGAGTTCCTGGATATCCTGGTGATGGCTTTCTTCACGACTTCCGTCTTGGTACGTCACTTAATTGCTTTTTATTAAAATAGAATAATTTACAATTTCAATACTTGATAATTGAGATTTCTTTTTAATTGCTAATATTTTCTAAAATCCAACTTTATATATAATTTCATTACAATAAGAATTGATTATTTTCAAAATTAACCGTAATTGTTCTTTTTTTTGTTACAGATGGACATCCTTGATGGGTTTCTTCACGACTTCTCCTACAAGGCAGCCTCGTACTTGGTGTTTGACTGTCGGAAGAAGAGTATATCTGCGAACGGTGAGTCGCATGTTTTATGGTTCCTCTGGTACCCAATCATGTCGTAGGACGAATGGTCCGAATCGACACGGGTTACCAGTTGTATACGTGCTTGGCGAGCATAGTGAACATGAGTATGATTATACTCATGTGTAGTAACATTTTTCTTGTGTTTTATTTCATTTAATTTAGGCTAGGTCTTCTTGCACTTCGCGTTTAAATATTATTTCTATTCCACATATTCCAATAGATATTTATCAAATATTTGAATGCTTTTAAATATTCATGACACAATTTTCTAATAAAACGTGGAATATGAAATATTTTCAAATAAAGTAAATACAGAAACAATTTTATTTAGTTTTTCTTTAACGGAGAAGTCAGATACCATCTGATTTAGTTATCATAAAGATTGAAATCGATATAATATTGGTTTTATAATATGTATACTAGATATACATATTAATTATGCTTTCACATTGATTTAATTACATTTTGTATATTGTAAATTCAAATATAATTTGAGAATTTTTTCCGAGTAGTAAAGTTCAATTTCTTTTATAGCGAAGTTTAACATATTTACACGTTCATGAAAAATTGAACAATTTATGTGCAAGAAGACAATTCGTGACGGGTAGATTTCCAAGCCAGAGTGATCTATTTCAACACATTTTGCGTATACTTGAAAATTTACTCTGAGGAGGGAGTCGCCCGAGGATGTTTTATTAATTTTCACAACAAATTCTTGTTTCATTGCAAAGAATTCTTAATTAAAGACATTAAATTCTTTTTTATTAAAATTTTGCATTTCTTAAATTAGTGTTGCGAAAAATTTCCAGCGCGAGAGTAAATATGACGATGCACTGACTAGTATTCGGTGGGAATCCTTTTGGTTTTTAAACTCAATCCTTTTTATTATTTAATTAATGAAATTAGTTAGAAGGATTCCGCGGCATAAGACCGTGAACACCATCTCTGGGAGATATACCCATGCATTACTAGGCCTTTGCAGGCGCAGTTTTAGAATACGGAACATATGAAAATATGTTACCATATTCTAAACTGCAGTCCTTTTGTCTATACTATGGGCGTCCGTCAATCTGACACCGTTGGATGCAACGTGTTGGACGGGCGGGTAGCGCTCTTAGCGAAGGGGTGCACTCTGTCCTGGCGTTACGACGTCCAGGCGGGGTGGGTGGTATGTAGCGTCTGGCGTAAGTCTAGGGGGCGTGAGACCCTTCGTTGCCAGCTGATATTAGCAGTGCACCATGTTTGCGTCGTCATAGTTGCTCTATTATGCTTTTCTGTATTTCTTATTAAAGCTTTATATTTACAAAGTCGAGTCACTTTTATTAAAATAGTGAAATATTAGCCCGTTAGATGTTTGTGTACTAATCATGTTTCTAGATCAGGATTTTCAGATTTAACCCCTTCCGTGTTTATTGTCAAAGCCCATTCACGTGCCCAGGTGCTACTTGGATGGGTAGAGACAATGGGCACGATGACCTAGTTTATAAGAATAATGATTAATAAGCGGCTGGCATTGTGTTAGTATATCGTGCACGACGTAATCTCCACATATGGTGTGTGTGTGGTTTAGGCTGTGGGATTGCGTCGGTTTAATAACCTTTTCATTTATTTTTAATTTGAAATAATATTTTATTCAACAAGATGTACGATGAACGTATAAACGAAATACTATTACTATTACCATGATTATTACCATTACTATGGAATATTCTATATCAAAGTAGTTAATTAAATTTTATAATTATCATTATACGCAATGATTGCTATCCATGCCAGACGA